ATACTAACTTTTTTAACTTTTTATTATATAATTCAATTAATTATAAACCTATTAAAATTTAATTAACTTTATATAAATTTATTTTTTTATACCTTTAAATTTATTTAATCTATTTTTTAAATTTTTTATATAAAAAAAGTATCATTTAAAATATAAAATTTAAATAATATATATAAAATATATAATTAATTATAAAATATAACGTAAAATATTATATATATATAATAAATAAAAAGGTAATAAAAAACTTACTAAAATTATTATAAAAAAAGTTAATTTTTATATAATTAAATAAAAAAAAATTTATATAAGTTAACACTTTTACAATATAACGTTATAATGTTTTATTTAATATTATTTGGCCATAGTTTTATATATTATACCCTAAGGGTCTATATATGAAATTTTGGGTTTTTTTAATGTGTTCCCTTTGCACCTCCGTAGTTTACGAGGAATTGAAGACCAATGGATAGCTACGTGTACGTAAATCTGATTGACTGTGCCTTTTTAGAATCGCTAGTTATTTGAGAATATAAGTGGAGTGTATATAAATCTAGCTTTTATTACCCGCCTCTCTTTTCCTTATCACTCCCGTAGTTATTTTTCTATGGGTTTATATGCACTTATATCATAACTCTAACTGTCGCATTAATAACTAATACTACTAGGAGGTCGGAAGAGGTTCTATATATATAAGTACCTATCCATCTTGCTAAACCTAACAATATTACTTTTATCCAAGCTCTCACGTAGCTTTGATTAGATTTGCTGGTATAGAGTACTTTACATCTTCTAATAGAAACTAGTTGAATCTCTAGATCACTCTCGCTGCACCGACATCACTAAATAGGCGTTAATATCTATACGTATAATATTAAGAATGACCGACTATCTAAGAGGTTAGCTTATAGCGAGCCCCTGAAAGAATGTATAAAATCTACCCCGTATATCAGCCCTACAGCTATCCCTAACAGTTTACATATATTGCCAAAGAGACTGTAGCCCATGGTAAAACTCGGGCATGGATTGTTAAGAACGACTTCAAAAATTTAAAGCTTCTCCACCTAGCTTTGTCTTAAGTTTTTTGGGAGTGAATTTCCACCCCATATCAAACATCCTTCAACAACTATAACAGTGAATCATTGGCTCGCATTGCGCCAGGCATTCTCAAACTCCCTAATCGCTTCCTTAGCCTTATCACCGTGTCCTTTTGCGCGCTCTCCCCCTTTATTGGATGGGACTACTCCGGAGAGTCGTTCGGACAAAGTTGGCTCGGCAAGAAAGAATTCTTGCAGCATAGAGTGCTCTTGGTGGTATTTTTCACTGAAGCCATGTTAGCTTCTAAGTTGGGGTTAAATACAACGGGCGGTACATACTTGCTGGAGTCTCCCGAGGCCTGAGTTCCTTGGTTATTTGAAGACGGCATAGTTCTGAGATTTCAATATTGTAACTTGGATGAAACTTTATAGCACTCTTGATGGGAGTATCTGGTAAGATATGCTATGGAGAGTACAGAGACGATGGACTGGTTAGAACTTCAAAAACCATCGTTCTTACTGATATATTTATAGAGATCTAACCTACCTCTTAGAGGTGCATATTGTAAAGAACCTTTTCATGTAATTACATCCAGTTAACATAACCTGAACCCTCAACTTGAGTTCAGGTTGTGTTATCCCGACTATTTCACAAGTAGCCATCGTATCACTGGCTAATTTATAGACAAGATGAGGTAGCTCACTGCATTGTTTTTATTCAAAGCCATATCATGAAATATTTTGTGAACACCTGATGTTGCGACATAACTCGATCGTCCGAAACTGACAGCGTCCTATTGGATAGCCTTCAGAGTTTGAAGTATATTGTACTGTCACACGGCTCCCATATCCATATGAATTATTTTGTTACTGAGATAAATGTACCTGGGTACCTAGGTATACTCCGCCTTTTTAAAGTACGCCCTGGAATGATGGCAACATTTCACCGAAAATAAAAGGAAGGAAAGACAAAGAAGGCTGCGCGAGCTACTCGAAGCTCGTTGGTGCATTTTATCGATTTTTAGGCACCATTTGTTATATTACCTCCTAGGTGCCTGTTACACTACAGCGGACGAGGCCCGCTTACCGAGATTCACCCAATACCTGGCATTATGGCATTAACAGAACCTGATAGCCAAACCTGATAGCCAAACCTGATAGCCTGATGCGACCTTCAATACTTGATCCAACGGAAGTAGTCTTGGCACTTGTACTACCATAAGAATTTAAGCCGAAGCCCGACTAAAACCGACAGCCTCACTTGATGGCTTGACATTGGGGTTCGTATAAGATAATACCGTATCCAAATTAGATGCATGAAATTTTTCCCACCTAGATATCTACAGTCTAGTTCACGATGCCTATCTCACCAGAAACCCGACGAATTACGGATAGAGAATGGGAAGATCGCAGGCTTCGGATATACGAACTGTACGTTACTCTTGGACGTAGGCTTGATGGACATGATGGTGTTATCGAGACGATGACGAAAGAAGGCTTCACCGCCACGTAAGTTGTTCTTGATATTAAGTTCAGTCGCCTATCTAAGGAATTGAATAACTCGATTAATGCTTCGCAAGCGTTCCACAATATGAACACAGATTCCGAAAATGGAGGATTCGTAAAAACATAAAGCGGGCTGAGTGGGAACGAATTATCAATGAAGCACGGCAAGGAGGAGAAATAACTCATATTGACCGGACAATCTCGAGATCCCAAATCCAGAGAGCCCGGCGTCGCTGTACATCCAGAGTCCACCGGGGAGAAGAATCAGGTTCGTGCTATTATTGATAATAAAGCATAACCCTTTGTGGACTAACTAAAATTATATTGATCTAGTTTCACGTAACTATGATGATACAACTCGGGTTGAAGTTACTAGACATATACCTGAGTTGGAGTTTCAGAGAAGCATACCATCTACCGAAATTGACGTTACAACGACCACCATAGCGGTTGACGCAGAGATCAACGGCGTCGCGTCGTGGCAGGATATGCAAGATTTCAATACTATCAACTACGACGTGGACATGACAGACCTTCTCAATTTCAATGATCCTTTCTCCGTCGAATTATTCACATCCGATCCCCTTCAAATGAATCTACTCGATCGACATAATTGGTTACCACCATTACCTTCCACCCAATTGGTAGCTACGTTTATCAAAGGCAAGTCAAGACAGAATAAATATATATGGATAAGCTATCTAATTTGGGCTAACGCTTACTCCTTTGGCAGGCGTATATAGCAAATGGCTTACGACTCCTCTACCCGGCGCCTTGACGAAAACTAGTGATTCCAATTTTCTCTGGAAATTCATGAATACTGTCACCCAGACAGTTTCAACTTCTAGGAGCTCGAAACGCCCCCCGATTCTCGATAATCTTTGCTCCCTGGAAGTGTTCGCCGGAGAGGAATGGAGCCAATTTGATAGGCTACCGGATGATGTAGCTCTTCAGGCTCGTTTTGACGGCAGACTGATTGCGTCAATCATCAATGGATTTGAAGGGCTCGAAAATATACCAGCCAAAGGCGTTCTAAAATTCTTGAATCGACACCATGCCATGCAACTAATGGTAATCGATGTTTTGAGCAGTCAATCGAGTCCCGTGGTCAAATCGTTCGCCGAGAAACTTTTCATGGTATATTTAAAAACTGATAACGCTGAGGCGATCAAGTACTTGCTTAGCACCAGACTGGCCGATGCAAATGATGCTGTATGTCATTATCAGGGTGAAAGATACGCACCACTTGAAATTGCTGCAATCAACCAATCGTTCGAGGTCCTCAAGTTTCTCATTAGCAAAGGGGTCGACGTAAATAAATCCTTTCAAAGGGACTATAATTCAAATGCATTACACTTGCTAATTAGGCATTTGGACGATCACCGAATGACACTTGGCGACGATTTTTTGAGTTTAGTTGATGCTTTCTTAGGAGCTGGAGCCGCTATATTGATAAATACTATCATGGATGCGCTTGAACTTGTTGATCCACGACTCATATTTCTTCTCATCAAGAACGCTGCTTCCCAAATACCTCAAAAGCTTATTTCGCACGAGTATCTGTTCACATATATCATCAGGCGCCTTGAAAAACAGCATGCGACGAGCATCATTGAGTTTATCTTAAACAATTGCCAACAGTCAGACAGATCCGGATACTTGTATAAATTTCGTCTGCATGTCGACGATGCCTTAAACGAGGCGGCGAGGCGTGGATATGAGGAGCTAGTGGGAATTCTGTTTCCATATGCATCAATTCCGAGTAGAGATAAATCATTCCAGACAGCAGTGGAGACTGCCCGATATCCGAAACTTATCGAATTAATGCTGCAAAAGGATCCAAGCCTAGATAAAGATCATGGTTTAGATAGCAATACAAAAGACTGCGAGTCCTTCATCTCCGCTCTCAGGTCTAGAGACAAAAATCGCCTTCGTTCCTTGGAAAAAAACGGTGTCCTCAATCATCTCCAAGGCTACAGACTCGGTCAAGCGCTCACGGAGGCTCTAAAAGCGGGAAATCTAGAATACGCGACTAAAATATTAGATCTCGATCCTGACTTCGGATTTTATAAACTCGAGATAGCTGAACTGGATAATGATCAAATTTTTGACGTAGCCGCTGCCATGGATGCTGCGTTGGCTCATGATCTCAGTGATATTGCTTGGAAGCTCCTTGCTGTTGGTATCACAACCAGAATTTTATTACGTCAGGATCTATGTCACGCTCCGTTACTATACGTCGCGGCGGTAAGAAACAGACCAGACTTTGTGAGAAAAATCATAGAATCCGGTTACAATCCCGATATATTCCATCCAAAATCCGATGACAAATTCCCAATTCTAGAAGCGGCTATCAAACATGGCGAGGACTCAGTCTTTGACGATATTTGGAAAGCTTGCCCTCGCCCAGTATACCTCTCGCGTACACTCTTGGGACTCGCGTTGGAGAAAAGAGGTATGGACTTGGTTCTGGATATTATCAAATCTGGTCCTCAAGAGAAGAATGACTGGAAGACCGAGGCACTAGAAGTTGCGGTAGAGTACGAAAATGAATTTTTACTTGACGAACTAATTTCACTAGGTGCCGATGCGGATAATGACTTTATCCTACAGGAAGCTATATGCGATAATTCTTCAATGGTTATGCCACTCTTGGATCGGTTTTGGAAAGCTCATCCACAAGGTCGTGCTGGATATGGTTGGGACATTGTTTTGGATGCAATTGAGGAATACTCGGTGTCACCTAAGCTTTTTGACCAGGTTTTTGCTTGGGATCTTCTAAGGATGAATGTCAACTATAAACTATACCCGGACCAGAAAACTCTTCTTATGGAGGCAATCAAAACACACGATTATGGCGTTGTCAAAAAGTTGATTGATGCTGGTAGTAATATTAATATCATTGCACGGGAAGGGGGGGGACCTGCGCAATCGGGACATGGTTATGTCAGGACAACTCCTTTTTTGGATGCTATCAAGACTGGGATTATAGGGATAGTTCAGCTCCTTGTTGATCATGGTGCGGAGGTGAACAAGCCAGCGATGTACGGTATACGTCGGACTCCTCTCCAGAAAGCTGCCGAAATGAACAACCTCCCTATCGTCCGTTTACTGTTAAGTATTGGTGCCGAAGTCAACGCCAGCCCTGCAATATTCGATGGGGCTACGGCGCTGCAATTTGCAGCTATTCAAGGCAACTGTGAGATAGCAACAACTCTCATAGAGCATGGGGCTGACTATAATATACCCCCACCTTTTGGAAGGCGCGGACGTTGGCCTCTGGAGGGCGCGGCCGAGAATGGTCGTTTCGATATGATAGAGCTTCTTTGGAATGCCTTTCAGGGTTCCTTCGACGATAAACAATATCAAAATGCTATGCGGCTCGCAGAAAAGAACGGCCATTTAGGCTGCAAGGAGAAGATAAAGGAGTTGATGGCGAGATCCTCGACGCGCGATAATATATATACTATGAGTGAACCGATAACGGCCGACCAAGAGAACAACGGTCAAAGTCATCTTACCACGACTGAATACCAAGGGTTTCCTTCCACGTCGTCACACCTACAAATTTCAACGACCAGTTGGCTTTGATAAATACCTAACTTTCTAGGAACGTCAGATAGAAGTGGAATGAGAACACGAAACTAGGGCACTGTATTCCTTCCTAAAGGCTTTCTACTGGAGAAAAGACAGACCAGTCCATGTTGGCATTTCGGGGGCCTAGGGACCCGGAGTTCCATGGTGGCGGTGCATAGATACGCGGCTTCGGGCGGTCGCGTAGGCCCATGATGAGCTGAGGGGATTCAGTTATAGGTAATAAGGCTGGACATCTCTAGAAATATGTAGTTAGGGCTGTTCATTTTCTATTTCATAGTTGTTGATCTCTAAATATCATCTCTATTCTTTCAGGAGAGCTAACCCCCCCAACCCCGATCGGAACCTGGATGTAACTCCTAAGAGAAGTCACAAGAATAAATCGGAAAAAGATAGGATATGTACACGCCAATTCTATATTGCCTTGATATCCTGTATCTTGTATAGCCATGGCTAATCCGTACGGTACGTCGTATATTTCCATGGAGACATCCTGCGTACAGATCACTCAGAACTAACGGCTCTCTTGTCTAATGCAGCGGGTATTAACTTTTGGATATACCCCCCTAATAAGGCTGCGGCCATTTTATTCACAATTGCCTTCTTCATTTCAGCGGCGATACATTTCTGGCAATGCTAGTGAGTCGTCTTTGATACTCCCTCGACTACATCTCAATACTAACCAAGGTTCGCTCGCTACCCTAGTCGCAACAAATTCTTCAGAGTGACAGGACTTTTCGTCGCCGGTGGTTTACTCTATGTAATCGGATTCGCATTTCGAGTTAACGGCGCATTCGGGAACTGGGATCAGCTGGGTCCATTTGTCGTGAGCGTCGCTCTCATCTACGTTAGCCCGTACGTTTACTGCCTTACCTGCGCTGCTCAAGTGAAATGGAGAGATACGTCGTACTGACGTGACCACTATAATCTAGACCACTTCTGTCTCTTGCAAACTACGAAATCCTCGCCCGGGTTTTCTACTACGTGCCCTACTTCTCCCCAATGGAGCCGGGGATGGTGCTCTCGACGTTCGCCTTTCTCTCCATAGTGATAGAAGGGATAAATGGAGTCGCCTCTTCTTTCATAGCGAACCCGAAAAGCGACCCTGAGACGGGTACTGCTTTGATGTGGGCAGCATTGGCTCTCCAGCTCGCAATCATCGTGTTCTTCCTAGTCCTTGCTGGATCTTTCCACCTGCGCTGCGTGCGGGCTGGAATTGCGGGGGCGAAGGGTATCCGGTATACTCTCACCACGCTATACGTGAGCATGGGACTCATCCTGATGCGAACGATCTACCGCGGCGTGGAACATTCCGTACTGGCTGTGGCTAATACCGAGTGGCCTTTCTACGTCTTCGAGGCCTTCCTTATGCTCATCAATATGCTCATGTGGAATGCCATGCACCCGAGTCGCTTCCTTCCCGCCAATTTTAGGACACACCTCACTCGCGACGGAGTGACAGAAGTGACGGAGGCAAAAGTTGATAACCCGCAGTCTTTTGCCGTAAAGATGCTGGTCGTGTTGACACTAGGCATTTACCGTGGCCCCAAGCCGAAGGATAAGATGTCTCAAGGGACCGATGCAAGTGGAGATGGGGAGCGGCGTGTGGAGTTGGTGTAGAAGCTGGCCATATTTCTTTTTCTCCCCTGGTACGTGCTCTAGCTTTATCTTCTTATGTGCAGCGTCGGAAGGTGGATAATGAATTATTTCCTAATTACCCCTATTATACCTAGACATATTAGGCGACTCCCGAAGGAACTAGTACCTATGGAATACTCGCTTTAGTTAGCGAAGCTCTTTACATGAAATTGAAAACGATGAGGAGTATATGCGTCAGATATATAGGCCAAGTTAATGACTAATAGAATAATGTAAAATTTGGGTTGTATTTCGAATGTAGTTAAATGTATGCGTATACCCTCGTGTCGATAGAACTTGTTGTGGGGGCCAGATAAAAAATCACGTAAAGGTCCAATATGTCTCAGTCTTCATCGTTCCGATTTGTTGCCTCCTTCAACTATACTCCTCTTTGGGTAGCTACCTATCGCCAGTATACGATGATCTTAACCACAAAGAGAGAGCAATTGGAACCTTATGCGAGATAAGATGGTATGTACTCCACTGTTATGCGAAGATATATAACGCAGGTACTGTCGAATAAACAGCCTTCTGCGTAGTGATAAGCTACAGATGCAAGCCATCGCCATTCTTTGGAAGAAGATAAAATTCCCGCTAGACAAAACCGGCCAAACCGGCACATGCAAATCAGCACTTAATCTACGTAGGAAGCCGACGGTCTCGGCTCCGGGGAAGCATCTAATGATAAGCCTCGTCGTCATCGCTTGGTCGTCGAGGACCCGGTGTGCTACTAGATAAATACCTCCTGTTAATGTTCACGGCTTTTTGGTAACTATTTTCCATGTAGATAATTTATATCACATATGTAGTGATTCCTATTGGTATATATAACATCATGTTGCCACTTAATCTAGTCTTGGTCACTCTGTTGGGCGAGGCTCGGTCGATGGCCAGGAATGTGCATGTTTCTACCAGAGTCTCGGACTGCGTCAATAACGTGGCTTCGACGAAGAATCTAGGCAATTGTGGTAAAATAACACCCAAAGTCGTAATAATCAGCATGGTAAGTCTTGGAATCCTTCCCCAATGATTAATTCGTCTCGCGGAAGGAGAATTTACATCCCAGTACATATCTAAAAGATAGCTAAATTCAAACATGAAAACCATAGTTCGCTCCAGAAGCAGAAATATGGTACACAAACTCCCCCAACAGTTCTATCGGCAACCTCCTCGCCCACAACATCTCCGTGCCGGGTCTCTCCCCTCTATTCCCATATGTGCACTGCAACACGCTCGGGGAAGTGTGCCAGCTCACAATGGGCGAAGCCGAAATCAACGCCGCAACATCCGCCACCGCATTCCTCTTCTCCAGCCTCTTCGATCTAAGCAAGACGTACTTCCTCATGGCCGGCATCGCTGGCATAAGCCCCAAACTCGGCACGCTGGGCAGCGTCGCGCTGTCCAAGTTCTCCGTGCAAGTCGCCCTGCAGTATGAATTCGACGCGCGCGAGATGCCCGCTAACTTCTCCACTGGGTACCTGTCGTATGGTGCATACGCGCCCGACGAGTATCCCTCGATTTTCTACGGCACCGAGGTCATGGAGGTGAACGAGAACCTCCGAGATGCCGCGGCTGAACTCGCGCGTACAGCCCAGTTGGCTGATTCCGCGGAAAGCGCCGAGTATCGCGCCTTGTACGGTGCTAGCGGCGAGGTGTATGCGGCCGCGACCAGGAGTCCTAGCATTATCAAGTGCGACTCGGCGACTAGCGATGTTTATTACTCTGGTACTATGCTGAGCGAGGCGTTTGAGAACACGACGAAGATCTGGACGAATCAGAGCAGCATAACGTATTGCGTTTCAGCGCAGGAAGATACTGCTGTTTTAAATGCATTGATGCGGGCTGCTGTCTGGGATCTCGTTGATTTCTCTCGGGTCATTTTGATGAGAACTGGTGCGCACCTAATTTACCCCTATCCGTGCCATCGAATGGAGAAGCTAACATGTTAAAGGTTCTGATTTCGACAGACCCCCGCCATCAGTCAGTGCTTTTCAGCATCTACGTATTATGGACGAAAACGGCTTTGATATCGCAGTTAAGAACATTTATCTGGCAGGAGTTGAGATTGTAAAAGGTATTATAGCTGACTGGAATTCTTCGTACGATGCTGGCATCAAAGCGACGAACTACTTAGGGGATATCCTTGGCACGTTGGGCGGCGAACCGGACTTTGGCCTAGGGAGTATGTTTAGCGGAGCAGGGTTTTCGACGGGATCAAGTACGGAAGTAGGCTTATCAAAGAGAGCCGTTTCTACAGAGAGAAAGGGTAGGAAGGTGGATGGGCGGGTGCAAATAAAACGCCGGACTTGATATTGAAACTTTGAAGACTTTAACCTAGCATTTCCAGATTAACTGCTAGCAATTATGCGGGCATGATATGTTTGTTCTTATTACCGACTAGGTTTAAGTATATGAAACATGATAGTTCTGGATTTCCCTCCATCTTATTAGTGAGTTGCGTGCCAACTATAATTACTTCGCTGGCCATGTAATGATATGCTAACATGCTGTGAATATCTACATTTAACCCCCAAGTTGAGAACGTAATAGCCGCAGAGAGTTGAAGTTAATCAGTAGCGACCCCAAGTAACGATACAATTTTCAAGTACGTATATATCAAATAGCCGTCGATTTTCGCGCGGCCTACGGCAGCTGGTCGTTCTTCGTGATACCAAAATTATGGCTCATACGGCGGTATGGGTGGCACTAGGATGACCGCCAGTGGTAGTAATCGTAGGGCCACCGACATTCGCCCCGGGACCTTCGGGGTGGATATCGCCACCGTGGTTGTACTTCTCGCTGGTGATATGGCTGCGATCACGGATGCGTAGACCCAGCTGTGAACTGCTAATCTTGCGGTGACCCCAGAGAAGGAGGAGGCCGAAGACGGGTTTGGCTAGGATGTCCAAAACACCATAGAATACGGCCTCCCCATCCGGGTGAATGACGTTGCCACCCTCGCTCAGACCCCAGGCAATGGGATATAAGAACCAAATAAATATAAGAAGGTTGCCGCATAACATAAACGTTTTCTTTGCGTCTCCGCCTAGAACCGAAGCATGTCGTCGAGCATTGACCAGCAGTTCGTAAGCAACAAAGAGTAGAGCCGCCGTGCCAAATGCCCAAAATCCCCATTTGAATCGAGTTTGAGTTAGAGCACCGATAAGACCAGTAATAATCATAATCTCGTTGGCAAGAAGAGTGACTAAAATCCTTGGAGTTGATACTCCGGCAGTCAGGAGAAGGTCGAGAAGGAGTAATGGTGTAGTGATGGCCCAATCTAAATAGCGGGCGTAGAATATTTCTCGGGTGCCTGCCGCTCCCACCAAGCGACTACCAGGACGAACGAATTGAGCCTGAATGGGAACTTGGCCGAGATTTGACCCCATCGCGTAATAAGCGATACATGCGACTGCAGTTATACCTGCGGTGATGTAGTGAAATAAACGATCACCCCGAGGTTTCATGAAAGACAGGCCCATGAAGAGGAGAGTACAGAAACCCATAAAGGCACATACTGCATAGTACCAATTTGAACCGCGGTGGGTAATTTCCAAATTGGCATGCTGGCCAACGACACTATTGATGTTCAGTGCTTGATTTCCAGGTCCAATCATTTTGGCGTTAATGTGCGTTGCGCAGTTTCGGATATTGGTAGAGTAGGTGGATTATAAAATACAAACATGTGTCTGATTCTTAAGTAGTAGATGGCTTAAGGCCGGCCCTGTAGGATATTTGAATGCAAGATCCAACCCGGACAAAAGCGTAGACAACTTTGTCAATGATGACTTCATTATCTCGTAGAGCACATCAGTATATGACACGATCATGTCATGTTGCTGCAATATTAGGAACCGGCTAGGCCATATATTTTCACAAGGTGCTAACCATGTCCTCGTGAATGTATGACGGACACTCAGTCAAGGAAGATACCCTAAGCTGACGGTCAGTTGAACTTCGGATCGGGTAACAAGGAAACTCTGCCCCGTGAAGAGTACGGCCTATTACTCTAGGATTCTCTAGCCTAAGATAGGTTCAGGGGCTAGAAGCTGACTCGAACATCGCTAGGGGAGGGGGGAGGAGTATATTTAATTATATGGATGGTATACCATCGCACATGTCGGTGCTTACGTATAGCATAAGATGAATTAGGTAAATAGGGCTCCCTGTTACGAGATTTTGAGTTTTGGTGGTGGTGCTGTCTATCTCTAGTCACCGAACTAACTGGCCGTGGAATTCGTGATATCATCTAACTGGATGATAGCAGCTATTCCATAACGCCCCTCTCAAAGCTTTTGCATCTAGATCCGTGGTATAGACTGAAAGTTAAAACCGGTGAGGAATGAGGCATGTTCACTCTGTCGTACTAACACATACATGTCCTCGGAGAGTTGTGACGCTTTAGTTGAGCATTACTATATGATGATACTTCGTAGTAGATTAGGTTATTGTTCATGAACTCACCTTGCTGTGTACCTAGCTATCGCCCTCCGCTGTTTTTGGTATATGTCGTCATCGTAATCCCATGACACATTATACTTTGCTCGTACAGGTGATGCTAAACATAGAGGGACGGCCGAGGAAACCTAGTGAATAATTAGCATGATTTATATGGGTTGAATCCCGACCCAAACTATATTAAACACTAACCCTTATATTATTGACGTAGTCCAAAGTCAGCACGGAATTGTCATAGTCAGAACTGGTCGTTTCCATACGATCTTGCTAGACATCCTTTAATAGTTGGGCCTATATATATGTGAATCGGCAGAAGCATGACGGGACAAAAACAAAAATCGCACCCGTAAGTACTTGGATAGAGCTCAGAAAGACCACTAATACTCATTGCTGAATATAGGTATCTGTCTGGAAATTTTGCGCCCATCAAACGGACCCGAACACTAACACGATGCTCTGACACCGGACACATTCCGAGAGAATTCGCCGGAGGTCAATATGTCCGTAACGGCGGGAACCCGACTATCAATGACAACCAAGGGAGAGATTTACACTGGTTCGACGGCGATGGTATGCTCACTGGCGTCCACTTTAAGCGCGGGAAAGAATGTGGTAATATCGAGCCAGAGTTCGTGAATCAGTACGTTTTCACAGATATCTATTTGAATGCAAAGGACAGCAACAATTTGAAGCGGCCTCTACTACCAAGTATTGCAACATTACTTAGCGCTCCGTTAGTAGCTATTATCGTGGCGGTACTCAGGTCATTAATTCTCATATGCCTATCGAGACTACCAGGATCCAAAATAGCTGTCAAGAGGATTAGCGTTGCTAATACTGGGGTCGTATATCATGATGGTAGAGCTTTAGCAACCTGCGAAAGTGGGCCACCGATTAGATTCCATCTCCCTAGTCTGGAGACTATAGGGTGGTATAACGGTCGAAAGGCAGAAAATGAGGGCATTTTAGACCAGGAAGTAGGCTTCGGTGGGAATGGATTGCTGGCGTTTATGAGAGAATGGACAACTGGCCATCCACATGTTGACCCCATTACGAAAGAACTCATCTCATTTCATGCCGTTTTCGTTAAGCCGTTCGTTTACTATTCGATAGTCCCATCAACTAGATATCCGGCTAAGGCGAGTGATCCAGGACCGAGATTTGACATACCAGTTCCTGGAGTAAAGTCACCTAAGATGATGCACGACTTTGGGGTTGCGGCACGCCACACAGTCATAATTGACCTTCCTTTATCTCTGGATCCTATGAACGGCATGCGAGGGAAAACAATTATTTCGTACGATCCGACTGAGCGATCGCGGTATGGCGTATTTCCTCGATATGAGCCACATAAGATACAATGGTTCGAAACGAATGCGTGCGTAGTCTTTCACACGGCTAATTGTTGGGAAACTGGTTTGGTAACACTAGAAGCCGAGACGTGTGTTCATCTTCTTGTTTGCCGTCTCACTTCAGCATCGATTGTGTACAGTACCGGCGCACTTACACCGCCTCTGCCTAAGCCGGTACCCCCAGAATACTTCGAAGAGGAGCAATGCAGGCTATACTATTATAGTTTCCCGCTCATCAAAACAGAATCGGGCGAGGCACCGATGATCAGAAATCAATGGGCCTTATCAGCTATTCCCTTTGAATTCCCGACAGTATCACCATCTCACGCCATGAGTTCAGCTCGCTACATATATGGCTGCAGCACGGGTGGCATGTCCTATTCTGCAGCCCTCGGAAAAGGGGCCAAAATCGCGTACCTAGCAAAGATGGACGCAACGACGCTGATTGACCAAGGCATTACTCATCCACCGCAACAGATCAAAGGCTGTGTTGATACCCGAGGCGTTGACGAGGTAATGCAGAGCACAGACGAAAATGACCCGGTAAAGCTTTTCCAAATGCCCCAAGGTTGGTTCGCACAAGAACCGCGTTTTGTACCGCGTGCAAATGCCGCGACGGAGGATGACGGCTGGTTGCTTACTTATGTGTTTGACGAGTCCCAACTTGATGATAAAGGAGAATGTCGCGATGATGCTGTCAGCGAGCTTTGGATTATTAACGCGATAAATATGAAGGACATTGTAGCAAGAATTAGGCTACCTCAACGAGTGCCTTATGGTTTACATGGTGCTTGGTTTTCTGAAGACGAAATTGCTGAACAAAAACCATTCGATGCGGTTAGACAGGAGACGACTATACCAGTGGTTGATATACAAAGTCCACTATCAACTATGAGGGACACTATCGAAAAATGGATCGGGTGATAGGAAGTATAGTGAAACATTGTTACTCGGTGCTCTGGCAATATCGTTAATTGTGATATGTGAACATGTTTACAATTGGGTCGAAATAAAAACCGGTGGTTCGCCAAATTATTAGCATATGTTTACCTATTTTACATGTTTACGTCATAGCAGCAAGGGTCTTGCAACGGAATGCGAGAATTTACCATCTTGAGGTTACCTTCGCTGCTTCGGTGGTAGGTGGTACCTAATATAATACGGGTAAGAAGGGCTTGTAAAGCAGCTGACAAGGTCCCATTTGTTAATCTAAAATTTTAGCGTATTCCGGGGGAGACGCTTTCGATCTGATTTGCCGCTAGAATTCAATAACATCACCCCATTGCATCCATCCATTGTCCAAATAATAAAAATCAAATCATATCAAAAAAAAAGAAGAAAAAAAGAACACCTTATTGATTCACGAAGTGCAGTTCCTTTCACACCACATACTTCATTGACCAGTTATTTATATAGTATAAAATGATGAATATGAACTGCGAATCCTCATGACCATCACGTCTCTTCAATCTCCCCTGTTACCAAATGATACCTGTCTAGCTGTCACGTAATGGAGTTGATTCCGTACACGGCTCGAGACGGTCGTGAAATCGTGTTGTACGTCATTCCCTTTTCCCATTTACGATGCCCCGCTATGATGACCGGTCATCTCAACTCGAGTTAGAGGGAGGAAGAGGAAGACTGAGTCTGAATTTTTATTATCATTATCAACGTTTTCAATATGTTATATCTTTTAGTTTATGCTGCTAAATATATTTGTGTCTTAGACGACATCGCAATGCTATCGTTGTCCGTGATCCCTCGTCGCAACGCCTCGAAATTCGAGGTAACACCTTAACAGAATGTCCAACTTGCCACCAATCTCTTCGTCCACCCTCACCCGACCGACATTTCGAACCTCCGACTCAAGCACCTGACTCTTATGTTAACCCGAACTATTTTCGTATGCTCCAAGTAGGGCATGACGAAGATGCGCAACATACTCAACGACAGCCTCCACCGAGTCCCATACGTCGACTAACACAACCCACATTGCCAAGCGGTGGACCGAGACCCCATGAAGTCGAAGATGCCGAGTTCATATCCAGCTCGCCCGCCCCCCAAGAGGGAGCACGTATAAGAAGGGATGCATTTAGTCCTAATTACTTTAAGAGGTTCTTTGTCGAGGAAAGGGAACTCGGTCGGGGCGGCAAGGGTGTCGTATTACTGGTTCGCCACGAGATTGATGGGTGTGCTCTTGGCCACTTCGCGTGTAAGCGGGTTCCCGTGGGAGACGATCATGCATGGTTAGAGAAAGTCTTGATAGAAGTAGAGCTACTCGCCAAGCTCTCGCACCCTAATCTAGTGTCTTATCGACACGTCTGGCTGGAGGACGTGAAGACGAACCGTTTCGGACCAAGCGTCGCTTGCGCCTTCATCCTCCAACAGTACTGCAATGGCGGCGACCTATTACGTTATGTCGTCGGAGATGGGCCCAAGCAAACTACAAAAGAGGAACTTATAGCTCGGATGCGCCGAAAGTCAAGGGGCGCTACGGATCAACCCCATAGCGTTCTCCCTTCTCTACGCCGTCTATCGTTCGAGGAGATATATTCCCTCTTCAAAGACATCACATGTGGCCTCGCTTATCTTCACGGTGCCAACTACATTCACCGTGATTTAAAGCCTAGCAACTGCCTCCTACATCATGAAAATGGAAAGGTTACCTGCTTAATTAGCGACTTCGGCGAAGTACAGCCCGAAAATGCTATCCGAAACTCAACGGGAACAACCGGTACGATCTCCTACTGTGCCCCGGAGGTCCTAAAGAGGGACGCCAACGGTCGTCTTGGTAATTTTACAACCAAGTCTGACGTGTTCTCGCTCGGCATGGTTCTATATTTTCTATGCTTCGGTCGACTTCCCTATGTGAATGCCAACGCTGTTCAGGAAGAACTCGAAGACATTGACCTGCTCCGAGCAGAAATAGCCAGTTGGAAGGGCTTCCGGGACGAGAAGCGGGAGCGGCCTGACCTTCCTTTAAAGCTCTACCAATTGCTCAAGAAGATGCTAGCTCTCAATCCCGCTGAGCGACCTAGCGCTACGGAAGTATTGAGCGTGATGAATCACGAATCATATCATGGCGGTCTACGAGGGCGAAGTACAAGCCCTTCTATGGGTCTCCCGGGACGACGAATTCAAAACCTTGACTCACCTATGCCTCCCAGTACCCCCGTTCCTGACCCTCAGAAGCAAAATCGTAATATTTTGGTTCCCGAGGAAATTGTGACATCTCCTAGCGAGGGAAACTCACCAGCGACAAGTCATTCGCCGGAAATAGACTACCGTAGCAGCCTTCAGAAGTATGGCACGCCTAGCACGCCTCGGCACCGTCCGCAGGCCATGACCCTATCACGAAGTCATGAAAATCTTATACGTTTATCCCCGGAGCGTGGCCGTGCTTCTGGGGTTGTCCATTCGCAGCCATCTCCTACTCTGCATACGCCACTATTACTAGCACCCCCAGCCAGTGCATTAGGAACATTAGGGCAGCAGACCCGAGGTAACTTAGTTTATCTCATTCGTCGCCACAGTGATTCGATAACATTTACCATTCGACTAGTTATATTTCTAGTCAAAGTCGTATCAATCGCCAGGACATGTTGGCCCTTTACCATGAGTCTCGGGATCGGGGTACCCCTTCTCGGCCTAGCTGGAATTGACCTTGGTATACCGTTGCGGAGTGATACAGCCTTGTCTATCCACGAAAGGGGTCAGCACAGACGCGTTGAATCTGGGTTGTCACATTGGAGCTGGGGATTAAGAGGGAGTTTTGTTCTACTTACGCTCCATTTCGTTGCGTTATGGGCCCTCTCCGGACTGGATGTTTTATGTGTTTCTTTCGGGGATACCTGGACGGACTGGTAATTATAAACCCGAATGAGAACATAACAGTCATATACAGCATGGCTCGGTTGTCTATCGATGTCTTCTTTATTCGGGGGCCGGGAAGAATGGAGATCAAAAATTTCGCCCGAGATCGTTTACTCGGAAGACGAAATAGTTAAAGGTAAACCCCTCCGCAAACCCCTTCTTTCACACGCATACGTCTTACGCATAGAATACATGCCTAAGACCCCTAAAACATATCGCATATAGTCCGCCAACGATACCACAATTACCTATAGCTACTCATTTCTCTTTGTTACTCTTAGCATTCCAAATTTTGCGTCTATTCCTAACAGTTCTCAGTTCAAGGCGACGGGACAACGGAAATACATATTCCCTTTCATTCTGATGTAATTAGGAGGGTGATGTTAGTACGCATCATACAATCACGTTCTCTACAAGTGTAAGGAAGCAATAATAATCATCATTGAACTATAAGCGTCAACATTGGAAAAGACAGAAGCGAATTGGACGCGGTTTAGCATGAGGAGTTGAGCCAGTATTGACGACGAAAATAATACTTTTTAACAGCTACTATATACATCTTTTCTTTGCGTCTAGGAATTGCATATTCTAATGGTTAGAGATTAGGCACCTAGGTAATATAGATATTTCTCATCGCATGTCGGATAGCTTAACGTGAGTATAGATGTAATAGGCAGCAACATTTCATATGATTGTTACCCTATTACCTTTCTTAATTACACCATTATTCCAGTATTCTCGAAGCTATTTCTTAGGCCCGGTAAGCACATTCCCAAACCTCTCCTTAACCCTTAACACGCCCTCGTGGCCCCTCCTCGCCGCCTCCTCATACGCCATGCGATACACATGCAGCCCCTCCCAGAACAGCAGTCTCTTATCCGTCCACCCGGTCAGTCGTCGGATCTTGCTACTATCAACCCACTGGCTGTGGCCTAGCGCAACGTACACCGACAGATCAGCCTCGACCCCGACCGGCGCCCGCACTACGTCGCGCAGCCCGTACTCAACCTTCAACGCCTCAGCAATCATGGCCAGCGTCTCATACCGCGCACCAGAGATATTAAAGCACTGTCCCGCAACCGCGTCCCGGTCCGCGTGCGCAGCAAGCGCGACGTAAGCTTCCGCGCAGTCGTCGATATGGCACCCGTGAATAATAGTGCCGAAATCAAACGGGATTTCCCAGACGCGCGACTCGGACCGCGCGGCGGAGGCCGCGAGCTCGAAGGCTAGCCCGTAGTAGCTGCTGTCGTAGCCGTATACGGGGGTAGGCCGCAGGAGCGCAGCGTCGAATAAGTCCGTGTGCTCGAAGATCTTGAGACACCCGAACGCGCGCTCTTGTATTATGTCCATGGGCTGGAGCGGCGAGGCCTCGGTGTGCGGGGCGAGATCTGGGGATCCGTGGAGACCGGTCGTCCCGTAGTCTTTGCATCCGGAGCTCGCGAGGACGAGGGGGCGGATGCCGTGCGCGTTGGACGTCGTGGCGAGTTTGCGGATGAGGGAGAGGGCGGCGTCGTAGTGTGCGCCGAAGGGGATTTGCTCTGTGCACGAGACGATGACGTCGAGGGTCTTGGTGTATTTGGCTAGGTCTGCCGGGAACGTGGCGTCTGTGGATATGGATCCGATGATGGGGATGATTTCCTCGGAGTACAAAGTTCCAGCTGCTTCGGGACGCCGGATTAGTCCGTAGACGCGCCAGCCGGCGCGCACAAAGGCCCGGCAGACGGCGGAGCCGATGTATCCATTTGCGCCGGTGACGAAGACGGATTTCTGGGGGGGTGTGGATTGGGTCATGGTGATGTCACTGAAGCGTTTAGATTTGGAATATTGGTCTTTACTTTTGATATCGTCATTTTGGAGTCAGGATGAAATATAGGTATACACTTTATTTATACTATGTCTACGTTTGCTGTACGTGCAATTGACGTTGTTAAATGGGGGGGTTGGAATTTGTAATCGCTATGCTGTGAACAGGCACTTTGAGTTTGTGATGTCGGGGCAGATGCAACGATCAAAAGCAGCTCGGGGCAATAGAGGCTCCGCTTGATAACTCGGGCGCCCCCTGATTACCAAACCGTCCTGGGAAAACTGGATACGGGTCTCAAATGTTGTTTATCCCGTTGGGGTTAGGGTGCTCAGGGGTTGAACGTACTTAAGAACTTCATCTCTCGGATTCAGATAGTTGCTTAATCCATCCTGTTTGAAAAGATTGGTTACTTTCGTATATAGGTGTAAGACGTTGTTGGTTCTCTCTACTCTACCCATATGCTGATAACATGTGTTGGTGAGGGAGGAAAATTCCGCCGTCTTATGAAGCAACATGAGAATGACAGATGTAATGTGTTCTTATTTACCAACTAGAACAGTTTTCACTTCATTAATAACTGCATTGTCTGTTTGATATTATTAGTCTGCAGGTAACTTGTGATCGACATTTATATCATCTGTTGTACATCAAGGGTCGGATGCTTGATTTCAAACATATCGCAGCCTTAATGAAATGATCGAAAGGACGAAGTTTGGTATATAGAAGATATATGGTGAAAAGGGAGGGCTCAAGAGTTATATCTACATAATGTAACTACATATAAATACGCATGAATTTGTTTACGATGACTTCCAACTAGCTACTATCCTGGGTATCTCTGATAACATGGCCAGAAGAGCTAATACCGACGCCGGGACTTCCACAACGCTTGCTAAAATGACGGAATAATAAATATAGAAGAATCTAGTGAAGGCGGCGATTAACCCGATGATGTAGGGGAGGCCGTCGAACTGCTACTTTCTACGTATTGGCCGGCCATGTCTTGATCGTGAAGTAATTTCCACTTAGTGTGGGAAGCGTTAATATGATCCCTCAAATCTTCAACGCTTGCGTACCTCTCTGTTCTGCCGCTAGAGGTACATAAGACGCACCCAAACCCGCCGTCACAATGTGATTTCCCGAGGAATCGGGCTGTAATCTCAAACCCTTCCTTCACTATGAAGGCGGTTTTATCTTCAGTCTGCATCCCGTTCCAATCATACCCACATCTGCAGTTCTGGTTTTCTGGCATTGATTTTTGAAGATTAACTTGATATTCTAATGCCTCAGGGCAAAACATGCTGAACACGCTATTCTTTGGTTGCAGACCATAATCAGATGTGATCGTTGTGTGGATTGATTGAATATCGTCTGGAACTTGCTTGGGAGTTAGTGGCGGGGACGGTGGTTCTGATTGAGAGTTCGGCGGCTTGCTAGGGCTTTCTCCGCCATATTTTGACTGTGCGTACCCGGCTGCGTCGCCATCAATACTGCTACTTTTATTATCGGCGACCGGATTGGCTATATCTTCTTCGGATGGTATAACACTAAGTCTCGACCGCCGTCTGACTCCCGGCAGGATTTGTGGCACTAGACGGCCAACGGCAACTCGTTTATATTGACTAGCCAAGGCGGCCAAGCAGGATATACGAACACTTTCCGACACACGAATAACTTCGAAGAGCTCAAGTGAGCCGTTGTCGGCACGAGTAGCTTTGCGTAGAGCATATATGCGCTCTTGTAGACGTTCGAGGTCGCGTTTTAAGCTCTCGCGGCATACATCTGCATATTCTAATTAGGGGACGTAGGTGAGAGAGAGTATTAGATCCAAGGTAGCTTACCGTCTCCAACAGAGAACCCAGTGCCGAAGATATCTACCCCACTATCAAATGCCTCCTTAATTTTGCTTGGGGAGAAACTCAAAGACGTGCTTAAAGCACATGTATTAGTTCGGCCTAGATTTCCTCTGGCATGATTCTCATAATGATTCTCCTGCCATTTTCGGTGTTGCCATTTGGTGTAGTATTCTAGGCCAGCTGCGTATGTTGCAACCAGAGCCTCAACGACGGTGCCTACAGTGCTGAGATCCATCAAATTCGATTGGCTTGCCTAAACCCCACGCAATATCGCTATTATAATACCGATATGCATACTTATTTAATCAGGTACAACATAAGAGTAGTAAGAAGTAAAATAAAAAAGCATAAGGAGGAAATATGAGAAGAGACAGGAAGCAGCACGGAACAAGATAAGTGATTCCCAAGTTGGGCGATATATAACTGCATAATGCTCTTTCGCATCTACGATCTGGGCGATAAGACTTTGAGACAGACATCTGCACCAGCGGCATCAAGACCTTATCTGGTGATAGATCTGTCGCCCGGTCACCATGTAGGTACGCGAATCCCACCTGCCAGGCCAACCAGCCCTGTTGGCTCTTTAGTGGCGTTTGTCAGCAGGCCTTGTTTGCTTTATGGGCGTCGGGGGACATAATATCTATAGATTTTATTAACACATCCAATAGGTTATTAGAATCAATTGTGACAAACACCAGCCAAAGGCGCTTTACAAGGAGGCGGCCTGCATGAGGATTTACATAGTATTTATGCCGATTGGTATGGAACTCCGGATGAGTAATATTAGAACATTCGCAAACAGTTTCAGTTTAAATATAAGTTATATATTATATAACTAGAAGTGATTGTACATGGAGTTTTTAGAAGAAATATTAAGAACAAAATATTGTATCACTGTGTATTCACCTAAGATGAATTCTTACCTAAGCTGAAGTAACTTAACTTATGCTCAGTTAATGAAATTTATAAAATTGCACTATTCTAAGTTAGGTTAGTTGTGAAATTAATGCAGGTTATGAATTAAGAGTTATGAATTGAGATCCTTAGCTGAAAGAGAGCTGATGTTTTAGGCACTTACATGTATTAGTAGGCGCGTCGCTCCATTCCTCCACCAATACCTTTTTTATTATTGCATTAGCGGATCTAAGCAATGCGTCGTCATCTTCAATATCATAACGTCCTCTCCTATGAATAAGTTTATCAGTGTGCTATTATTCTAAGGTATTAAGCATTTAACTACCTACGGAATGAAACATTCCTAAGACAACAAAAAGGTCAATATGCCACGTCCTTTAAGATCGAGTTGTGATCGTTGTCACTCGCAGAAGCTCAAATGTCCGAAGCAGCCTGGAGTTTCAACCTGTACAAGATGTCTCAAGGCCGACGCCACTTGTATTTTCAGCCCGGCCGGACTTAGCACTCGACGCGCGCTACCGGCCTCTAATTTTACCTACTTGAACAGCGACCTGGATATGAATATGCAGTTTGACTGGCCTCCTTTGGAATTTGAAAATACTTTAGTTACTCCCCCAGAAGTTCCCCAAGAATCCCTACGAGATCAACAAGTTCCAGATCAACCAGTTGAACAATCAGAGCCAGCTTCTCAGGATCCGCGGTCAACCTGTGTCCGTCTACTAACCTCCTTGGCTGTTGAGGTTGATCAAGTGTCCATAACTTTATCATCAGTATCGCACGTCCATGTGCCTAAGAATCGACCAATTGCGGAATATCATGATAAATTCATCCAAAATACCTCCCGCACCATGTGCATCGAGCAACTCTTCACTCTGGCTCAAAACCTCACGGATATTTACCCACAGGTCCTAAGCGTCCTTTTTGATAGACCAGACTCTCCTGACTGCCAGGATCCCGATTGCTTTCACATGTCCGAGCTACCTGACGATATAGCGGCTTTCTTTTCGACCCCAGGTGATGATCAGAATGAAATTGATACTTTTCTCTTTAACCTTCTGGTATCCTGTCATGCCAAAATCGTAGACGCGATAGGGACTATTATCAGCTGCGCGAGAACGTGTACTCAAGTTACCTTAGCGTCTCCTGACTTTGTCGAGCCGCATGTGCATGTACCAGAAGTTCGAGTTGGGAGCTTTGTTGCAACCAATACGACTGCTTCAACGATGCAGATTGTCCTCTTAATCCATATCGCTTCGGTTCTCGTTGATAATGCCCAACGGCTTACTAAACGAGTCATTGCCACAATAGAGGGTAGGCCCGACAGCAAGCAAGCTCAAATGCTGAAACTCCAATGCGAGTTATTGGAGGAGAAATCGGTCTCCAAGGTGAAACTATTGCAACAGGTCAAGGATCTATTTACAACTATCAGTTTCATGAATTGCGATCGAAGGACATCATCGAAAAAATGAAGGATAATTCTTCAATACCTTTCCAAGTGTTAGTGGCTCCACGAAGCTACATAGAACGTCCACCAAGCAACCACCTCTAAACCACCCATGTCTTGTTTCGACATCGCCACTTACTCTGCTAATCGAAATTCATCATGCCTACGGCCCCAGCCATGTCTTTACCTACTGATACCAACATTTCTTAAAGGGGCCAAATACCTTGATCGTCGGATCTTCTTCATTCGGCACCTAGAAGGCGAAGCTACTAGGTGGTAGATCGTCGACTATCAGTAGTCCAAAAACATGAAAATTAGACTTGGCAATAACACCAAGCTCTTTGTCGCTTCGACCTTTAGCTTAAGACTAGTAAGCTGACGATGTAGCTCAGGCTTGGCAGCTGGTAGATGTTTGCTGCATATGTTGCAGTGTCAATGGAGTACTGTCCTGGTAGCAATAGTACCCACTTCGTATTGAAGTAAGAGAAGGGGTTACGCTACAAGGTCCATCAATATCAAGCTGCTCGATGTGGAATCTCCTGTCGAATCTATACCCGAGATAGAGGAGCGTTTAGTATTGTTCGATCCACTTCAGGTTTACTTGTTTGCTTTTCAAGCAACTACCTCGTATAAAGCCACTGAACACAACAAAAAGATAGTTAGCAATAAGCAACAAGCCCAAATAATATTTGGCATACGCTTGATCGATTATTTAACTATTGCAGGTATGACGTTACAACAATTTGAGCGTTAATTTCGTTACCATTAACAGGTACCTAGCTATCGTACTTAACAGTGAGATACTCACTCTGTTGACAAATACTATATCATTCTTATAATTACACATTTATCAAGTATCATGCACCAAATTATACATAGCGGCAAGCGATATAACTGAATATAGGTACGCAATATGATATTTACTCTAACTCCGGTTTTCTACCTTGGTAAAAACCCAAGTCTCCAGCTAATAAAATGATAACTAGTAAAATAGGATCTTCGGCTTTATAATCAAAGCAAAGGTTGGCCAGATAATGCTGCATTGTTAATTTCGGGTAGATCATACGACTGGCCTTTGAGATATACAGCTAATAGTTGATTGTCAAGTCACGTCTTTGTATTTACTATCAAAATAAAGAATATATTTAATATTCCAACTGAATTCTAATTCGGGGTTTAATGTAAAACAATTTTCCTATCCGCGAATAGCCATTAATGTCTCTTGTGGCACAGGTCGCATTTAAGTGGCCTGCTAGATAAATATCAGATAATGAACCAAATTTCTACTTTTCATAGGGAGATCTATGGAATACACAAACTGATATTCGAGAGTACATCTAGAGAGCGCTCTAAGTCGCTGCCTGGTCTAAGGAGTCGAATAAAGGCCTTCGGAGAGGAGCATGGATGTGATAGGAGGCGCAGGAGTTGTACTCTGCTGAAGAACAAGGTTAAAAGGTTACCTGAGATCATCATCGCGCGGTGCAATGGCAGAAGTGCTAAGAACGAGGACTATGATAGCGATGAGGAAGACCTGAGAAATGGTGTTCCTACTACATACTCCCAGCACCGTGGCGGTCAGTTCACCCCGGATATGAAGACAACAGTTGCCGAAAGGCATGATGAACTAATATGCCGTAAGAGTGAACTACAGGGGGAGCTATACACCGCAAAGCAGCGGTACCTCGACGCGCGCGACTGGTTTATTAACGCCTCTAACCCGCAATGGGATGCGAAAAAGTGCTTCAAATACCGGCAACTGGAGGACAACTACGTAGACCTAACGCGTATGTACTTCAAGCTCGAAGACGATATAAACGAGCTCCAGGCTATGCTCCTCAGCTTCGGGGAAAGCGTATCCGTGCCGATGGCGGTGCAGAAAAGCGGGAGTTGGGATATGAACACGCGCCGTTCTCGCATATGGACGTTGTCGAATGCTAGTTATGAGTGGGAGTCGCCGAGTGATTTTCCAGCGGTGAGTTCGCGGGGGAATATTGGTGCATCTAGGACGTTTTGAAAATGTTTAGGTATAACAGTTTATTCTGTGTTTACGGCATATTTTTTTCTATTATAAAATATCAGGGATCATGTTGTATGGAAGGAGAGGTAGGGGCCGAGACTGCAGTATATAGGTGTATCGGTGACTGATTTAATCCATGCTTAGCCCCGAGAATAGGGGAGAGGGATGGCCTATTTATATAGAGATTTATATAAGAATTATTATATATCAAAATTTAAACACTATAGAACTTTTAGCTACGTCACTGAATACTATGCCGCTTTAGTAGCACAACTCTTTACACAGGGTTCCAAAGACTTACGAAGTGTAGACGTACGTATCGATTCTGCTGCTCAATTAGTTTAAGTATACCTGGTAGTACGTCTTAAAAGCCTATGGATTTCTCTTGACTTCTGAAATATGTTGTTATAGCAAAGATGGGGTTATACTCAGTGAATTATTAAATGATACACTTTAAATTTAAGGCAATCAGCTGCATTATGTAGACTACGAGATATCCTATAGGGTTAAACAGTACTACTTAATCAATTATAAATCACGATAGGTAAATCACTAAAATTGACGCGTTTTCTTTTTAAACATTAAAATGTATTAGAGCTTACTATTTACTTTCATCTTCACACTACTTCCACTCCGTCGCTCTGCGATAGGAAAAAGGGAGAGGGGAAACCGGTACTACTAGAATAAGGGTGTATTTACCTCTGGAACCATTTTCGAATTCGACTCATACTTACTTATCGTCGTCTACAACTGTGGCACTTCTCATTGACGCGAACCGTGTCAGACTCAGGGGCGTCCATGGGAGTGACAAGCGGGCATCGGCCGTAGGAAGCAACCAAGGGACATGCGATCACCTGGCTGGAATAGTCCTGGCGATGTCCGCAGGTGTAGAGTTGTTGGGGGTGCCAGCACATGATGGGCGGTATTGAAGATGTAAAGGGTTGAAGGGTTAAAAGTATGAGTAGAATTTAGAAATGGCTGTTGAGATTCCCCCGGTGTAGAAGTGTGTGAATGGTTGATCCTGTCAACCGAAGATGTCGAATACTAAGCTGAGCTGTTGTGATGATTGGAATGATAGAATCTACGAGATGTTTTAAGCTGGCTCTTATACTTTTCTCAAGTGTCATTAGGACAATAAGCATTGTTGTTTATCAATAATGTTATTATTGACGTTTCTCTTTGACGGATCCAAGCGGAGTAGCTTCTCACAATGAAGACGCCAAAGCTTTTGTAAATGGCATTCATTCTCTTTCATACTCTATAGTCTCTAAATAAGCTTAGTCGAAGTCTTTGAATAACTACAGTTGATCCAGGTTCTACTAAGAATACAGGATCTTCTGTCTTGGATTATCTTTCAGGCCCCTTCAGCGATGAACTCTTTCATAGCATACAGCTTCATTCTTCCGCCCACAGAATGTGGGCATTATGGAGTACCCTAGGATATACAGTGAGTTCTAAAAATATTACTAGAGCCTCAAAGTCTTAGCCGAAGATCTTAGACACGATAGGGTTAGTTTAGAACTACTTCTACTAATTAGTAACCTTGAGCCATACATCTACTTAAAGGAGAAAATGTAAGATCTAAGTTTAAACCCTGTTCACGTTTCTATTCGTAGCCATATTCTTCCCAATTACATGATTGAGTTTACTTGCATTCTTGGGTCGAGAGAATCGAAGCATTTGCAAGCTCAAAGCGGAATACAATGAAACCACCTTCTGCCCGAAGTGAGGAGGCAGCCTAACGTCTTTGACTTCGGTCCGTCCAGTGCTACTACACTGACAAATACTAACTCACCAGTCTTTCGCCCATTCCTAATGTGTCGGTAAGCGTCGGGATATTGGGCCGACTTCATGTCGAAGGCACGAGGTCTATCCCCTAAGTGAACGGCCACACCTGCACACCAAGAATCTGGGCCGGTGGACTCAACACACTACCCCACAGAATATAACCTGCATATCGGAATTCCAAGACTTCATGGCTTCATTTACCTCCCGTCGACTTTAATCAAGGTGGGAAAGCTGATTGGTCATGGGGGAGTTATACAAGGGTGAGTATCATTTACCCGGAGGACCTTTATCCGCTCGGTAGCCATCTCGCCGCGTCCAAACATGTAAGGTCGTCATTGAGCATGGCTCAATCATTCGGTAATGCAAGAATTTAATTGATCTCCCCATGCTTCTTTTAGAAATTCGTGGAAAGCGAGCATGGATATAATAATAGTAGTACGACGCGTGCCCCCCTGACATTCTCCAGGTATATATATCGAGTGCCGCCGATCTTCAAAGCCATCCACACCAGAGTCAGGGAACTTCAACATTGTCAACCTACATTCCTATATCTTGACAAAATGAAGGCTGTTACCGCTGTCCTCGCCCTCGTGGCTGCCGTTCAGGCTCACTGTAAGTTAGATAAAACCATATATGATCTGCAGTAAAATAACTAATATACGGTTAGACACTTTCCCAGCGCTGGTTGCAAACGGCGGTGCTACAAGCAAGTGGGAGTACGTGAGGAAGACGACCAACTACCAGAGCAATGGACCAGGTCCGTATTTTATAGCATTTGCCTCTAAATCCTCGATCTTATAGCATCAACTAACACTTTGCAGTGACCGACGTCAGCTCTGATCAGTTCCGCTGCTACCAACTCGCCGCAGGCAACGAGGGCGCCAAGACGATGACCGTAGCTGCCGGCTCCACCGTCGGCTTCACGGCCGACGCATCCGTCTCACACCCGGGGACCCTACAGTTCTACATGGCGAAGGTGCCCGCAGGCCAGAAAGCGGATTCGTGGGATGGCTCAGGCGCAGTATGGTTCAAGATCTTCTCGCAGGGCCCGAACATCTCGCCCAGCGGTCTGACCTGGCCCAGCCAGGGCGCCAAGGAGGTCACGACCAAGATCCCGTCGTGCATCCCCGCCGGCGACTACCTGCTCCGCGTCGAGCACATCGCCCTTCACTCCGCGGGCTCGGTCGGCGGTGCTCAGACGTACATCTCGTGCGCGCAGCTCACTGTTACTGGCGGCGGCAGCAAGACCCCGACGAACCTTGTCTCGTTCCCTGGCGCTTACAAGGCTACCGATCCTGGTCTATTAATCAACATCTACTACCCGGTACCTACTTCTTACACCGCCCCTGGACCTGCTGTGTTCACCTGTTAAGTGGCTGTGGAAGTTGAGGGATAGGGTCTGCGGAATTCGTGATAGGAAGCGAATAATATTGAGAATATCCTAAATAAATATCTTGACTTTGAGTCTTAATACGAATTACGTAGTGAAATCCCAATAGACAGCTTCTACCTTGTGATCATGCAGTTAATACTTCCTCTAGCCTAGAAGATAGGAAGTAGTTAATAGCTCTCTGCTAGACATAGTTAGATAGCAGGTCACAGACACTGCAACGAAATCCTATATCAAAAACGATTCACTTATGCACATACAATCACACATGTAAACCCAAGTTTTAAATCAACAGAAAATATTGTATTTCGTTCCTTCGGTATCAAGAATTAAAGTCCATACTCGTACTCATACATTTCCACCCCTTGCTCATAAAAATTTGGGTATATGGGCCATTATGCTTGACCAAAATGAGTATTCCTCCTCTCTAGACGCTAAGTCTTCGTTTCGATAATTTAAGCGGTGGTGGCATCGAAGGACAGGAAGGTTGAAGCATTGCCAGCCTCGTCCTCGTCCTGCTTGATGTTGTTATCAAGCTTCTTCTGCTCCTTGGCCATGTCGGCGGAGACATCCTCTCCCTGGGCTTGCTCGATCATCAAGCGGAAGATGGTGGCCTGGAGCTTGAGAACCTTGTTCTTTATCTTGCCGCGCTGGAGAGCATCGGCAGCCTCACCGGAGGCATCGTCGATGGCGGTATTGAATGCCTCCTTCTCAGCTTGGTTGCAGATCTTGTTGACTGAGTTAAGGAAGGCGATGTCATCCTTGTCGGCGTTGGCCAGGTTGTTTGTGTCAAGAGCGCTGAAGACAGCGAGAGCTTCTTCTTGTGCGTTACCGGCAACACCTCCGGAGATAGAGATGTCGTTGTATGTCTGCTGGGTGAAGACACCGGCCTGGACGAAGGCAGCGTAAGCCGCAACTAGAGCGATAGAGAAACGCATTGTGATTATTTTGGTGTGGTAGGGTAAAAAAAGTCGGATGATTCAAAGTCGTCAACGACTGGCTAACTTTATTCGACTAGCGAAATGAAATGAATACGAGTAATGGAAAGGGACAGCACAGCTGTTGGAGAAGAAAGAAGGAATAGAAACTGGCTGTTGATGTTTGTAGAATGGGATAGAGAAAAAAAAAAGATTTACGAAACGTATGGGCGGGAAGCCGTAGATCTTATACGGCTTGATTTTCATAAGATCCGGAAAATCATTTCAATATTTCTGGGGCTCTCAACTATCTCGTCGGTAACTGTAGCCGAGCTGAAGCTTCGAAAAGGGACCTAGACGAACACGCTTGTCGCTAGTCGAGTTGGTTGTGCAACGCGCTTTGCGTGAAGAAAGCCAAGAAAGTCTTGGCTGAAACCCACGTCCCCTTTTTCACCTTAAGATTTGGTATCGCGAGCTCGGTTTGCGAAGGTTGGACCCGGCAATGCCAAGAGACGAACACCTCAAATGGCGCCGAACATACTGGTGATACCCTGAGAGATCCTTCAATATCGGGAGATATAATGATGGGGTTAGCAGCCCGCGTCCGGACGGCCATTTCGGGTTCGCCTAGCCGCCGCTATCGTGAGGCTCACCAAGTGGAAAATCTTAGATTAGAAAACGCACGATCCCTGTTCCTGACATTGATATTCTATTAATTATTGTATAATATCTAATAGTTACGGACAAAATAAACATTATACTCTATATATCAAAGGTAAATTTTGACCGAATATAGTTCGTTTAGAAAAAAGAATAGTGTAACGATAGAATGATAATATGTAAGACGGGGTTTCTTCATGAGTTCATGTCGTCTGAAGTCGAACAGGGGCAAGCAGGGGGTAAGCGGTTAGTTAAAGCGAAGGGAACCCAACTCCACTATCCCCCAGTGGTTAGCGAAACTGCAGGGTAGCCCTTGTAGCCCCTTGCTACTCCATAGAAGCCGAAATCTTACAAGTTCGTATGTCGAAGTTATGATCGTGGAAACCTGGGTTACTATCAAGGGGCAGCCCACGTTTTAGAGCATGGATTCAAGACAAGTAGATTCGGCGATATCGACATATTGTATTGTGAGGTATTTATCGTGCCATTTTGGAAGTCAGCGACATTGAAGCGAATCCACGTTTATAATAAAATTCCATTCTGTTATCCAGCGGATAGAATCCCATTCCTAGTCGTAGACCTTATTAACCCTGTGGATATCATGGTATTTTCAAAAGACCATACTAATTTTACTAAAATGTGTTGTTCGCCACCCCTACAAGAGCTGTCGGACATCCAATAAAGGAAACCATCGCGTCTCCTCTTTTTCTTCTCGTCATCTCTCCTTTATTTAATTACCTACGCATTGGAGACGGTGAAGCTAATATACCATATGATTTCAAATCACACTTTTCATATGTTAGCGATGAAGACAACATTGATGCAAGCATAGTAACGGAGAGACTAATCGAAACTGTTCCGTCGGAGACTTTCTTTGGTAAGCATCATGTTCGACCAAGTCACACGGGTAGTAGAATTCATCAAAGAATGAATTGGATTGGTGTAGATGCCTTAAGTCGTCAACTTAGCCTCATGTATCTTCGTTGATTTATAAGTCAATACTGATATCGAAGGCGTAACTAAGTCCGATTGTTACCACTTTATGCAACATTTGTTTGTCAGGCTTTGGGGTTGGCTTCTTGGATCTCTCGTCATACCCCTCAGTAATGGCGACATCCCACGGTGTATAAGCCGATCCGGACGGGCCGGAGCCTACCTTATAACGTAGAAGAACGGCACGCTCCCTCCGTAAAGGAGCCCTGTAGATCCGTAGAAAGAGATACGAATAGTAGACATGGCCGAACAACAGCAACAGAAGAAACAACTTCGTCTGGGAGCTTTCATGCGCCCGGTGAGCTTGCATACAGGAGCATGGCGATACCCCGGTGCCTATCCCGATGCCAACTTCAACTTCCAGCACATCAAGTCGTTTGCGCAGAAGTTAGAAGCTGCTAAGTTCGACGCATTCTTCATGGCCGATCATCTAGCCGTATTGAACATGCCCATCGAGGCGCTCCGACGCAGCCACACTGTCACATCATTTGAGCCATTCACTTTATTATCAAGTCTGGCCGCAGTAACCGAGCGCATCGGCCTCGTCGCTACGGCTTCGACGACATACGATGCACCTTACCACATCGCAAGGCGGTTTGCGTCTCTCGATCATCTGAGCGGAGGCCGTGCTGGCTGGAATATTGTCACAACCGCTAATCCAGACTCGGCGCGCAATTTCGGCCAGGATGCGCATAAGGAGCATAGTGAACGCTATGCTCGGGCCCGTGAATTCTACGATGTGGTGACAGGACTCTGGGATAGCTTCGCCGATGACGCTTTTGTGCGTGATGTCGAAAGCGGCATCTTCTTCAATCCCGAGCGTCTGCACGTTCTCGATCATCACGGAGCCGAACTCGACGTCAGGGGTCCACTAAACATTGCGCGACCACCGCAGGGATGGCCAGTAATCGTGCAAGCCGGTGCATCAGAGCCGGGGAAACAGCTCGCTGCCGAGACGGCCGAGGTAGTGTTTTGCGCACCGCGAAATCTCGAGGCGGGCAAGGAGTTCTTCAAGGACGTGAAGGGCCGGCTTGCTGCTGTGGGCCGTAGTCCTGATGATATAAAGCTGTTACCTGCCGCGTTTATAGTCATTGGTGATACAGTCGAAGAGGCCCAAGCTAAGCGGCTGAAGCTGGACAGTCTTGTGCATTATGAAAGTTCCGTTGCTTCGCTCTCTATTGCACTTGGCTACGACGTCGCCAACTTAGATCCAGACGGCCCTCTACCGACTGAGCTGCCCGAGACTAACGCAAGCAAGTCAAGTCGTGAGAGTGTGTTAAAGCTTGCAGCGACCGAAGGTCTTACCGTCCGCCAACTCGCACAAAGATATGGAGGATATTCAGGTCTGGCATTTGTCGGAACGGTCCAGACGGTGGCTGATGAGATGGAGCAGTGGCTTGTACAAGAAGGTTCAGATGGCTTCAATGTTGTTTTCCCCTTCTTACCGCAGGGTCTTGATGATGTGGTCGAGCGCTTGATTCCGGAGCTGCAGAGGCGAGGCATCTTCCGTAAGGATTACGAGGGGACAACTCTGCGAGAGCATTTGGGTCTCAAGCGCCCAAAGAACAAGTTCTTCCCATAAGATAGGAGTAATGCACAGTTAATAGTCATAGTTGTACCTCATATACGAAGAATGAATTAGTATAATGATATTGGCTCGATAAAGATATAAGACTTCCAATTGGACACATGTATATTATTTGAAATCTAATAGTGCCATCAAATGTTAGAGTTAGCCACTTATTCCTATAAAGAGTTGTGTAAACATCATATACCTAAAGAATTAGAATACAACTAGTCCAAGATGACTCTGTTACCGCAGCTTGCACTGGAGTATTGACCTTAGGTAATGACTTAAGAAACTATCATGTTAATCTAGGAATCCTCACCGACAACTCAACTTCTTTGACAGTCTATCACTTCGTTGTAAAGGATCACCTCACAATAGGGACGCAACATCATGTGTATAATTAGTTACATTATACTCTCATAATTATGATACGTAAGTAACCAAGTATCTGCCCCATTAATAGGCTGAATATTAATATCCTATAAGCCAAGCCAAGTTATCGTTGTCGTAAGCAATTAGCAACTTGCCACCTCCGTTGCCATTATGAGAGAGAGGTATAAGGGTAAGGCATAAGAAGCCGTGTGATTCCGTCCTCAACCTTGAAGATGAATTGTAGTGCGACAAGGTTTATTTTCCGTAACCTAGGTAGGTAATTTGTTAATAAAAACCTCTAAAGGGTAGTCTATGAATAATACAAACCGGGATCGCCGGACGAAGTTTGATCATCGCCCTTCCTATTGATGTTGTTCTTGTTTCCCTTGCAGCTCATCTTGACTTGAGTAAAAACAATCGTCGATACTGCCATTTTCCCGGTATTTTAGTTCGGTGTTGAGAAGAATTGTGATTGTGTGGAGAATTGTTTGGATTGTTTGAGTTGACTGAGGATAGTTCAGGTTTCTATCAAATGCAGCTTTGCTTGGGTGGTGCCCAATATATAGACATCTAGGCCATAGACATCCAGGTCGAAGACATGGACGTTTGCGCAGATGATTTGAACTATTCTCCTCAATACTCGCAAGTACTGCCATGTATCTTCGCACTTGAGTGTTAAAACACAGTTAGTCAACGGCGAACGGACCCTTTCCATATAATTGTGCGCAGATGCGAGGATAATTGAAAGACACTAAGACACAATTCGCCATCGCACACTTAACTAAGGGTGAAGCTCGCTATAGGGTGTGTAAAGGTTTTGCGTTGATGACTCAAGTATCTCGCCTGCGAATTTCTATCTAATACGCAACATATCCAATGTACCAGGGGTAGGTAATGTAGACTATAAACACCCTATTTTATCATGGTAGATCACATATCCACATTCCCTTAGATTATCAATCGAAAGAGCAATAATCTTAGTATTTTGCTCGCAGAATTGCGCAGAGTTAGCGTGTAGGGAACGCAGGCTTCCCTCGAAGGGAATCACCCTACCGCTCTCGAGTGGATTCTATCTGATCGTTTGCAATAAATTATACGCGATAGTGTCTAAGAGGAGTTCCCTGTACTACAATTACACCCATTTCCCACCCTATTCGCCACCCTTCAAGTTGCCGCGCGTATCAACACACCGTAGTCTATCCTAATGAGTACGCGTGACCACGAACGCCAAGAGACCCAATAGGTTCACCGACAAGAACTGAGCGAACTTGTCGCCCTTTGCTCAATAATGCGGAATTATTCCAACATCAAAACTCGCAAATAACACACATGGAGGATCCGGTGTCGTGTGATACCACGATGCCCTTCACGCGTCAGATGTAGGGTTTTGGGGATATTCCGTATAGCTGTATTTGTCCGGATACTACGCTGAGCTCGCGCGTCAATAAAATCGATTTATTCAGATTCCCATATATCGAAATCATCTAGCATTAATACCGTGTCGGTGCCGGTGGCAAATACGGCGCATTTGCGTCGTTAAGTGTTGCGGCTTACGATTGAAACCTTGTGTTGGATTGCGATTGAGATAAATCAAAAATTAATTGGTGGAACTTGTCGGCATAGGCAGGCCAAAAGTGCATTTTGCGTAGGATTTCGTCACTCTTTTGCGCAGTAAAGAAGGCTCGCGCAAATGCGTGAGGCTCTGGCTGTAAGCTTAACATTAACCCCTGCTATAACCTATCTTGCGAATTAATCCCCCGCTGGCATTTATTCTTTACTTAGACCAACAAGACACGTCCGAGGATCATAATATAGCTACCTATTATTTATTTTAATTATCATCTAGTAAGGCTCACAGCTAGCTCCTACAACTAGGTGGTTTGTGAAGTCGGCTAGAGAGCTATGTCTCCATTGCAGACTAGATTATACCACGACTGCTCGCTCTATTGGTAGAAGCAGCCGCGATGGAATCATCTACACCTCGAGATATGATGCTCCTATGCCCTCCAGATGAGACAACTAGAAAGAGCTTACACGCCCAGGGTGAATCTGGGGCTAATACTGATATTTGCCTCCTTAAAAGCTCAACTCCAAATTTGCTCCAACGTGTCGGCGCATTATCCACCAGGTCTGACAGTCCAAGTACAGTCGAAAGTGTTTGTTGGGACCAATCCTCAGCTGTGTACTCGGAAGCGAGTCCGGCCTCCTTCAAGGATGACCTTTTCATAGAGACGGAGCTGAATGTAATCGAACAATGTGAGAGGCCCTCCGATGCCGAAGACGAAATTCGGAACCCATCCCAGATTCCAGATATACGGTAAGTTATAATTCTTCCTCTATCCTATTAAACATTATCTATCCTTGATTTTGCAACATGTAGCTATCCCAAACAAATGCTTATGAAAGCGATGGACAGCGACTTTCACGATGTCATACCTTCAGCGAAAAATTCAGACGAAAAGCATATATCATCTAATGATAATGACGAGAACAATACCTCTAGTGGTCGACTTAGTGAGACTAGCAAAATCAGGCACGAGGAGATTAGTAGCGAATTTGAAGACGACGATTTCGATTCCGAAGACGAAGAAGACAACGACGAATGGGCCGGGGAGCCAGACAAGATTGAGACTGCAGTGCTGATGAATATTCCTGATCTGGAATTTGCTGCATCGCTTATTATGGAATTACATAAAGATCGAGTTCATAGTGAAGCGCGAAGAATTGGAGGTTGGCAAAAAGGTGTTGTTACCTGCCAAAACTCCCCTGGTTCAGGAGAGAGCTCACGACAATCCTTTGTAAATCCTAGCGCGGGCCAGCGGCCTTCGAAGTCCCGCAAGAAGCAACGATTTTTGAGATCAAGGGGTGGAGGCTCCGACGATGGAGATGGGGAAAGAGATGACGAGGGGAGCGGTTCACCCGAGAACCACGACGATGGCTCGATATCAGGCGAGCAGAGAGGACGATATGCTTGCCCTTTCAATAAGTCGGATCCTGCTAGGTTCTGCAGTAACCCCATTACCGGAGACCAATATCGCGTCTGCGAATCAGGATACAAAACAATCCAGCGATTGAAGTAAGGATCCATCATAATACCGAAGAAAATGAACTAACTGTCATTTAGGGAACACATCAAGCGGAAGCATCTTTTAATACAATGCGAGCGATGCTATAAAAACTTCTCAGGAAAGGGGAAAGCTATTGAAGAAAGCGTCGCTGAACTAAAGACACATCGCCAGCAACCGGAGCCATGTGCCGTAGGGAGTTCTGAATCCAACACGGGCATAAATATGGAGCAATGGACGCTACTAGACAGAAGTGGAGGAAAGAAAAGGAAAAAGATTTCCGATGTCGAGAAATGGTTTAACATCTGGGAGACGATATACCCAGGAGCATCTCGCCCTCCGCATCCTTGTAGGTTTTCCGGCGTGAAGCAGTAGGTGTATCTTAATACAAGTCTGATAATCGATTAGGGGCCGAACGGACTACTATAGGAATGAGGTCGTTACCAACACCAGCAAATACTAGGGGTTTTGCGAATCTGTTCCAAAGATTCCTTGATCACGGAACCATGTCCGGTGATATTCAGTTTATCCAAGGGCAAGAGTTGCTAATGAAAAGCCGTCTAAGCTCGTTGGCACAAAGGGCTTATAATCTCCACATGGATCTGAACGACACACCATCCTTAGGGAATTCTTCGTCTAGCGGCCAGACAGCAACCCAGATTACCATGCCTACAACACCAGTCATGAGCAACCCAAACATGGCCCAACGGCATATATCGGTCCCAAAACTGGGCAGACAAAACAGCCAGCCGATGCTTATAAGGGAGCCTCAAGCCCAATACCGAATCCTTCCCCCGCAGATCCCTCCAGGAATGACTTATGGGCCGCAGAATTTCCCCGGCTATGGAGGCAATCAACTGACAAGAGTTCCACCTAATCCCATGCCTGGCCCCTCTCAAGCTTTAGTACTAGACCAACCCGAGTTCCATTGGTCTTACGGGAATATGAGCAATAGCTGGTCTGGATTTGAGTATCTCCCGCATATGGACGCCGAGAATTCGGACCTACCATATATCCAGCAAAACGAGCAGAACTAAATCCCGAATAAGGGGGAAATGGAAGAAGAGTAATTTTGAACATTTTGATATTATCGAGATTTTCTATCCACTACTTTGTTTCCTTCCTTAGCTGTTATGGTTTACGCCATACTCAATTTCTACCTAACTATCCTTTATTCCTGCTCGCTGGGTGTTGAGGGGGGGAAAAGTCACAAATCTATTAACACAGCTAGATTTCTGCCTTTCAACGACGCTTGTAATTAGTTCTCCTTTAGTCGTTTGGGAAGGTTTAGTAACTCACTTGTTCATGGCTAATGTTTGCTATGAGCAACGATCCTTTCAATCCGAGACTTCATGGATCTAGGAATCAGGATAGACGGGGGATTCCATTCTATTTCAACTTTTTCAACGGCCATAAAAAATTTTTGATGTTCGTCATTTCGTGTTTCTTGTATTTTATTTTAGTTTCAAGGATCTCCGCGGTGAGTTAATATTATGCAGTCCTCTTGATAAATGTATCTGCTAATCTATAGAAACTTGTAAAAGTGAAGGAATATAGCATAAAATCCAGCAATATAGTAATAGAATTCTCTAAATAGAAACTGCAGACTCCTTATTAGTACCTAGAGAGCTCTTTCATGCCTATCATACAAAACATCGGGGTACATCTCTCGCGATATTTCCTATAGAATCCTATTAAAATATTTTCTACCTTATCTAAAAGCACCTTTAATATTGGCTCAACACAAGTATTCATAGTCTCCAGTTAGTTTAATAACACCTTAATTCCCAACTTGTCTTAAAGTAAATCCCGAGACACCACCCCCTAAGCACAAATCGTGATCTTCGACTTAGTTCACAGGAATTCGAGTGTAGCAACTCCCACCCATCACACCAACACCAACACCATCAACAAATTATTATTATATCGTATTCTTTACAGCCGTGGCCCTCCAGCTAGCTTGATTCGTAATTAGCGCTGGTGGACACTTTGCCCTGGATGTCTTACATGCGTGTTGCCTACTATGCGAGCAAGAAGCGGGGAATTAACTATATCATCGTGTACAGAGCTATACACGCACACTTAACTAGACGGACAGACACACAGGCAACATGTTTGTTCAACCGTATTAATGACTATGAGTACCTGCCTAAGACATCACAACAGAGCATCCACGTTTACGCACTTGAGATGGGCCCATCTGAATAGTCATAATGCCATCTAGCCCACGGCGTTGACAAGTAAAATATGGATCACGGAAGCTCGTTTGACGAACAGCAGTGAGGAGGGGTGGGAAAGAGGACATGGGTAAAGGATGCAAGACGCTTCCAACAGGTGTCTGGATTTACCCCTGAAAATACCGAATTGAAAAGAGGTAGTCATCGTTCACAACTATTTACGATATCAGAACGTAGGTCGAAGATAATCTTGCACTGGTTACAGAAATTATTCGGATATAGCACGGAAAAATTAAGAGCTTAAACTCAGGATCCTGAATTGGAATTGTCAACTGGAAATGGCTACGTTTGTCCTAATAGTACATATTTAGGGTAGTGCGTCTCAAAAAAGCAAGATAAGTAGCAAACTCCACACCATTCGCCGCCCCGTAGGTTTCCTTTTATAATATCCCTCCCTGAAAAATCTAGTCGTCGTCGGTGTATCGGGGGCCTGCTGCGGGTGTCTCTGCATTATAGGCGCCAGGGGTGGGCGCTCCGTAGTATCCGCTTGAGGAGGCGAAGCCGCTTGCTGCTGGTGTCGGGGCAGTAGCAGCAGGTGTGGGCGCCGAGTCAGCTCCCCATCCACCTTGCCAGCCAGCACCGGGGGTGGGCGCATTCATAGCACCAGGTGTAGGCGCGTTGTAGGCACCAGGAGTCGGGGCATTCATGGCACCAGGCGTGGGAGCACCCAGAAGACCAGCACCAGGGGTTGGCGCATCGTAGGCATTCGACGATCCACTTGCACCAGGAGTGTAACCCCAAGTATCATTTCCACTAGCTCCTGGAGTGGCCGCGGAAGCACCGTAAGGTGTCTTTGAACCCCAGTTGTCACCGCTACCACCACTGTACGCGGGTGTCTTGGACCCGTGACTAAAGTGATCAGGTGCTGGTGTTTTAGCGCCCGAAGACCAAGCAGGCGTGCGATTACCAGAACCATAAGAAGTTCTGCTGCCATCATAAGGATTGACAGTGCGGGAGCCATCAGCCCACGCTGGCGTTCGACCGCCGTCACCGCCTTTACTCCACGCAGGGGTGCGTCCACCACTTGCTCCTGCGGACGGCGTCTTCCAGGCGGGAGTTCGTGATGAGGCTCCACCCACAGGAGTGCGACCTCCGCTCCAATCTGAATTCCCTTGAGCAGGTCTTCCGGGAAGTCCTCCTTGACCTGGACGGCGGGTGTCGTAGTTTTTGATTTCACGCCCAGTAACACTATCACGAACCGTGATATCGCTCTTGAGCACGCTAATGACTTTACCCTTACTATGCATTTCCACGCGAGCATGCGTATCGGTAGTATCTTTGACACGACCAAGCACGCCCTTGTAACCACCCTTTCTAATCGTGACCGTTTGACCAATCAGCTTGTCACGCCCGAATGAGGCCTTGGGTGGTGGCATATCGCTTCGGCCACCATTTGGGTTCAGCTTTCTTGCAGGGTTCATAACCGTCAAGTCCGGCCCAGAACCACCAGCGTTAACACGACCACCCTTTGCTGAAATCGTGGACACGTTGTTAACCTTGGATACAAAAATACCAGCGTTCTCTGTGGTGTCGTTCGTGTGACAAAACACGTAAGTGCGGTGGATGTGAACGATCTTGCCTTGCCGACCCATGCCACCGTATTCCTTGACAACGTCATCCGGCCTAATTTCAGAACCGTTGCGGTCGGCGGCCACGGCGAGCTTTCGCTTTGGTAGCTTGTTAGCGATTTGTGAAGGCATAACCTGTCTCGTATCGCCATTCTGGTCCAATACAACCAACGTCTCTCGGTCTACTTTGACAATGCAACCGACCGTCATAGGATCAAGTTGAACCAAGTCAAGTAATGAGTATTGGCCCAAGGATCCCTGGCCACCAATATCGCTGGCCTCTCTGAGATCTTTACTGAATACAGTAATTTCAGTAGTGGTTTGGTCGGTTAAAAGGGTGACACGATCTTCAGAAATGTTCACGACCATACCGACCTCATCGCGATATCGACTACCGCCAATGACCTTGACATGATCACCGGTTCGGAATCGTTTGCGAAGGCCTTTCGTAGGTACCTCGATAGTCTGTCCAGCAAGATCACCTTCAGTGACCGAGATTGTAACAATATCCGCCTGGACATTTGTAGCTTTGCCGACTACACCCTTCTGCTCGCCCTCGTATACCTCTACTACGTCGCCTGGGAGATACGCGACGTTTGCATTGCTATCTTTAAGACTAGCGGCGAGCGATTTGAGATCGATATTTTCAACCCCATCTTCGCCTCCAGAGGCAAATCTCGTAACCTCTTCTAGCGTCGGGTTCACATCGCTGACAACCAGGTGCTGGATTTTGATGTCCTTAACCTGAAAGCCCTTTTCAAATTCGTCGCCATTGTAATTCCAGGTATTGGTTTGGCTGCTATACTGAAGCGTACGGGGGTGTCTCTTCCTCGCTTCGACTTCGCTGAATAGCCTCTGAGGGGGTCGTGGACCTGCAACTGGGCGTCGTCGTTTCTTATCGGCTGTCAAAGACATTGACTCATCTCGTAGTCCATAGTCGAGTCTTGGTATGAAGCGCACTCTAGCATCAAGGCCGTTCTCTGTGATATCAAGAACTTGTGCGAGATCGCCGGCATGTTTGGCAGGTCTGCGGAGTCGTACCCAAGCACCAGGCTCTAGAGTAGGTGTCTTCTGAACCCTTAATAAATCAGGTCTCTCCTTGATGTCAACAAGAAGCATTTTGGTACGAGGGTATACGTTCATCATATCCTCGAGTGCCATCATCACGTCTGTCTGCCGAGGGGCTTCCACGTATATCAGGCCCTTCAAGATAGAGTTAGGTCCGCCTCGTTCGAAGACACCGGTAACAGCTAGCTGGTCCTTGGTATTCCAGCGTTCGGCTATTCTCTTCGTAATGGCTTGGACTACCTCGCGCTCCTTGCCTTCCTTGCATCGCACACCCCAGATACCCGGGTCATCCACGCTTGGTAGGAGTAGCCTCTGAGGAATGATTGCAGAATCGCCCATGCCCTTAGCAGTGCGACGGTTTCCATATTTGCGTACGTAGCCTTCGGCCGCACGCTCTAGATCTTCTTGTGTAACAGCGTCACGCTGTCGGTCGAGCTCACGATGTCGTCGATCATCATCTAGTCGGCTTTGTTCGCCAAAATCGCCTCCTTCTTCGTGCTCGATAAATCCCTCATTCTCTTCTGCAGCCTCTTCATCATCTTCGCCTTCATCTTCATCATCGACTTCAGCTTCTATATCGATGAACGCGTTTCGTCTGTCGCGACGACGCTTGCGACGATGACCCTGTACATTGAAATTGAGTTAGAAATTTATCTCTTAAGCTAAGTAGTGTAGAAAGAATAGAGTAATGGATTGTAGAATGAATATGGAATCACCTACTTGAATCTCCTCGTCCTCTTCGTCATCTTCTTCTTCATCCTCATCATCGTCGTCATTTCCTATGACATCCTCAGCATCTTCATCTTCGTCTTCATCTTCATTATCGCCTCCATTTCGAGGAGGTGAGGATTTTCGTGACTGCTGTTTTGGTTGATCATCCTGCTCTTCGTCGCTAATGTCAGCAGGTGCTGGATTAAAGTCCTCTTCCTCGTCGGATTCGAGGTCGGGGTCGCGAGGATCACTCATGATGCCCAATTATTAAAGCGTATGTATCGACGCGTGCAAATAATTGAAAAGAGGTAGAAGTTGCGAAGAGAATGAAAGGAAATAAGAAAAAGGTGTGCAAGATTGGTAAGTTGATGAAGGATAAACGCGAAAGATGGTTTCTTTTACGTTCAACTGCGGCAGCCGCAACGTGCTAAATCTCTGGGATAATTCTGGAGAATGGAAGCTCAATCACGCTAATATAAATAAAGCTTAGCGGGGAAACCCAAAGGGCCAATGATGAAATGTTTTTGGAAGTAAGTGATTTGGTTGTTTGCCAGCTGTCACGTATGTACCTAGGTACCTCACGTAGTTGCGCCTGAAAGGATTAAGGAATCACAACAGTACAAAGAAAAAAGATTATTATATGAGATACTTAGTATTTATAGGTAATCATATGTGGCAAAAAAATAAGATAAAATATAGATACATTCGTTTATGTCCAAGCATAACAAGTTACTTTCCTTTGCCTTAACTAAAGTTTACCTGACCTAAATGTTAAATTATGCTGTATCAGTGCATTTGAATACTAGTGTTGTTGTCGAAAGCGTCAAAATCATTTTTAATACTATCTCGCTTGAAATTCTGATAATCTTCCTTCTCACATAAAATATAAAAAGTCATCAATACTAATACTAATAATAGCAATAATACGTAGTACTTTTACTCCCCATGCACCCACCGGGGTATATATCTCTTAAGTACTACAAAGCATAAAACTGGAAGCATAGTAATGAACAAAACACACCTTAGCTTCATCCCCTACTCCCCTTTTTTTAAGGTGCATGACTTTCTTATTGTACTGAAGCGGCCGTTCCTCGCTGTATACCACCAATCACCAGCCGTTGGCATTTTGCCGCCTACCGATTCATCCATCTGCCGACTCATCGCGGTATTCCGCCTGCTCGCCTACTAGAATGGTTGCTAATATACAAATTAAGACTGAGTACGATACTCCTAGACGATTGGTGTTGAACGGCACAACCTTTGCCTCTCATATCGGATATCGAATCGGCTCCCTCATTTTCATCAAACAGTCTACTCTACCCGACAATAGACTGTCTCCTGCTCAGCTATGCCCTTCACTCACGAACTATAAGGGCTTGCTCGTAACCAAAAACGTGATACAGGCTTGGATAACGCCTTGCTTCGTAAATGCATATAGCAGTCTGAGGGGTAGTGCCAGCTTATAGATCATCGTTGAGCATGGCTGTTGGCATAGGGGGGATCTTGCTTCGTAGTATTCCAACTGTGTCGGGTTTTCACATGCGTAACCAGAGCACTTCAAATCTTGACACCCCAGACTCCTCGTCCACCACTAACACCTAGCCAGTCGCCAACACCGTCTCCACTGTGGAGAGGAGGAGCCCAGCCAAGGTTGCCAACCTCGTAGTCGCACTGCCAACTAGCAACCGGGCTGAGGTGTTTCTCTGCCGAGCCGGCGCCGTTGGAGGACGAACCGGGGGTAGGAGTACTGTTAATCAGATCCCATAGTAGAACTTGACAGTCATCGCCACCGGAAGCGAGTAGCCCTCTCCGTCCAGGAGACCATTCAACTGAGCTCAGGGATCCACCATGGCCGCGTAGTTCCAGCAACGCTTGCCCCGGCTGTCGTACATCAAGAATGCGAATAACATTAGAATCTTGGGCGAATGTAGCTAAGAGATAAGTGTCATGAGGCGAGGTTGCCAACCTCAGGAGGGGCGGTGCGTGAGACATGGTTTGCTGGGCCAGCGTCGGGCTTATCCTGCCACCATTCGCATCTGTCATACGGTTAAAATAATTATCTTCAAGAATACCATTCTAGTAACTTACCTCGGTCATCCTTGGCGGTTGGTTCATAGATGATAGTACTATGCTCCAAACTGCGAAGGTCGAACATTCGCACACTCCCATCTTGTCCACAGCTAACGAACACGTCCACACTATTGGCACAAAATCGAACATCGTAGACTTCCTTATCGTGAGCAATAAGTTGCGTCTTGGCTGTTAGGGACGGAATATCCCAGATAGTGCAAGTCGTGTCGATGCTGGAGGTGATGATAAGACTGGGCGAGACGGTGTTCCAATCCAACGACGTGAGAGGCGCCGTGTGGTCTGGCGTCTTTGAATTAGACAATAGCGCCAATGGTGTAAGCTTCGTTATAGGCGCGCCTAGGTTCGGCTTGGTTATATTATTCGAATGGGATGACTGGGCGTCGGATGGCAAGGACCATAGCCGAAGATGATCGCCAGAAGTAGCCAGTAAATCAGTAGATTGCTTCTGGGAAGATGGAGGTTCCCACAGAAGGCGCGTAACGGGGTATGAATGGGTTGCTTCTGCAACCTTGGTAAATTCCATGCTATACTTAGACGAACCGGGGGTATATATATCGGAAGGGGTATTCGTAACCTGTGTGTCGAGTATTTGAATCTATAAACAGGGTCAGTAGTGGTCATGAATAGGTTAAGACTCGAGCTATGGGTCGTTAGCATACAAAGTTATGGCCATCTTCTAGATAGCTTCCAATGGCAACCTTGCCGGCGCCCCTGGCTTGGGGAGCCCATTTGCACCAGTCGAATGCATATAGCGCCCAAGGAGCCAAGTAATTACTGGTAGATGGTTGAACGTTGGCGAGCTCGTAGCCCAGTGTACCAGGCGGGCCATCGGATAGACTTGAGTCGGCTCGAGGTCGGATGTCTGCTAGGCCAAGCGGTGTGTTGGAGATGTTTCGCTGAGAGCCGGGAGCGGTATATTTAGGATCTTGCGGCGACATGTACTGTGATGAGCCGGGGTTGGATCCTCCGGGGGTGGTAGGAGTGTAGGGGGAGTACGAGGTAGAAGAATTCTCGTAAGGAGCGGCAGGACTAGAGCGAGAGTAGCCGTGTGCTGATAAACTCAAAGTCGGTGGCTTGGACGGCGAAGCGTACTCGCTCGGAGAGTGTTGTATGGCACCGGACATGGTGGGTAGGGTAGGTGCGGTATTGGCACTTAGAGCGGGGGGACGACCGGGGCCTAGTCCTCCAGGTTGAAGGACGTTGGGCACACCCGAAGTTTGGTATTGAGGATTGACGGGTTGCGATGCAGGTTGGTCGAGTTTGATGTGCGGAGCGGAGGCGGTAGTATAGTCCCGCGGAGAGATTTGGCCGCTGTGGCTCATAGTAGAAGAAATATGGAGTTCATCATGCTGAGAGCCATATGTATTAGTTCGTCTCGGGGCGGCTCCGTACTGGCTTGCCTGGTTCATGTTGGATGCGCTAGCAGCCGCGACAGAGCTGCGAGATGTTGGTTGGATCGAATGGCTATTGGCCGGTGTTGCGGTCAAAGGATGCAAGTACGAGCAAAAACCGCAGGAGGGGGCGAAAGTAAGGAGGTAGTCTCTCGACCTGTCGACGCTTACGTCGATGTTATTTAATGGCTACTAATTGCTAATATTTTCAAATATTAGATGTCGCAAGTAGAGTGTAAAAAAAAGGTCGATAGCAGTCAAAAGCCGGGACACGCCCCTGCTAAAAAAAAGATTCGCGACGTCGGGCGGGAGGATTCTCGGTTGGGCTCTTGCGATTACCACTTAACCTAGTGAATAACAAGTATGTATCGAAATGTACCGCGGGTGGTGGTGCTGGTCGCAATTGGAGTTGTCGCCGCAGTTGGTGAGGGAAGTAGATAATAAGATAATGAGATAATAAGGAAGACAACAACTACTCAATCAGTCCTTGTCGCGTCGTGCAAAAATGATTGCGTATGCGCCTTGCACCTATATCTTTGATACTGATGGTCGAAGTTGTTCTTGTGGTTACCTCTTAGGTAATTTTATACGATTGGAATTGATCTCCAAGTGAAGGGTGTTAAACAATACCGTCTAACGAGTGTGGAGATGGTTGGGCAGAATGCGATGCCTTGGTAAGATTTCGTCTTTTACTGAGTATTGCCGCAAGGTTCCCCTCACCAGCGCTTGTTTCCTACATGTAGGTCATTGTTTACTAGGATACTTCAAGGTACCTCTTAGCCACTAGCGATTTCCTTGTTGAAGTTCGCAGCTTTTACATTACGTTAGGTACATAAGGTACCCTTATAGGTACGAGATAAGGGATTTCTTCTCCTTACATGAAGCCGTACTTACTAGAATTGTATCTTAACATCTACGTAAATTACCTAAGGTATTCAAGCAAGGCATATATTACCTTTTATTTTGGACTTTAGAGTTAAATAATAGTTAATCCAAGAAAGGTTATACATGCTGAACACCTGATATCGGAAAACATCCCGCATTGACAGCTGTCAGTAAAATATCAAAGTACCTTGGTACATAAGGTATAGACTTTAGTAGCTTGCAGGGGGCTTCAATTCGGCTTCTCCATCAAATAATCATCCACTGATTTACGGCATGAGCGACACATGCATACATCTACCTACCTTTTACCTAGGTTATCTTATTAATCAGAAACGCTTATAGAATAAAGTCTTGATCCTTCAACATAATAATCTACCTATTTTAGGTATTCTAATGCTATTACATTTGCGTTATAATACAGCTCAACAATTATTCTCTTACATTTTTCAACTTTATTCTCTTTATCTAACTATCAATTCTTAGCCGCAATTTTTAACCATAAGGAATTAGCTCAAGGCTTCTTGCTTACCATCACGCCACTCAAACAACCCGCTATTGACATCAGGGGAGCTTATTTTAGTCTAGAAATTATTCTATATATTCATCACAATATCCAACTCTTTCGATCTACCTAAGAACTTATTGACAACCAGCAACTTGAATCACATACTCGTCCTTATGACACAAATAAAAAGCACCACCATGGCAGATCTTCCGTCGCTCTTACTGCTACCCCCACCTCCGCATCCCCCATCCCGGCTTGCTCTTAACGCCGCATATGAGCCCCCGCTTAAGGCCGCTCTCTCAAGATTGAAATCCGAGAAAGGCGGAAAAGATGGAGCAGTCTTGATCATTGCTCTGGCATCGCCAATTCTTACAGGCAAATTTGCACGATACAAATCGCTTTCTTGGCCTTACGCCCAGTCTATTCTAGCTGATCTATACAGCATCATATCCGTTATTTGTGCGGAACTTTCTATTCCAACCGATCTTCATGCCGGTCCCGGATCCGTAGATGCCCGGGTTGTTCTAATCGATCATGATGCATCTAAACCAATCCCAGCTGATTTAAAGACAGCTATAAAACCAAATAATACGACAATAGTCGATCTTTCAACCTTCACCGCAGCTTATCATCCTTGGAGATACATATTTCATACAAATAACGAGCCAGGTTATCAATTGCTCTCAACGTACCTCAAACTTCTTGAGGGCATTCAGACCTTAAAGCAGTCCCAGCTAGTTGTTGTAGATGGTGGGCTTGCTGTATCACTTGGACCGCAGATTCCTTCGGAGTCATCTTCTCAGACTAGCCCTCATTCGGTCGTATGCTTAGGAGGAACCTTTGATCACTTACACCCTGGGCACAAGCTGCTCTTGACTGCTGCTGTATTATTACTAAAAGTGCCTGAAAATGGCACATCGGCCCCATGCAAATTCGTCATTGGTATCACTGGTGATGAATTGCTGAAGAGGAAGAAGTATGCAGAATATGTGCAATCTTGGGATGAACGTGCTATGAATACGATCGAGTTTTTGTCTTCCATACTGGAGCTATCTAAGAATGGCTGGAAAGGAGGTCAGTCTCTACAAGCTTCCAAGGAAAACGATGAACTTGTTGCTCTATTCCGGGACGGCACTATCGAAGTTCGCTGCGTGGTTATCCAAGATGCGTTTGGTCCTACCATCACAACTGAAAATATGGATGCTCTCGTAGTTTCGGGAGAGACGAGGAGCGGGGGAAGTGCCGTAAATGAAAAACGAAAAGAACTTGGCTGGCGAGAGCTGGAAACATTTGAAGTTGACGTCCTCGATGCTGAGGGGATCGTGCATAAATCGGCGGACACGCAAAATTTTGCTACGAAGATAAGCAGCACAGCTATACGAAAGCTAAAGGCTGAGTCTCATACTTAATGTAAAGCTCTGGTTCTCACCTAGAGTGTACATGAGAATATAACTGACCACGGCTATTACATGAAGAGTGTCTGTCCCCCGTCCATCAGCAGATCTGAACCGTTGAAATAGCTCCCAGCACGACTTGCGAGCATCACAACAGCCCCGGTTAGTTCATCGGGCTGGCCCATTCTTCCCAATGGATTTCGACTGAGCCACATCTTTCTTGCTTCGTCCAGACCATCCCCTTCATTTAATATGGTATCCATATATCCCGGGGAAATGCTGTTTACTCTAATTCCGTACCTTGCCCACTCCGCAGCCAATGACTTCACCATAGCTATAACTCCAGCTTTTGAGACATTATAAGACACTTGCTGTGATAACAAGAGTCAGCTCGGGTGATAAAATATGACTTAGAGGGGGCATGGAACATGATACTACATACCGGCTGAGGGAAATTGACTCTATGTCCAGACATACTCGCTATGAATGTCATACTCCCTCCGATTCCGCGTTCTATCATTGTCCGAGCGACCGCACGAGCAACAAGGAACCCACCAATTGTGTTGACATTGATTACTCTATTCCAGTCCTTTGCCGACCAATCTAGAGCGTGCCCACAGGCAACCATTCCGGCAAAACTCACCAAGGTACTGATTCCCCCGAATAACTTGACCGTCTCGCCCACAGCGGCATCTACGCCATCTTCATCCGTCACATCAACTTTCAGGAACCGAATCTTAGCACCCGGGAATTCGGAGCTAAGCAGATCGACTTTGGCTTGTGCTTCCGTCGGGTTCATGTCGAAGATCATGAGCCCTTCCACGCCATGCTCGAGAAGAGCCCGACTCGCTGCGAATCCCAAGTCGCCGGCTCCGCCGGTAACGACGGCGTTTCCGGTTACACGAAATCTTTCCTGGGCTCGGGATGCCGCCGGGATTTGAGATAGAGACGGGGGTGGGGCCGTCAGGGAACGCGGGGAGCCGTCGCCCAGCAATATCTGGGGGAGAGTTCTTGCTCTCAAGTCAGATCTCTCGGTTGTCATCTTGGCATATAAATTTTATAGAAATAATATAGGCAATGATATGGACACAAGGGAGCTTTTTACAATTTGTATAGATGGTTTATGTATCCGGTCATCACCATTTTAGTTACGTCAGAGATTGCGGGGTTGGCTCTCCATGCATTGCAGCTCAGCGTGCCAGCTCATAGACTGCAAAGGCTTTACCAGTAATAGCATGAGGGTATCTTGAATCCACAAAGCCTTCGTACATTATGGGCTGAGTATAGCATTACCCCCCTTCAGACTCCGCTTAGTCACTTACCTCTACCTAAGTTTCTCCCATCGGTTAGGTATATAGATGTGAGATTGACGATACTATAGTTTATGGATTTATCACTATCGCTCTTCTCTTGAGCTAATGTTTCAGTATTTCTATATTTTTGGCTGTCTTGAATAGCATCCGTGCTAAAATTAAGAATATCACATAATCCTACCTTGGGAAGGCATCTAGGGCATAGTGACCATCAGCGGCCTGCTGGAGAGTGCACACTTTACATGCATCTGGTATCTACTTTGTTCAATATCATATCAGTCTCTGGTATCATCATAATAAAAAATCTACTCTTATAAGAGGCCTCATCTCTGCTAGAGGTTGTATTAGTCTAGTGTATTATCCCCTTCTCTTGCACATATCTCTAGCTACAAGAAATATAATCTTAAAACTCCATATGAGATAACTAGGTATAAAGCGAATCCCCAAAGAGCCTCCAACAGACTGACATATTTTAGTCTACGATATATATGATTTAATCCCTAAAGGATAAGCATCCTATCACAGTTCGACGACCAGCTATGGTTTCACAGGATACATTTTCGGTATTGCCGTATCTTATCCGTAAATGCTTATACCGTAGTATATAATTTAACATTAAACCGTTAAACCTACAAGTCTGAATCATATGATAACTATTATTTTGAAGTGTTATTAGTCCCCCCGATCTTCCTGGTTAAGCAGCCTAAGAGCGTAGGAAAACATGTAGTAACGAGGTATCCCATCATAAGAGTACCATCACCCAATAAACTACTTCCAATGTAATATTTATTGCTCATGTTACATCAGGTACCTATCGTACTAACCGAATGTCAATTATCTTCATATGCTAAAGAAAGCTGTCGTGCATGGACTCAAGATCTAGACCGTTCACTTCTAGCCTAAAGAACCGCACAAATGAAAAAGAAATTGAGGACACCACTAAACCATTTCAATAATTTGGTAGGGCTGTTCGGTAGATACCCTCTGTGCTATTTATATCCCAGTCATTATAATTAAAAAGGCATCCTTATTTTCGGGTTATCTCTACTAGGTAACCAGCATGACATTAAGGGTCTTAATCTTCGACCAGCACATGTAACCACGCAGGGTAACATATGATGAATGTCCATAAGAATGATGAGTAACAATTTCTTAAGCAATGATGATATCGGAGAAGCACCCCATGTTCAGATAACAGCACACGAAATAGGTAAGTAGAACTACGGTAGACACGTAGGATAGAAATGATAAATCATCCCATTAAAAATAATCGTCGTAAACTACGACCTATTCATCTATCGTAACCGAATTAATTCCCATCTCATAACGCTCCGATCTACGAACACAAATTCGCGTCATCTCCTCGTCCCGCATCCTTGCCATTATCAAACGGCGCCACAGGCTCGGCGCAGGGACCCTCGTTCCAGCCGTTGTAGTACAGATTCATCCAGCTGCTACCAGCCTTAGTCGAAGCGCTACCGTTCTTAGCTAGTAGCTCGCCGACCTTGCCGTTGGGGCATAGGTTTGCTGCAGAGTCGTCGTGCGCGGTGTTCGCCTCGTCATCCGGGTTGCCCGTGTGGTAGATGGCCTCGCAGTCACCGCGGCCCCAAGGGTCAAAACCACCGGGTAGGTGTGGGTTGGGCGCCTGGGTGTACACGGGGACGAAGTGCCAGGCGACACAGTTGAAGATACCAGCGCACTGCACGCAACAGTCGAGCTTGTTGGTCACGCCGCCCACGGTGACGGTGGCAGTGGGGATGTCGGTGCGGCTCGGGATGAAGCCGGGTGCGTTGACCTGGGCCGAGGGGTTGCAGAAGTTAGGGATGGTAGCCATAGGATAGGCGCCCGCAATGGATGTGCAGACAGCGGTTGGGCTTGGCGCGTCGGTCTGGGATGCGGCCGGTTCGGTCTCGGGGGCATCCGCTCTCTCGGCTTGGACACCAGTTGCTTCGGCGGCCTTGTCTCCGGCAGGCGGTAGCGGTTTGGTAGGAACAGTGATAGCCGTAGGAGGCGAAGCGTAAGACAGGGGTGTCTGATTAGGGCGAAGTGCAGACAGAGCCGTGAGCGTCAACGGATGAGCATAGCCTGTGATGGTTGAGACATCGGCTGTTGCGCGAGCTACAACATCCTATATGAAGCATTAGTAACTATATTGAATTAAACATCTTTTTTTGGTTTGTTTATTTACCTTGGCTTCCTGTCGTACATCCACGGGTCCAGCAAAGACTACACCAACACTGGACAATGCGGCGAGCAAGACGCCCGCCTTGTTCGAGAGAAGAGGCGCCAGCATTTTGATTGACAATATTAGAACCAATTCGATATCCTGTAGTATCTAAGATAGTCGAATCCTAAACTTTATAGGATTGGCGTTGTTTGCGAGGTTCCTACAATATGTTTGGCGTTTGTAGGAATTAAAAAGTGTAAACAGTAAAATTTAACTTAACCCTCTGGATTAATTGAATGGAAATAACTTGCAAGGAAGGGACCAATTGATCAAGTACCAAGTCATGTACCAAGTGAATTAAACCTCTTGACAACTGTTCAACGGTTCAACTCAAGAGGGGCAGCGCAACGAAATCCGGTGGGCAACAGCTGGAAGAGTGAATGACGCGCGAAGTTGATGTGGCGATCACGACTAAATAAATCGTCTCCCGGCACCCAAGATACTAATTAATTATCCCCCCGCAACAACTTGCAGCTGGTCTACTGGAGAATTAGATATGTAGATCAGTGGCAGCCAGTGTTGCGTCGGTGACGGCTGCAAGCGGTATGGGGAGATAATGGGGTGAATAGGGTCGCTACCTAGTTGGTGTTCAATTACTACCTCAATTATATTAGGGGATAGGCCGACTGGGTTCGAGATCCCCATGCGGAGATCACCAACAGTGAAGAGATCCCATATTTCTTTTCCCCTATGTAAATAGACGTATGCACGTAAATGTGGATGAGAACACTGATACGGGATTAGATCTTACATGGTATCCATGGTTATCCATGGTTGAGGCAGCGAGGACACGTTCCGTTTGCATTGAAGGTACATCGATATATGATACGACTAAACACCGAGACAACCTTGTAGGAAGGTATATTTACTTATTCGTAGGGTTATTCGTGCGAGCTGGTGAAGATCGTCATATTTGAATAGTCCAAGTCGAGTCTGTGACTGGGCAAATATCTCGAACAGATCGTTTCAGAACCTGGATGCATGACTAGAAAAGGAACATGGGCAAAGAAGCGGAACAGGGGATAAATGATGCGGAGGATCTTCCGACAAGGTTACAACGGCTTATTCCCTGGTTACATTTCCGACGTCACCCAATATATTTCAGCTAAAGGGAGAGGTCTTTTAGATAATATTTTAAACCGGCGAACCAAGGTCTTGGTAAGTTGTAAAGTTACGAAGATATGAAGTATTTTAGAAGATTCGAAGTTAAAACAATTGTCAATGTACAAATAATATATAATACCTTACATAATGTGATTGGTAATTGGATAGTTCGGTTGTTAGAAACGAACCAATAAGAAACATGTTTAAATATGCATGTCTCTCGTCCCGGCACCTGCTAAGCTCTTATGACCCTGTCACTTTTCTTGAAAGATAAGACAGATAAAGCATTTATCGATATGACTTTAACTAGGTACCCTACCACCTATCGATACCATGGACTAAGATCATTTTCCTCCACATTCCTAGAACCATCCCGCATATTGTAGTGACATATCTAGTGACATATCATATTAGAGCTGGTCTTCTTTTACTTTGGTGCTCTATTGTTTTAATTATTGTGGTATTCATGCGTCTTTGGTAGCTGTCAACCTACAGCCTATTGTTCTTTAACAAAATGCCATCGAGAGAGAGTTTTCGGTATCGAATTCTAACATAATATTATCCAAGTCTACATGTGGTGGAGGTGACAAACATGAGCTTTGGGAATACTTTACTATCGAAGCTAGGACTTGGTGAAGGCAGAATGTCAACTCTTTTACCACTATATACCTCCTCGACGGGGCGTCAGGCAGAAGAACACGACCTCTCCGAACTCTCTCCCCGACCTGACGATGCGCTCCTTTCCCCAGATTCAACCCGTATATTCTCCTACAAAGATATCGCTTCGGATACTCCTAACGGGTTTAGAACTGATACGCCAAACATGGATTCTTCCTCTCGTTCTAAAGGTAAAGGCAAGGCAATCGCTTTCGCCTATCAAGGTCGGCCGCAGTATTCGCGATCTCGAACCCCAAGCTCCGTAGACGACTTTAGTGAGCCTACAGGCAATGATCTTAAGGTTCCGCCTGGTATTTGGCGACCAACCATCCGCACCGAGTCACGCGATAGTAGACATGCTGCTACTAGTACCCATACGTCTCTTGTCGAGAGTATATTCAAAGGACGGCCTGATCGTTCGACAGACCGTACGATACAGTCAGACGTAGATAATACTTTCAAAATGTTACAGCGGCGGGAACGTCAATTACAGAATGAACTTCAGAAATTACTAGATGCACAAGGTGTTGCGCTAGAACGAGACCTTGAAGGGAGCGATAAAGGAAAGACTTCCCCGGAAGGCACCAAGAAAGGATCATCTCCAGATATGACGGCATCTTCCATTCAGACAAAGCTATATGAGGGATCCGTAGTGCCTGTTCGCCAGCCCAAGAAAAGACCTATGTCGAAACGACAGGCCCGTATTGGTATCGCTCGCTCTGTCACCATGTTGGCTGACTTGAAGAATGAGGAAGATGCATATATCGCTACCGCGTTGGCTGAGCGGAAGGCCGCTTTATCAAGGTTACGTAATCTATCGTCGCAGCGTAAATCTATCACAGCCGATTTGAAGGCCTTAGAAGAAGATCACGAGACGTCGATCGAGACCGAAATAGCGACGATGGAGAATCAGCACCGCACTGTATGTGATAATATAGAGAAGCTTGAGGAAAAGCTCAAGCTATTAAGGAGAACGAAAGCCAGCCTAGAGAGAAAACTTGAGGAAGCCAGAAGTACCCGAGAAGCCAGCCTTAGCGGGTACAAGGGCGCGCTGAAGCAGTGCGATCAGGGCATTTTTGAGCTGATGAAATACCCAGGCGTACAAGTTCTTGAAGTCGAGGATTTGAAGGAACAGGTCGGTGAGGATTTCGCTGTGCTCATGTCGAAAAATATGTCTGGCGTCGATTTTCTTTCCCTGCGACCAGAGAGACGAACGACGGAAATGGCGAAGGATTGGTGGGAAGGTGAAGTCGCCGTGCTCGAGCAGCGCAAAATCGTTGTTGACAAGGAACGGGCTGCGCTGGAAGAGGGTAACGAAATATGGCAGCAGATTCTCACTATGCTTGTCGATTTCGAGACCCAACTAAACCAATCGCTGCAAGATGCTACGAAGCAGCAGCAAAATCTTGAATCTAGCGACCCGGGATCTATTCTGCGAGACCTGTACAAGATCCTCAAGGCGACCTTACGTGAAATCCAAAGGCAGCACGATTATGTCGAGTCTCGCGGCTGGAACCTCCTCATCGCCGCCATCGGCGCTGAATTAGCGCATTTTGAGGGTATTAAGGAATTCCTCGCGGAAATAATCCGTGGCTCTGGGTTCGACAACGGCATAATCACACCAGTTACATCTGTCGGCAGCAACGATCTTGTTGACGTACGTGAAAATGGGACCTCGGATGTCGAACCGCGCTCCTCAGAACCGGACGAGGACGAGGAACTTAGCCGTAGCGTGGTCCGGCGCTGGGACAACCCCGACGCGCAGCAACTAAGCAGCCCCCCTGCAGACCTGCTCGGCGCCGAGCACCGCGACGAGAGCGATAATGAGGTACCGCCGGGATTACTGAGCGAAGCACCGCACCACGAGAGCGAGGATGAGAGCCACAATGATATCCCCGCCGAATTCTTGTCCATGCATAGTCCCCCGCAGAGCCGGGTTCAGAAAGACATACCTACGCCTAACCGCAGCCGTCTTAGGAGGGAGAGCAGTGTGATTGAGGACGAAGATGATAACCGGATCCCACCGGATCTACTCTCCGAAAGCCGCAGAGATGACGACGTCGTTGATTAGTCTATACGGCAATCGAAGTCATTGTGTATGCTTGTGATGTGATCATGAATACGAGTCATACATAGAACGGGCAATGTTTACGAGGATGGGGTTTAGAGTTATGAATATAGCGTGGCGTGGTTTTCTTGGTGTTGGGCGTAGATGAATTACTTATCTGGTTACCTGTTAGTATACAGGATTGCATTGCGAATTACATGGTTGTGACGGGATCCAGCGGAGTTCAGGGGTTCGATGCGGATACCATGGGTATGATGGTTTAGCATATTAGGAGAGTAGCGTTGGGGGGTAGATATGCCTATTTTACGAATGAGAAATTTTAATACGAGTATCGATGCATTTTCAATCCGCCTACTTACGATGCTTGAGTTGGGTTGAAATGAGGTGGCTGAAGTAGTAGTATATGCGAAACAACATAAACGATAGTGTTAGCCAAGTCACCTAGGAGAAAAATCACGACACGAGACAAAAAGTTGCCCGCAAATGAGACTGTAGCTTTATATTTTTATATGTAACGTAATGCGATCGTGACAACCGTCGCCTTGCACATGGAGTAGTAGCCAAGTGAAGCAAGCAGAGGCGAGCCATTTCATTCCTTTCATCTATCGTGGTAGCAGTAAGAAACTTTCATCAAATGGATATATGGACCCAACAACAACAACGCCTGTTCGTGAAAGAGGGGGAAGGAAAATCCAATCGAGTACGGTCCGGTCCGGTTCGGTTCGAGGCGGAGAAGAGGTAGTGATGGATCGGCGATAGGGGTAACCGGCCTTCGAATGGGCGTCTCGCCAAGAACCGTAACGACGATGACGGTTCAAGAGACATGGTAATGGAAGATTGATTTTCGGCCACAGATATATCGCGCGTTTATCCCCCAACCCTCTCGTCTCGTATGTACTAACGAACCGCTCATCGGGTCCGCTGGAACCAGCCGCTGGACCCGGCTATCGCGACGGACTGATCCATGACCCATTCGCCGACGCCCAGGTACTTTTCTATCCACTTATTGGCCTCCTTAGTCTCGCCGACAGTCACGCGCTCGGTGTTGAAACTGCGGATAATCAAAATTAGCATTCTATTTCCTTAAAACAAAAAAAAAAAACAGCATTTATCGTCGCTGTTGGCTTTGTCATTTGAGCCTCTTCCCGCCTTGGCAATTTCCCCGCGATATAGCCGCGCTGTAATCGTACGATCGGAGGATATGGAGATATGTGAAGGTATGCATGTATGTATGCATGTATGAGGTATGTATTAGGTACTCACGTTAGGCCGGTCGAGCGCCTCATGCCCGCGAGGATAGTCGAGACTATGAACCGAGTTAGCTACCTAGGTACTTCCACAAAAGACAGACATACAGATAGAGAGAGTAGTAGAGGGGGAAAAAAAGGAAGGGAAGCGCATACTGAGAACCGCATCCACGGCATAATGAGTGAGTCGTCCAAGCTTTCCCCAGAGGCCAAATGTCAGCAAGTTGAGAAACTGTCGGGAAGAAGACACATCGATCAGAGATCAGCGTCGTCGCGAAGTAGAGCAAGGAAGCAAGTAGAAGAGAGAAATAAACAGCAGTCCCTATAGTAACGAAGCAAAAGCCTCTGCCTTTCTCTGAGAGCTTCGCAGGGTAAGGGGGAGAGAACTGATGCTCTCGTATAAGGGGATTATGATTATGTGCGTAAGGGGAAACATACCACCATCTTGACTGAATATATTGAAATGTGCTGAAAGTTCCGGTTCGCAGGAGAATTTCGGGAGTATCGGAGAGTTTCTTGTTGTGTTTTTCGCTAGGAAGAAAAGAATTACGTCGGGATCTTATTTCGATTTGTCGTTTTTAGTTGAAGGAGGTTGGATAAAACGGAAAGATCACGAGGTGTTTGTCATAAGGTCGGCAAGTCGGTCACTGTGTCCTAGCAGAATAAAGAGAAGGTGTACACAGTAAGGCATAGGCAACCCCCATGGCGTGCATCGCTCCGCGACAGCAGCGTGGCGGTGGACCAGTGGTTCCAGCAGCTATCGTTATATTGGGCTAGTCTCCTTTGTAGGCGGGGCATTATCCCCACCTCTTTTTCTTATCTAATCGGCCGAGACAGGGGAAATCGGAATTGTATGCCATACCTCTTTATAAGATTATCACTGATTCTTCTTTATTACTACGGCACTTATCATAGTATCGGGAAACTGTCACCAATAATTTCGTATTCAAACAACTACTCGTAAATGTCGGCGCCATAAACGAGTATTCTCATAAGTAATACTTCTGACTTGAGTTCCTTGCTAAACACCAAAGCTGTTTTCATGTCCTCTAGGTCTACCTCGTAATAACAATTCCACATCATGAAGCGAATCCCATCAACCTCCCTTACTGCACAATCTCATCATGACAGACGATCACCAGTTTTGCTTCTGTACCCCGGTCGTCCAACACTCCATAGTCGCGCTCCTGGTGATTTAAGTGTAGAAGAATGTGCACTCCGTAGGTTAGATTAGGTGTTATAGCTAAAATAAACGCGAAAGAGGAGAGTTTTTGAAACGCTCTATCGTATAAAGATTATACGGGTAGACCTATCATTGTTTCCTCCATGAATTTTAGAGCAAAGTGTCAGGATTCTTAGATGAGACATCTAGAACAAATGAAACTGCCAGTATGTATAAGCGTAGGCTCCCGTAGCTAGCTTAGAATTTCTCACGGAACAACGAAGTTGTTTCCTTGCTTTTGCTCCACCACGCGACACAAACTTCTCGACGATGTAGTGGAAAGAAATGGACTCCCAAGTCAAGGATAAAGGGAAGTATTTCGGGAAAATTGGCATCTTTATGATTTGGATGAGATATTCGCGGCCAAGCTTGTGTAGTTGGGTTGTAAATTAATTATGAGTCGTGTAGTTCATTTTATTCACCAACCGGTATATCTTGCTTGGTGTCGGGCTACAAATAATACGAGGGTGTTACTGTCACGAGGTGGAACCAAACAGCATGGAAACAACTTCGTTGTTCCGCAAGGAACTCTAACTACCTAGAAGGTTCTACGTCTATATACTGAACATGCTCTTTGTTCTAGATGTCTCATCTAGAATCCTGACAGTTACTTAGAGTATTTATAGTGGTTGTGCGAAGAGTGAACCCTTTATTTCTTTTGTAGGTATTGTAGAACACTTTGCAGGTGGTGATCAGTGCATAAAGGGAGGTGATATTAAGGTTTATCATATTCCGATTAAATCCCTTTTTCCTTCGGAGCAAGGCCGCTTCTTATATAGATAGGTAGTGAGGGAATACGAATACATGATGATGCTTGGTTGTATTATTGTGTGTGTATCTGAGGTTTAGAAAAGTTCGGTATTTATGTGTGGCCCCGCTAGTAAAGTGGAACTTGGACCAACCACCGTAACTTCCTTACTACTACATACATCCATCTACTTGGCAGGTGCATCCCACAGGTAGGTAGTTAACAATGATGCTGATGAAATTGTTAACTTCCAGAGACCATAAAAGAACCATTCACTATGAGGCCGGCGACCTGATTTAGATGCAAGTAGAATACAGTGTCGCCAATGTCACCCCTAGTAGATAGAAGGTAGGTGTCTCCCGGTATTTTATGGTGAGTTTACCCATTGGCTAATGATGCATAGATTATGTCTTATGCTGGAATATAGCAATTACTTTAAGGGCTGTTGTCTAATTAATGGCTGTAGCCCACCAAGGATAAGCATCATCGCTGATGTCTCGATAGGCATGGGAGAGCTGTAGGTTCATCCTGATAAAGAAGTCAGTCTACATGCACAGTAAGATAAGGTATTATCCCATAAATTTAAGAGAACTTACCGCTATTAGGATTCTAGGTTAGCCATCTCGGGCAAAGGGTAAATTTAGTACGTAAAGCCATTGACTTTGTAGTTTAGATAGGTTAGAGTTCCTGGTGGAACATAATGTGATATTCGGCTCTCTCCTCTGTGATCGCTTCATACAGCCTTGTTTATAGTCTTAGGGAAGGGCGGGACCTCGAGTTTGATGGCCGCACTCTGTAGTCTGTAGATTATGGCTGGACTTATAGCCATTAACCATTAATTCGTCTCTGAGTCATCACAACCTGTACCCCGACTGAGTACAGGTTGATATGCTCAGAAAGTTTCGTTCGCACACTGGGCGGCATATTTCATAGTGTAAAAGACTATTGGTCAGTGATGCATAGCCATTCTTAGTTGATAGAATAATTTCCTTGCTTAATTGCGGGAATGAATGAAACCGCAATTTGCCAAATGACGCATATTGTGTTGACAGCACACCGGTAGGCGGCCAATAAGTAGTATAAGTATAATTCGGTATGGAAGATGGCGGAGGGTGAATAATCTAATTTAAGGCGGTTGCTGGTTTCTTAGGCTAAGTTATTTTTATACTTAATAGAGCGATGTTGGTAATCGAAGGGCGTATCGGCGAACGAGGAAGAATATTTGGTCCATGGTTGCTTGTTGACTATTGATGTCTTTGTCAGCTAATTAAATCCAAAAGGCTCGGGAGTCATTCATAGCCATCCTCAAGAAAGAGGAATGCTGGTATTATATATTCAATGGAGCGAAAAAGGCTACACTTACCCACATTACAACGCCACTCAAGATGCTCAGTCAGATATAGCCAGTGGCGAAGTGGATGTTTTCCTTAATAACGTATCTTTGAGAGTTATAGATGGATGCTAATTCGCACGACCCAAGACACATAAGTATGACTTCGGGATATGTATAGATACCTGTATTTATGATGTGTTAGCGGTTCAGTTTGCTGTGCCATTTCCACGTCACCACAACCAAACATCTTCTCTCTCAAACGGTATGATCATAAAGGAAAAACTGGAAAATGAAATAGACAGCCACTGCTAATGATGGGGGGATGTAGTTGTGGTAAGGTGTTTTGTGATGGAAGGGGAATATTTGGGAGTTTGTCCGTGTTTGTGCGCGTGTTTGTGTGCAGAGGTGAAACGATGATGATGACGATGATGACAGCAGTAGTGGTAGTATGCCAATGAATCTTTTGATTCAATGGGGAGGTATCACGAGGCATAAATATAAAGGAAATACTAACCTTGAACCGCAGAAGTCTAGTTTACCATCATGACAGATTGCAGCATGCAAAGGCATCCAGGTGGGTTGAATGTAGCTCTTCGCTTTGAATATCAGTCCCTCATTTAGGAGGAGACGGTTGCGAAATATTCTAGAAAGGATGTTGATCGGGCCTGGTAATGAAGTAAGAGGTGGACGATATCATCTCTTCCCATACTTATAGAAGCATGTAAAGGAGTCCAATAGTATGGTAGATATCTAGGAGCGTATTAGGGTAGAGTATTTATTAAATAATTTAAGAAGTTTGTGTAGTGTAGTGTTGTATTATGATGTACCTTAGCGGGAATATTAGGGATTTTATAAGCCTTGCGCAGGCCTTGTACAGGCCTAGCTATAGTGACAAGCCTTGTACAAGGGTTAGCAAATCTGCAAGGCTTATTTTATGACAAGGCTTATAAAGAGATGTATTTCCCCATACAAATTGGGTGGCTGAATACATCCAAAAGCATTACAGGGCATTTCCACTATTATTCGCTATTATATTCCCCTGTAGCCACTGTTATTTCATTACAGTAGGTTCCCAGTGGTCCCAGTGGTCTTGATGCCTGAGGCCACCATAACCACCTAAGGCCACTAAAATCGCTATATCACCACCCTCACTGTCAAATACCACCTGTAATCCCCTGAGNTCCCCTGAGGCCCCTGAGGCCATACAAATCAATTCAATTCAATACCACGGCAAGCACGATATATATACCACAATAGCAAGCAAATGGCTATCGCGTAATACGTAATCTTGTAGACTTGTAATCAAATCAAATGCCCTCGTAGTCAAGTGGTATGTGTGTAATCTCGTAATATGACATTCAACTCTGTAATATGACATGCCTTTCAATTGCATAGGTACTTGTAAATAGACTCAAATAGTAAGGACAAGAAGGTATCAGTGTAATAGCATAGCATGTAATTGTTTTTTTTTTTTTGCGACCGTACATATATTGTATGTGGTGGCCATATATCCAATCAGGTGTTGTGCTGCAGCATAATACAGGTGGTTCAGGCATCCATTTCCAGTTGATCTAGTGGATTATTTACAGTGGCTTTAGGGGATAATTACAGGGCACTTACAGTGGACTGCTTACAAGGCTTATTTTGTCCGCAAGGCTTAGATGCCTCGCACGGGCCTTATAGCCTATCTCAGAGTTTTAAACCCTGCAGGGGTTGCCTGAAATATAAGGCCTGCGCAAGCCTTATAAGGTCCCTAGTATTCCCGCTAAGGTAGTTAATGTTGAAAAGAATATTGAATTTATTGTGTTAGGTTTTAGGGTTAGAAGGAGGATGAAGAAGGAAAGTTTGAATTTCTGGGACTGAGTTGGGAGAAGGGTGGGTTTAAATAGGAAGACAATCCTGTGGGGAAGAGAGAAGAATCTGAGAGAAGCAACCTACCTGAGGAATAAAGTCAATCGCTAGGGCGATTTGTTGCTATGTTGCTGAATCGCCCTGACGATCCTGATTGTCCTGCTAGTATCGTGAGAACATCTGTACTCAGGTGGTCTCCTTGCTAAAGGGCTAGGGACTACCTAAGGAACTTAAGTAAGACTGGACTAGGAATTGATGTTAAGTACCTAGGAGCTCTTTGATCCAGATGACTCTGTGGCCAGGAAACTCTATAGGGAAATCGCCGCCTGCGTACGGGTCTGTCTTGGGAGTAACGGCGAGCAAGTTTCTTCTGGAGTAGGAACGAAGAAGATAAGTATCTACCTAATAGCCTTAACGATGACTGGCTACAGCCCAGCATATTTAGGGGTAAAGACGATGATTGGTATATCTTGAGGGAAGAGCGTGGAGTGCGTATCTTGAACTATTCACTAGCTAGTTGTATAAGCTTTATATATCTAACTGGAAGGGACGGCGAATGCCTCAAACGATTGGAGTAGCCATGCCTTGAAGGAAACGACGATAGGAAGTTTACTAAGTTAGATAAAGACAGGATCTTGTGAATGGACACATGTTTCATGGAAGTGGCGCCGACGGGGAAGTTCTCAAAGCTTAATATTAGTACAAGCCTATGAATGGATAGCACCTGGATATAGAAGTCACGCCGATGGGGAAGCCGCGAAGTTAAATACCGGCATGATCATATTGATTGGCTATGTCATGCCTGCCGTGCTAAGTAGCGTGGAGTGTGGGGGTGACTTGGACGGATATTGACATATATCCCTGGGAATATATCGATATGAATATAACAGCTATTTAATAGCTATTCTTAAAATAATAGAAAGAAAACGGGTGAATTGCCTTATAAGTGATACTAGTATGAAGAGGCATTTGTTGCTGTTTGAACATGTGCTAGGATCGGAATGTCCCATTTCCTACGCTTAGCAGAATGCTTTCATGCTGTTATAAAGAAGAATCTGATAATAATGTTCAGATGTTAAAAACTAAACGAGAGTGTGCCTATATAAGAGTGATGGTCTGAGATGAGGTTCATGCGGTATAATAACTGTAAGCGGCTGCTTGTATTAAGTTTTTTGGTCTTTGGTCCAAGTTTAGTCTTATAATATTATGGGGATTCTCTGGAAAGTCTTTCAACCTCTTTTGGGCCTTTACTTTAGCTCACTTAGACAATATCTAGGCAAATAAATATTCAAATATGAACACTGAGCACGAAGTGTAACAATATTATTTACCTAGATCTGATATAATCCAACTAGCAAGTAAACTTTATCATAAACAGTATATGTTTTATATCTCCTGGTATTAGTACCTGTGGATTTAGACAGCTTGTAAATTGGAATGTGATGTCGAATGACTTGTTTGCATTGCCAAGTATATTAAACCATTGCTGCATCTGTTCGAGCTAGGTTTCAGGGAGGGCTCAATAATAACGAAAAGAAAGAAACAAAGGTTATATGATATGTACCTAACTGCATTAAATTATGTTGCCAGTTTGATTTGCTCAAGGATTTCTTACCGGGTTATGTTATCATGAGTCCCTTCTACATCCCTAGAGGTTGAGTTTATTAACAGTATTTTCCGATCAATCGGTTTCAACAACAACTGACAAGGTTTCGGGATCGGAAATGAGCTTTCACGCCGAGTTTGATCTCTATAATAGTACAATGAGACTACGACGGTGATACCTAATGAAGGTGGTATTAAGGTTCGTGTAGCACACAGCATGCCAGCCAATGAGAGCAAACATGGTTCCCAAAATGGCAATTGGCCCCTTGCTTTGTTCGCTGTTTTGGAGGCCTAGGTGAAACATATTTTAGAATATACTTTAGAATCTCATTAGGAACTATCAATTTCCTATTGGGCTACTTAGGATCTTCTTAGGTTGGATACATAGGTGGGGGCTAACATATGTCATTTTAATGTGTTGGTTGTGGCCACACAATTCCTTAATAAACTCGCTATAGACAGTCCAAAAATAGATGGAAACTTGCGCATTTAGTATGCAAGGAAGAAAGTCGAATATTCCTATGGCTAAGCTATGTTTGTGATATTGTATCATCATTGTTATCAATGGCACTCCATCACTCTCCGAAAACGCTCGTCACTCGGCTAAAGATTCGGGACCCGAGGAACTGGAACCCGAGGGGGCGAGGTTTGCGGGAGGATCTTGGTAGTATTTGATCTCGCCAGACTGCTATAGATAAGCCAATGATATTTGAAGGGTGGGAACGACATGTCCTACCCCCGTACCTTGTTGTCTGGAATGCTTGTGCCGTATGTCTTTTAGATAGCCTTGGCACCATGACGCAAGCGCAACGGTTTTCGGAACTGTTGTAGCGAGCCGACGATGCTTAGAAATACCGAATACCGGTTTGCAGATTGCTTAAATTTACACCTAGGAGAAATGCCTGTTAAATATACTAGAAACGTATCTTACGTGGTAAAGTAAGCCCCCTATTACCTAGGTACCTAGGTGGGTAGATATTAAAAAAGGTATTTTAGTATTTAAATAATGACTGTTATTTTCTACATCTATTTGAAGCTGAATTAATTGCTATGCCGTTATGAGCATTGATTAATCAACGAACACGAAGATCCTTTGGAGTTTTTTGAGCATCACTAGGTAGGGATGATCCGCTTACATGAGAGGAGACGCACCACGGCCAGATTCAGGGGCAGAGTTCAAGAAGCTGTACACAATATCCGAATAGGATTTTGGCAGCATCTGATTCTCTGTTTAGATGATACCAGAAATCACTATGTGAAGGAGAGAATATTAGATTTCCCAACAATAGATATGCCATGCTCGTTAAGCGTCAACACTAGCCGGTGCGCTCTTCGTATATGTATAATCAATCGTTTGTTTACTATGTAATCAGCCCCTCAAGTCGTCTCTGAAATTTAAATGGTTAATCTATGTATATCAACGACTAAATCCTACCCAAGACATTACAGTAAGCGGCTAGGGCTTATGTAGGTACTTAATCCGTAGTCTCATGGAAAATTGGATTTCTTAAGTCCATAAACTCCGTGTAACCATCGATAGTCAGACGGTCGGGATCGATGCAGATGGATAAACGAGATCGTCAACTTTCAAAGTAAGTTGAATCCTAAATACTGCCTAAAGGTAAATGGAGAATTTCTCTTCTTTTCTTTCCATGGTTTGGTTTTTATATCTGAAGTCTGGTATGGTGGTGGCTATGAATCTACTTAATTACGATAAAGATCTTATGTATTATACAGCATGTTTAGATGATAAAATTTCTATTGTCTAGCTATGATGACCCTGGTATACGTAGGTATTAATATGATAGATGGTATCCTTTCGTGTCTAAACCCTCCCTGATGCAACCTAATATCCTTATGAGTAGAGGTTTTGAAAAGAAGTCCGTAGAGTTAATGTCCCCACTAGAGATTTTTTATAACGAATCTTTTCCTGAGACGTTCTCCAAATTTGATTATGACCAGTGATACAGGAAAAAGGGCGACGGCGATAAATGCTAGTGTGCTGTTACCCCAGCCGATACCCAGTTTTTCGTACATCGGCAGTCCAGCCAGCGGGAGTACGGCACCAGCCAAAGATCGAACAATCGTATTGCATGCTAGGGCGGAGGCGGCGTAAATGGTGAAGGCGTCGACCAAGTATAATTGAATAACCATAAAGACAAGCAAGTTTCCGATGCCAACAACAGCTGTTCCGATGATAGGTACAATCCAATGGACCCTATATTCGGCTGTCCACCCGTAGATAAATAGACCTGCGGGAATTAGAAGGGCTCCTACGGGGAGCAGCGGCAACCGATATTCTGGCTTCATGCCAGCTTTAGGTGCGCCGGTAGCTTGGGCTATCGCATCGGCTTCCGCAGCTTTCCTCTTGATATATTTATCCGATGTAGCGCTGAAAAGGAAGATACCAAGCATACTTCCCACGCCAAGTCCAATAAACGCCAATCCAACAGTGCTTGTTGAGAAGCCGTAGTATCCCTGGAACACCTCGGTTATAGTCGTAAACATTAGATAGAGATAGCCGTATGTGACAGCCATATAAAGCGACGTGATAGCGATGACTGGCGAAAGGAACAGCATCTTAAAGGGGCGAATGATACCCCGCTTAAAGTAGTCCCTGGGCGACAAACCAGCATCGAGTTTCGATCGAAGTAAATCGTTTCCTGTCTCCTTACGCAACTTGGCTACCTTCTTCTGAAGGATTACGGGGGCGTAACTTTCCTTAAGAGAAAATATCATTAGAATGGAAAGAAACCCGCCAACAATGGCCAGAAGCCAGAACGACCACCTCCAGCCCTCAGCATCAGTTAGGAAACCTCCAGCAACGGGTCCAATAATAGGACCTAGAAGCGGACCGATGCTAAAAACAGCCATCGCGGCCCCTCGCCTCTCTTGCGTGACCATATCAGCAATCGTGCCGCCGCCATTCGTAATCGCTACGGAACCGAAGACACCAGCAAAAAATCGGAAAACTATGAGGGCGTTTAGCGTTGGAGAAAGCGCGCATCCGACCTGGAAGGCGACGAATCCTAGGTTTCCGATATGGTAAAGGATAACTCGACCATATATCTCAGACAACGGCGCAAATAACATAGGACCCGCTGCGAAGCCCAACACGTACACCGAAACTACGAACGCGGCGATTTCCAAGGATGTCGAATGAAATTCAGCTACCACTTGAGGAACGCCGGGTGCGAATATGGCTATACGCCGGTTAATGTTCATCCAATATGCGCCCGGAAATAAACACAATATGTATAAAAGACTTACATGATGCTAAAGGGGAAACGAAAGTCATGGCACTTATTAGTCCGCAGTTGAGAACCTTCCTCCACGTCGGCCAATTATAAGGATTCTCTACGTCGTCGGGACCGGTCCACCAGACAATGTTAGGATCGCTATCACTATCTTCGTCATCGTTGCTACTTGACAGCGCCCCTTCGCCAGGCACTTGCGCTTTCTCAACATCACGGTCCGCCCGACTTTTCTTGCTAGCGAAAGAGTTTCGCCTCCGCTCGGCTTTCGATCGCTGTCGTTTAAGCTCCTCTTGCTCGTCGAGCACAAAACCCTGGCTCGACGGGATATCTGCGTCATGTCCTTCGTCTACGGCCTGACTTATCTTGCGCTGTAATTGCAGCTGCGCGTCTCCGGACTCATCATCGAGTCCTCCATCTGTATGCGTCGCAGAGACGGTTGATGCCGCGCTAGACACCATCGTTCTTTACTAGCTTCTACGTTAGTCACCCCGTCTTTTAAAATTGACAATTTATAATTAATATTCATAGAAAGACAAGCTACGCTAAGAATTTACGAATAGGCAGAGGCAGCCCTTGACTATAAGTCTCGAAGCCGTCAAACTAGCTCAGTGGGGAAATGCTTACTTGTGCTTGGCTTCTCTTAGATTTCTTGGAGTATTGGGACCCTGAGGGGAAGATGGGACCCTAATTAGACTTGATCTGCGCTGTAACAAAGTCGGTTTGTCGTTGCGCGTCTAATTCACGATTCTCTAGTCAAAGATATATGACTTGGCTTGATATCACGTTCCGAGTTAGATGATAACCGCTTAGAGTTCTCGCGGGATCTCTTTATCATCTCATCAGTAGGATAAAATACTATAGAAAGAGAAGAGGCGAGAAGAAGGGACGAGAATGTAGGTTTATTGCACCGAATCCCGGCCGTGGTCGGGTTTACTAATTACTGTAAAGGCGATGTCACGCTTTTACCAGTAAAACATTCGATTGGTTCTAGCTGGTGACAATGCCAAGTGTTAAAGGGGAGGATATCGGTAAGGACTATGCATTTATCGGTCGACCATCCGACCAGCCGAATTTGGTTTTTGTGCAAGGTCGGGGCTCTAGAAATATTCTAATACATACAAATATACATACCTAACATACCTACCTACACAGTAGCTCCTAGCGATCCTAGCTATTTAGGGTATCCTAGTTGCCTAGTAAAGTGTGATGGGTGATAGGTAAGATGGGTACGAAACCGACGAAGCGAACCCCAATGTTCCCATTATTCCATTATTAGCCGTTGGATGCCAGTGAGATTGATTGGTAGGTTGTTATTGAAGAATCATGCGCAAAAATCGGCAAGCAAACATTTTTACGGATCCGTACTCTGGATATCTATTGCTCATTTATGGTTTACACGGAGGGTCGGTCGTCTGCGCATACTGCCCGTGCACGCATCCGTGTCCGAGCTCGCTTCTTTTGTTATCTATATTCAACTTCATGATCTTCTACTGTTTCGTTGCTGTAATATGTAGTGATTCAGCTGTCATACCTATACTGCACATCAGCTTGCACAGCAGCTCGTAAAGATCCGAACTCGATCCGAGCATAAACAAAATAAGCTGAAGGTTACAAAGCAGGTAATAATATCCGCAGCTAAGAATCATCAAAAGCAGGGTTTAATTGCCCCAACTTCCCAATTCAAGGTATCACGGCAAATGCGAGGTTCGTTTATTGGTTCATACAACTTTACATTACATAAGCTTGTTTCGGCATAACGTCTAAGCGCGAGATGCCAATTGACGGTAAAGTTACACCTACGGTTTGAAATCTGAACAGAGGTACTGAATGAATCAGCCTAATACGTACCTAAATATTAGGATTATATATATATAATAGGTAGTTGCGTAATCCTTCCCAGCTGAATCTACATATAAGCATGACTGCATGCACCTATCTGTTTCCACGCGATACATCATCCGTTTTACAGCTGTTCCTGTTCTGCTCTGGTCTTATGCTGGCCCCATGCAAATCTATTGTGGCATCGGAGATATATAGGAGATATAGGGCGCCACTCCACATTTAAGTCCGGGGATCGGTGGCTTGTACTACAACTAACGGGTGGGAACGGATATTGCGAAGATTCCGGTCCGCGCTCTATGTCCGGCATCATCCGAGCCTGTATCCACCAATCCTTCCCGACTTCCGTTATCCGTCTTAGATGCACTAAATTTAGTTATTTTTATATTTTGAATATTTCTTTTAGATCCTTAACCTAGTGAAAGCTTTCTGATATAGGCCAATAATATAGTTAATGTCACTTTTTCTATAGTCTTAAGAGCATAAGAATAGAAAGCTTATCGATTGCTTAAGGCCATAGTACAAATCTAAGTTGTCTATGATCGGTAGTTCTTATCAGAATAAATCTCAGGCCTATCTCTATTTTAGCTATAATCTCTAAAGTAGGTACTCATTAATAAACTTGCATAAAACATTCATTGAGGGGAGTAATGTTCCTAGTCAAAGATGACGCAGAACATTAGGTCTTATGCACGCTCAATGACATAATGGCATAATGGCATCTGCTACCAATGTTCGTAGAATATGCCTAAGGCTGAAGTTGAAATATTACATGTAGCCTTCGAGTAAATTCCTAGCTTGGAAATTTGCTTTGAGAGTGCAACCCAAGCCATTGATGTATGACCAATTGGGTGCAGCTTACTGAACCTTGAGTAACTAGACATAATTCATGATACTTTCGCAAGATGTTGAGACCTTCGTGCGCAATGAGTCCTAAGACCCAATTTACATATATTCGGAGTTGACAACAATGCCTCAAAATCTGCTTACGCCTCGTAGTCAACCGGTAAGAAGTCCTATCATGAGATGAGATGGATTACCCGAAGTGGGGGTAGAAGACCCCATTGAAATGGAATAGCAGAGCCACGAGCGGAGAGGGTCAGAAAAAATAACCGTATAAGCAGAGTTGCGAGAGGACGCTCTTAAAAACGCGCTCAAGTTAGAACTACAGCCAAATACTCATTTATAAGGAACCGAATATCACCAATCCAGCTTCAACTATTGACAATAGAAAGCAATCTTAAGAGTCGACTCAAATGGCGACGGAAAGATCAGAAGCAAGCGCAAGTGTATACCTCCATTATACCACAATTATCCATAAACTAATTCCTTACTCAGAAATCCCCTAATACCAATGGCCTCCATGTAGCCATCATCGGTGCAGGAATAGGCGGTTTAGCTTGCGCGATAGCATGTCGTCGAGCAAACCCGCCCCTCCAAGTCACCGTACTTGAGCGCACGCCGGAAATCCTCACCATCGGTGCCGGGATCCACATTCCGCCGAACGCCTGCCGGGTGCTGACTCGCTTCGGACTTCTCGAGAAACTCAAGCAGGCGGGCGGGTACCAGGTGCAGGATTTCACGCTAAGGAGATACGAGAACGGCCAAGTCCTTGTTGAGAAGCCGCTCAAGGGTAGAATGGAGACGGAGTATGGGGCACAATGGATGTAAGAGCAGATATGAGACGTGCAACCCCTAATTACTCGTTTATCGAAAAAAGAGAACGCTGACTGGGAAATTGGATCCGAACAAAAGAGCAATACATAGAGGAGATTATCAGAACGTCCTGCTCAAGGAGGCTCGAGCTGTTGGGGCAGTTGTGTTGACGAGCGCAGACGTTACTGGCGTCAATCTTGCTTTCGACGGCGCCCAGACCTTGTTGCTAAAGGATGGAAGACAAATTAGCGCAGATGTAGTAATTGGTGCGGACGGTATGTCAAACCTGCTTTCCAAAAATTCTTAACTATATTATGATAACTAGCTAAACTTATTGAATAGGGCTATGGTCTTTAACCCGAGAGATCGTCTTAGGACGGCCCTTTCCGCCAACGGAAACGGGGGATCTTGCATATCGTGGTACTTTCACACGCGAACAGCTCAAAGGACTTAAGAACGAACGAATGGATAAGTTACTGGAGCAGTCAAATATCCAAGTATGGCTCGGACCGGGAAGACATGCCGTTTTCTATCCTCTGCGGAACCATACAGAATACAATCTCGTCTTGATGTAAACCCCCCTTAAGAACCCTTGGTTTGAGTGGTAGAATTACTGATTACTTATAGAGCCGCGGATGATCTACCTAGCGGCGTGCGTACCTCACAAGGCAGTCTAGAGGAAATGGCTGCTAACTTTCAAGGATGGGATCCGATGTATTTCTCTTCTCCTAACCCCTTTATGCTGAAAATATAAACTAAGATTTATTTAGCCTCAACGAAATCATTTCATGTCTGAAGACCGCATTGAAATGGAAGCTCCTCCACTTCAAGGAGCTCGACCAATGGACCAAGGTACGCGAGGACAATGAAGCCTCGGAGAAATGCATTTCTAGTCCTTCTAACATCAAATAGGGTGTAATCGCTCTATTAGGAGACGCCTCACATCCGACGCTACCATACCAGGGCCAAGGCGCTGCCATGGCCGTCGAGGATGGCGCTATCCTCGGATTACTTCTGGAGAAATTCCAAAGCGCAGGCATCCCATCGAACCAAGTAGAGAAAAACGAGAAATTAGCAAGTCTTTTCCGCCTGTATGAAGGCCTACGCAAGAAGCGGACGGAAGTCAACGTGGCCGGCGCCGTGCATACCCGCCATTACTACCACTTGGCCGACGGCCCGGAGCAAGAGGCGCGCGACAAGGAATTGGCCGGGCTGGCTAGCGGGAAGTGGAAGGGGCCATGCTCGTTTAATTGGGGGGATGCTGAGTATCAACAGAGCTTACTGGGATTTGATGTTCTTGCTGATACGGAGAAGAGATTCGACGAGTGGTTAGGAGATATTTAGGGATAGGCCTATAGTGTCAGCAATTTGTAAGCAGGTGTTGATAGGTAAGAAATAATACCTCTTGACTACTGGAGCTACATACTAACGGTTTCCAAGAAGTAAATTTCCAAGAGATGGTCGAATTAGAATTTATATCTATGCAAAACCTCGGTACTAAATTTCATCATATTCTATATCGAATACTAGGTTCCTATGAGATAGAGATAATAGTAAGTATTTTCCTCCTGCCCCTTTTTCTTTGGAAATAGGTTTGTTGAGATAAGGTAATTATAGTCTTCTAGGCCACTATATGTATAGGGTCGTAAATGACTTACCCCACGGTCGGTATTCACTTGCAATAACACTGGTAAAGCCAATATTGAGTTCTAATCCAGCATTCCTTTTACGAGTATAAGAGTAACTAAACAAGATCAAACCGTGCTTCGGAATGACTTTACTAACCACCATGCTCGCAGCACTTCATGCATTGAAAGTGGACTTCCGTTGGCTTAGTATCTATATCAAGTAATGATAAATAAGCCATTACCAAATTGTGTTATAGTCTTGTGACCAAGCTATGCGACAATTGTCTATTGTGAGGCGGTGCATTGATTCTAAACAAATGACAAATACGGGACGTTTAAGTGGTCTCGGTATGGTAATACCCCTGGGAAATACATGCGCCTAGTCTTATTTGATGCTTACCGGAAGCTTACCTATACCGCCGGTAGGGGTTTAGAATCCCGGAGTGGGTCCGACCCGAGGGTCTGGTTGGATTAATTGCGTTGTCAAAAGTGTAAGTATCCGCAAGTGGGCTACTTCTCCTCCAGCAGAATACCCGATCGGTTCGTTTGCGGGCCAGGTAAAAGCCGAGATGGAGTAGCTAAGCTTATGACATCCCCGAGCGACATTACATAGCGCTTAGTTAATAGAAATAGGGAGTAAAGACGGAGAGAAGTTTAAAGGCCTCTTAAATGCTCTGGAGTTAATTGATTGATATCTCATATTAATGTAGATATACTTTATCGAGGTCGCTTCATTCTCATATTTCGTTACACATATACATACACGTACAGGATCACTAACACGCAAACTCATTCACCATGACCGAATCACACGGGACATCCGATGGCTCTCCATCCTTCTCACTACACGTAGACTATCTCATCATAGGAACCGGACCCGCGGGTGGCGCCTTAGCAGCCTTCATGGCTTCGTATGGTAAGGACAAGCAAAAATAGAGATTTTGCATATTTTCATGGTATCTTTGAAATGTTATCAGTATCTAATCCGGATTTTCTCTTAGGGATGAAGGGTCTCATTGTAAGCCAAGACCCGAGCAATGCTGACACGCCGAGGGCTCATATCACAAACATGGCTGCACTGGGTATGATGTAGACCCAAAGAACGTTGAAATTAAATCTAATGAAAATACAGACTCTCTCCGGGATATCGGACTCGACAAAGAGTGCTACAAGGCGGGAACGCAGAATGATTCCATGCTACACACTCGCTGGTCCAATAGCATGGCCGGCCAGGAATATGCTCGTATATATTCTTGGGGGAATGACCCAAAGCGAAAGGTATTGTTTGGCCGATCGCACATTTCCCTCTGTATTCTTTCGGTGGTAGTCTGACAGTTTTCGTGATCAAGGGGGAATATGAGCTCGCAAGCCCGTCGGAGATGTTGGATCTACCCCAGACCTTACTGGAGCCGATATTGATGCGATACGCGACACTTAACGGCTTCAACTGTCGGTGGGATACTGAGTTCGTATCGTTCGAACAGGATAAAGAAGGAGTAACCACAATATTGTTGGATAAGCTCTCAAAGACCACGTTTCAAGTTCGCTCTAAGTACCTCTTTGGCGCAGATGGGGCGCGAAGCAAGATCGTGCAACAGGCCCAAATCCCCCTAATACGGCGTCCAGGCCAGGGGTTCGCAGTGAACGTGCTAATCGAGGCGGATATGTCTCATCTCATGGAGCATCGCAAGGGTAACCTTCACTGGATCGTACAGCCCGACCGTGAGACCCCTGAATGGGGTTGGATTGGGTGCATGAGGATGGTTAAGCCGTGGTACGAATGGTTGTGTATCATATTTCCTACTCCTAACGCGCCGAGGGAGGTAAGATCTAATGAAGAATACATGAAACGTGTCCGTGAGATGATCGGGGACGACTCGGTCGAAGTCAAAATATTGGGCGTGTCTACTTGGGCTATCAACGAGACCGCTGCAGAGTACTACTCAAAGGGCAATGTGTCAGTATAACTTCAAGTTTTTAATCCCCTCTTTATACCGGCTTCGCTAACATAGCTGCGAACTGAATAGGTTTTGCCTAGGTGATGCGGTACATCGGCACCCACCTAATCATGGCTTGGGGTCAAATACTTGTATCCAAGACGCGCATAACCTCGCATGGAAGATCAACTTCGTGGACAAAGGTATGCGCGAAAAGAAAACTCTACTCCCAAAACACGTATTGACAAGATGTTCGTGTAGGGTTAGCAGGAAAAGAGCTATTAGAGACTTACAGCATAGAGCGCCAACCAGTAGGACTGGATGTAGTTACCCAGTAAGTTAATCATGCACGAGGACTACGGCTAGAACTGGTGAAGACTACACATACTCACCACAGATTAACAGGGCAAATGATTCTCTAAGGAACCACCGGAATATTTGGGAAGCTCTTGGCAACATCGAGCCGACTGTGGAAGCTCGCATGAAGGCTCATAATGAGATTTATGCAGGCTCACCAGAAGGAAGTGCTCGCCGGGAAAAGCTGGCCAAGTCATTGCGGGCAAACGACAAAGAAGAACATGGTCTCGGCGTCGAAATGAACCAGCGCTACGTCTCGTCGGCAGTGTACCAAGCGGACCAAGGCCCAACGCCGGCTTTCACCAGAAATCCGCTAGAGCACTACCATCCTACTACGTATCCCGGGGCGCGTCTACCGCACGTGTGGTTGGGAAACCATACGCCGTCCAAGTACATCTCTACCATTGACCTAGCCGGAAAGGGGCAATTTACACTGTTCACGGGCATCGGAGGCCAGAATTGGAAGAAGGCGGCGGAGCAGCTGTCTTCCGAGCTAGGGGTACCGATTAAGGCTTATTCCATTGGGTATGGACTAGATTACAAGGACATATATCTCGACTGGGCAGGCATTAGGGGCGTTGAGGAGTCTGGCTGTGTGCTTGTGCGGCCGGACTACTTTGTGGCTTGGAGGAGCCCGAAGTGGGAAGAGGACTCTCCTTCAAAGTTGAAGCAGGCGTTGAAATCTGTATTGTCGCTTTCTTGATAGCGTTTACTCAACATTTCTATACGCTATAATTACAAATAACTTGGTATTTATAAATTTAGGTACCTAAATAGACACCTACCTCATAGGAGCAACGCGGCTAGAGACCCCTGAAAACGAGACCCTCTTGAACAACCACAGTGGGTTTAGTTGATGTTGGGGTAAGATCGACGATGCATTAGGGGAGGATCCCCCACCGCGGTAATTTACCCCTCCTATCTTCCTATACTTCGTTGAATATATAGGTAGTTATCGCCAAGTTTTATAAGTCCTCACCCCAACATAATTCCAAATAAAATAGCCATCTTAAAACAGCAAACGAGCTTTTGACATTACGTGAGCTGTAAAAATAAATCATGCCTACTATCTCCGAAAATAGAAGAGTATAGAAATCAGGAACTCTCTAAATATCACTGATGGATGTTTCCTAAAGGGGTATTGTGTATTGGTTGACCTAAGGTCTTGAGAGGTCATTAGTTATTCTCGTGGATGATAGCTTAACGTTGAGCATATATATACTTCGTGACGATCAAATTTAAGTAACTTAGTCAATACCTCCCTCATCCTCCTCCAACGTCTTCCCTCCCACAACCACCTTCTCCGCCGACTGCAGCACATATAACATCCTAGCCCAACTATCCTTACTAGTATTATGCCACGCGTGATTCGTCCCGCGCTGCACGGCCACATCCCCTCTCTTCAACAGCCTAGTCTCACCCGAGTCCAGCACCAGCTCGACCTCGCCCTCTAACACGACGCCGAAGTCGCAAGACGGCGTCCGGTGCATCGGCGACGTGTAGTCCGGCGGAAAGTCTACCGTCCGACACGCGGTTCCGCCTGAGATGCTGATGGCTGGCGTGTTGGTCAGGTAGTTTTGGTATGTCTTTATGTCTTTGCTGTCGGCCATTGATACCGGGAAGCCTTCTGTCGTGTACATGAGGCTGAATAACATGTCCCCGCCTAGGACCTGGCGAACGGGCGCCTTTTCCGGTACGGCGTCGCTGAACACGGCTTTCCCGGAGGCGTCATGTGTGGTGATGAAGCGCGAGTGCGCGCGAAGATGGTTAGGAGGGTATGTTGATGGCATGATGAAGGACCTTAGAAACCTTTCAGTAGACAATCTTATCTTAAGGTTGGTCACAGTAAAAGAGTTCTCTCTTATATAGTAACTAGTAGGTATACTAGTAGTTATCTCTAATGAGAGACATTCAAAGGAACTGTAAATATAATTCCTTCGGAATAGGGGCGACATCGGCATAATATACCAGCACATATAAATACACCTTCTATATATTCATCTCTATCAAGTACCTAACCTAACCTAGCATACCATCATATCATACTCACAATGCGGGGATGAGGGGCAGCAAGACCCAATTGTCCTGCTCCGGACCAAAATGGATAGTGTTGAGCCCCTCCAATCGATCCCGCGGCCGATCCTCCTCGGAATTATGCTCGAACAACCCCGCCCCCTGCGTATCTCCCGACGAGACTTCCAGCACCAGCCGATGGCCCTTACTAACGACCACGTTGGTCGGCCATACCTCCACGTCCACCGCATATACTACTCCGCTCTCCACGGGAAGCACGTCCGTCGAGCGATATTCCCGATGGGGGTGCCAAGGCCGATGCCGAGGGTGACTGTCGGCTACTTTTCTGAGACTTACCCGCAGCCAGCCCTTGGTCACGGGCACTGGGTCGCCTACTGTGCCTGTGTAGAAGATTTCGTTGCCCTGTGCGTCCAGGTGTCTCAAGGTGACGAAGAGGTCGATCTCCGAGGGATTCGTGTTTTTCTCTGGTAGACTTGATGCCGACACGTTCAAGTGGACTACGACATGGCCTGTAAACTCGGTCTCTTCGGCAAAAGGTGCTGTTGTGAATTGGACAGCCTGCGGGGTTTTTAGGGTCCCCGGCGCTCGGTAAGAGATGGAGCTCTCAGCACTCGACGTAGATGAAAGAGCTGTGGTTTCGCTCAGTTGCTTATCCGCGGTGAGGAAATACTTGGTGTACTTCGTCCTCGGGATAGGCCATTCTTCTTCGTAGCGATGGGGATACTGTTTCTCAGCTTCCGCGTTATTATACCCGACGTTTCCTTTCCGTAAGACTAGGCCAACCTTAGGAGCGGCACCTGTTGACCATCCTTCCGTGTCGTGTCCCTTGAGGAATGCATCTAGAAAGCTTTTTTGTATCTCGACGTTTTCTTTTGAGTAGAATGGTAGATCGTGGCGCCCGGTGATAAGTCTTAGATACTTGTGCTGAGAACCAGCGTTTAGATACCCTTCTACATTTCCGCGCAGATGTAGCAAGATGCCACCCCAGTTCCCGACCGAAAGGACCGGCACTTTAATGTCATTCATGTCGTAGTCTTTCGAGGCGTAATATTCTTCATCTAGAAAGTGGTGCCTTGCGTTATCTTCATTTTGATCGCGACGATTGGCACGTAGCTCCTCTTCAGACAAATCTCCTTCAATCGTATCATAACCCCAATTTCGAGCGGCCCTTCCAGGGCGTCCATACTGATTTGTGACAACCTAAGAATCTGGTTAAAAAGATCCTATAGCTGATAGTACTCGATTAGAAAATTGACTAACCTGTCTATTCCACCAAAAGCTAATGAAGGTATTGGAGAGAATACCCCCATGCCTACAGCGGTCGCGATAATAGTCCGACATGCCCTCCCAGGGAATGATGCAGGCAAGTCCTTTAGGTTGGCGGGCTGCCACTCTCCACTGACTCCCCGCATAATAACTCACGCCGAGCAAACCGACCTTGCCGGATGACCACGGCTGGGATGCTGCCCACTCGACAACGTCAAAGAATGCCTCGCTTGTACCGCGAGACATGGTATCGAGCACACCAGGGGATTGACCAGTACCACGCTCATCTGCCCTAACTACAGCATAGCCGTTCCTAGTCCAGAACCCCGGGTCCGGAGTTTCCCATGAAGAGTGCGCCGAGTGATGTTCTTCGGGTACTTCAGAGAATGAGGCAGAATGAAACCTATGACGGTAAGTATAGTTATACTGGGTGGAATCACCTATCACTTACACACTATAATGGACATCTTTGCCGTACGGACCATAGGTTACCAAAACAGGATATTTTGTAGATTCGTCCTTGGGACGATAGACGTTGCATCTCACCAAGCCTTTGTCATCCTTCAAAGGTACGGAAACATTCTCCTCATAGATGTAGTCAAACGAGACCTGGTTCACCTTGCGGAGATCTCGATACGTTTGCGACATCTTTAAAATTGTCAAGCTTGATCAATATCACCAACAGACCCTAGAGGATTGAGCATACGTTCGTGTATATACTCGGTAAATCCACTCTGATATTATCGCCGACGCGGAAGTTCGCGAGTTACAAATCGAAGTAGTCGTGTCGCGAGCAATGGATTCTTCCTCAAATTCCCGTGCTTTACGCCATGACTTGAGATAACGTAGAAGGGCGTTGCTATCGGAGGGGCCTCCACCCGGCAATTTCCTTCGAGATTGCACGATATCGCCCATTCCATAGGGAGGCGTACGTACGATGGACTTTGACACTTCCGTTAGCCTATATCAAAATCCGCCGGATTTCGATGTCCAGGATTATTCCTCGCCAGGACCCTACGGCTTAATAATGATATGAAAGCTTTTTTGTTAACATTTGGTCTCGATTTATAATTCCTACACCCCCAATCTCTCAAATCAACAGTATTTCTACAACTAGACACCTAAGGCAATGGTAATTCTGGCCCCGGGGGTATTCCAGTATTAGCCAGTACGACAGGAATGAATCGATATATCTTCTCATTTCTTCCCAAGAATAACCTTTTCAAATAGGGGACTGCGCATGTTTATGTGGTAGTGACCTATCTTCCGAAAATTCCTGGGACTTCTTTTCCTTCCTATGATGCGTTAGAGATACCTTTTACCGCCTTAATTCTTTTGAAGCTGACTTTCTATCTCAACAACCCGGACATATTCCTCTCACGCCGTTCATCCCATCTTTCATTAGGGAGGAGTTCGCAGAGGGCAGTTCCCAGGATTTTAGATACAGGAACTTTCAACCTGAACAATAGCTGCGAGCCAGTTTCTATTGCGGAAGTACTGACCGGGCCAGTTTCCCGCCCATCCAATATCAGCTCTCCCCACCATACGACTAACGTCGCAAAGTAAATGCAAAGAGGTAGGTGCGGAGCTTCGGAAATTCGGGACTTATCCTTTTCAGATGAAGCGTGGCGGCGCGGTGCTGTCATAGCTTCCTGTGCGATACGAAGGGTCGTCTTGGCGTGCCACTGTGCCACATTAAAGTGGTGACTATCCCGCCATGCCCTGACCGAGTCCAGAGCACTTCCTTCTTGGAGAGGTTTCGAGGCTTGCAAGGCTACTTGGGTAAGACGCTGTAGGTGATTTAGGTTGGAATGGAGTGACACCTGTGTAAGGTGATATAGCAACATTTGAGAAACTTCGAGTTGGGATGGATATTCCGTCTCGGTTGTTTTTCCTTGAATCCATCGATTTAGCGCAAGCTCGACGAACTCCAGTTTCCACAGAGGAGGACGTGAAGAGTTTTCTGTGTTCTGTGGGCTCGCCATCCAGCTGTAACATATGATAGTCGCTAGATAATCCATTTCTGTACCCGGCACACCAAACAGATTACCGCTACTCGAGGTAGAGACCAACCCACCTGTAGGGAGAGAATGGAACCCAAGAGCTTCGTAAGTCGCGTGTAGGCCAAACTGAGTTTCTCCCATGAATGACGGGGGCCTTTGTAGCAATAGCACCCTATAACAGTCAAGAATACGAACCGCTTCCAAAAGCAGTCTCGCTTCCCGTCGCTGGTCTAAGGGAGCATCGCATGGCAAGTTGCTTATGCAAGAGCCAATCGCATTCAGTTTACTCGCATGAAAGACTTCAATGAACTCATAAGCTCGTTTGTCCCCGCTACACAGCTCGTAGATCTCCAGTAGGATGAACGTCTTGGCGATGCTCAATGATGTATCAAAGTCTATAGGGTCTTCTAGAAGATATTTCTCATAAAGTAGCCGCCGGGAGTCGTTGAATAACATCTTCGCAACCTTCATACTGGCATACGCAGTACAATAGAGACCACCGACGGCGGCCATTGCAAGGCAGAGCTCTACTGGGGTATCATAATTGGCTTCGAAATCAGAAAATATAGCAAACGTGCTTGCGATGTGTGTCCGGGAAACATTAAGTAGGATGTTCAAGACATCTTTATCGTATACGTAAAGTTGTGGTGGAGCTGAATACCAAGATCGTCTCTGTTCCTCTCGAGAGGGAGATGTTGGTCGCGATCGCCTTTGGAAATGATCTTTCATCATCTCAATAGCGCTATCCATAGAAGGATCTGAGTCGATGTTTAATGATAGGGAGTCTAGTGGCCATGCGTCATCTGTTGCGGAGAACTCGTTAAGGTCGTCCAACCAATTTCCCAGGTCCTACTCAAAAATGTCAGCATTAGTGAAGGTGTTAAAGGGGTACATAGGTGACTAACAAGTTGGGGGAGTATATTATCCATCAGATCTGTGTCGCCGCAGATTTGGTCGATTGGAATAGATTCGTTTGGGAAAGGAGCGTGTAATGAGAAGCTTCCCGTCGTCTCCGGAGGCATCCATTGATCAATGCCTAGTGGTGTGAGATCTGTAGCACCCGGATATGCGCCGCCGCCTTCTCTGGTGTCTGGTACGCCGATTCCAGGAATACCGGGCATAAGATTGGATCGAACTAGGGGTAACTCAAGGCTATTCGGTACCCAGGGCTGGGGAACTGGAGGCACGTCGGAGTTATCTACTTCTTTCCCGCGGATAATTTGTTGACTCGGGGATATAAGTACGGGATTGCGAGGTCTTCCGGGTGGCCTGCTAGAACTTGAGACCGTGCAAGGCAGCATTTTAGCGCGACATGCTTCACATGGCCGGACATTGTTGCACTTCAGCTTTCGCTTTCGACATTGGTCGCATGCTAACTTTGAACGTTCTCTCTCTTTAGGCTTACATTTCTCAATTGGAAGTTGTGAGAGAGACCCCGGAGATTCTGACGGCGATCCATTCTCAGGATGAATCTTCTTAATATGCTTCGCCCTAACGTCGGCGCGATGAAATCCGATTTTACAGTGAGGGCAACGAAATGGTCGCTCACCTGTATCTGCCCGTGGCCATGAGTGTCAGCGAGCTCGCTATTTAGAGGTAGCTATATACAACGACTCACGGGTTCTGTGATGCCGAATAAGATGCTCGTTTCGCGCAAAGGAACGTCCACATATGTCGCATTGCGCCATCACTGACAAGAGTTTGAGCAGCTCGACCTCCTTAGATATGTGCTTGGGATTTATACCATCCAATGCTATATTATTTTTCTAAGGCCTAGAAGATCTCCCAGATAAAAACGGATCGAGATAAAAGCCAAATAATCTGGGGGACTAAGACCAGTATCATAACCGGGAACAGAGAATATAAACAGGGCTTATCTCCGCAGTTGTCGCGAATACAGGTATGTAGCTTTATGTATGTAAACAGGGATTAGAAGTAGCTCCACTGAACTCGTCTTAGAGGGCGCAGACTTCTTCTAATTCTAATAGTTCTTAAGGACTGCTTATTCTTACTCAACTAATTCTTAGGATATTAGGTTAGGTCGTTACCAGTGTAATGGAGATGTGGTAATATGCTGTATTTTACTATGTATGTGGATATTTTGAAGCCACCTTATTAAGATAGTCAGTGCTGTTGGCTACCCCTTATTTTTCGGTATCTGCTTTTCGGGGTTGAAGAAAATGGATACCAGTTAACCCCATATAATTTGGCGGGACTATGTAAAGACTTAACCTTGGGTATCTTCACCTTTGCACGATTTACAAGGTATTCTTCACAGCCCATATCTAAGCCACATGAGTTCATGGCTCATCGCGTTATCTTTTATTGTAAGACAGGCAAGTATTCCAAATTATTCAAGTGCCGCCTTGGCTATAAGCCACGTAATAAGACTGATATTCCTGGGCCGACCCTTAGTCTATTTCTTAAATATTCTCTATCCAATGAAATATGCTAAAGCTTCCCCGCGTCTAATCCTCGCCGCCCTGATCCCTGCTGTCATTTCTTTTTGTCCCAGTTTCTAGTCTACATAGCAAGTTGTGTTGGAACTGGACTATTATATCTAAAACAAAAAGAGTATAAGCTCCGGCTTGTGCTTAATGCTAATATAGTTCTGAAGAAGTTATAAGAGAACAAATAACTATATTTAACTAGAATACTTCGTACATATTCTTTTATAAGCGCGATGTTGATTTGTTGATTAGTTGATTAGTTGATTACTACCTAGGTTAAGTTAAGTTAGGTACCTAAGCAAGATGAACACCGCAGCACCAAATTTACCCCATCTCGGGTATTATGAATTACCTAAGGTAAGAAAGTCCTACCCCTTTTCCCCAGGAGTTACCTATGACTGAATAGAAAATATTCAACTTCATAATCACATCAACCTAAAGTCAATAACTACCTAAATTCGGAGATGGTAACCAGTGCGCAGAGTTCGAGCTGGCCAGGAGAGCGTGAGCCTTCCCATCAGGATGTCGCCTCAGCTAGTGAACGCCCCGATCCCACTCTCTTATGCGATTTCAAGAGAGCCCTGTTAGCTAGTAGCGATGCGATTGGAACAGAGAAACTCTTCCACATGGACCTTAGGAACCAAATCTATGTATCTATCTACCTATCTACTATCTATAATATATATCCTACTATCATTTATACACCGATCCCTAACAGGCATAGGAGACTCCGACGAAGAAGTATACGTATCCCGTAGCTCTCCTGTCACGCTTTCCGAGATTGCCAACAGATGACCGCTTAGCCCAATTATCTCGGGCTTTTTGTAACGGTTGTCTAGATCATGTATTCTTCGGACAGCTCCCCATGTCGGCCGTGGCTCGGGAACAACTTGCCCCGCCCTTACGCTTTGCTATCGCTTGTCTTGGCTCGGTCTGTAGCCGCGGCGATGCCGAAGAAACTCGGAGAATCTACCAGGCTGGTGCATGCCTCTGGCCAGTCATGGTGGAAGTAGACAATGGGCTTGCCCGATCAGTTGAAATGCTTTTAGCGGTGGGTATCTCCATTAGATTAATGGGGGTCATTTGCTCACATGGCTACAGGCTGTTCTACTCGCGCCATATGGTATACTATCCGCCGAGGAACCTCTTCAGAGAAGATCCGCACTTAACATATCTTCATCCTTAACAGTGAGTACGGGACCAAGTAAAAATGGTTAACCTAACTCATACCCCCTTTTAGATTGCTCGTCGTATGCATTTACATAATCCAGGACGGTTGGATCCTGGCATTCAACAGCGAATATTATCATATAGGTATGCCGCTCGCGACTGCTGATATATGTGCCTGTAACTGATGATACTACTCGAGAAAAGTCCTATGCTTTGGTTACTTTGGCTATGGGATGTTTTGCAGGCTCTTCACTCGAACCTGTCCCTGAACTTCTCGCCTGACGAAATCTCGACGAATATGCCATCTTCGAACATTTCGCTCCAGGATGTCTATCGGAGTCTCCTACAGGATTCCAGCGTAGAGAGTCAGACTCTTCTCTCAGCCATAGGCACCAGTTCTAAGGAGCATGCAGTTCTCCTACTTCTCGCCATACTCTCCGACTCTATTACCCTACGTAGGTCCCTTGGAAGCGCTGCCAATGTCATCAACTCAGTTCAAATGACCTCATATAAACACAACCCTTTTGTCCCCTTTTCTGCCCATACCGAATCTGAGCGTATGCAAAGTCGGCTCTTTAAAGCATTGGACCAATGGTACATCAATTTTAGTGGTTCTATGAGTCCCGACGTGATAGCATTCTTCCATTATTGTAGACTATACCTCTCCTGTCCGGAAATTTCGAGTCTTTCACGACTCGCCCAATATGATGTACCATTGGACCAAAGCCTAGCCCAAGCAACCGCTACGGTCGCTACAAATACTATCAACATATCAAGCCAGGCACTTGACCATGCCTGGGCCTTACTTGATGTCGCAGCTACATGTCCAAAATCAGAAGGGATCTTATGTCAAGCTTGGATGCCAATAGTTGTATTCCACGCTGCCCTCGTGGTCTGGGCGAAGGTCAATTTCAGCGCAGGGGGTGATAGGGATACGTATGGGAGTAGAAGGGTATTGTTAGCATTTAAGATGGAGCTTGAGACTATGAATTGGCCATGTTGCACGAAGATGGCAATGACTCTGCAGAGGTTAATGTCCACCTAAGTTGGTGAAGGGATAGTATTAACTATCTTACAACCACTATTCCTTTATATAATGATAAGCTAAGAGATATTATTACACTGCCGAAACGAATCCCATTGATTCACGCAAATAAGCCCTTGTTGCCATTTGCCTGTGGTCCCTTCGGCGCATCCTTCCAGTACGTGATTGTCCGCGTATTCGTGTAGTATTTCAATCCGAGAGGCCCCAGCTCGCCGCCAATACCGCTCTGCTTGTGCGCTCCGAATAGCGCAACAGGGTCTAGTTTCAATCCGCTATTGACCCAGACGCTTCCCGTCTCAAGACTTTCAGAAATTTGCCAAGCACGCTTCTCGTCGCGGCAGTAGATCGTGGCCCCTAGACCCGTGGGAGTGTCGTTTACGCGTTCTATCACCTCTTTATCGTCGCGCCAGGTTAGCACCGGGACAATAGGTCCAAAGGGCTCTTCCTGCACGATGCGCGACTTTTCCGGTGGATTGGTGACGATTGCCGGTGCGATGAAATACCCCGGTCTGTTGTCGTCCACGGACACTTTGCTACCGCCACCAACGGCAAAGTTGAACCCCTGCTCTTCGCACTCGTTGTAGATCGACTTGACTTTTTCGAACTGCATCTTGTTCTGGATTGGGCTGCAGAATCCCTCGCCTGGTTTATAACCTTTTACAATCTCTACAAGATGCTTCATAAACTCTTCGTAGACAGACTCGTGGACGTAAATCCGCTTTGTAGCCATGCAGATTTGACCGGAATGCGCAAATGTCGCCATTGCTACTAACTGTGCCGCCTCATGGACGTCAAAGTTCTCGGTTACTACCGCTGCATCATTGCCACCCCTAACAACCCGTTAGCGTTACATATTGATGAGTCTGTTTTATCAATGGGATGTCATACAGCTCTAAGTTAACCCTTTTCAATGTTTCGGATGCCACAGCCATAATCTTCTTGCCGGTAGCTGTAGACCCAGTAAACGAAATCTTGTGGATTCCAGGATGTTTCGTCATCCAAGGGCCGAGGTTATCATCACCCCCTAGAGCCTGTACCACGCCAGGCGGGAGAACCTCAGCTGCGATTTCGGCTATCTTGAGGGATGTATAAGGCGTGAAAGGGCTGCAGTCCGTTAGACACGAAGTTATTAACCTCCTGGTTTGATACTCACGAAGGTTTCAGTATGACTGTGCAACCAGTTGCTAGCGCCGGAGCCACCTTCAGAATGGCCAACTGGAAGGGGTAGTTCCACGGCGTAATTCCTGCAACTACGCCAATAGGTACATGTTGGACAACGATTCGTACGTCCTCTGTATCTTTCAAGAGCTGGTCGGGAACTGACCAATCCGCTACAAATAGTCAGGTCTCGAATTCCAGCACTGACACTGGGCGGAAACTTACCATGCCGTCTCATAGTATTGATACCCATTACAACTTCCGACTCCGCAAAGGATACCTAACGTCGGGAGTCAGTCCACATAGAGGTAATGATATTGGAGGGCCTCATACCGATTTACCACTCTCCTTACCGAGTAATTCAGTCAGCGCATCCTTGTGCTTCTCTAGGCCATCAGCGAGATCCCTCATGAACCGGGATCTTTCGTGCTGCTGTAGCGAAGACCATTTCTTGAAAGCGCTATTGGCGGCTGCTACAGCTTTGTCGAGATCATCCTCGGTAGCTACCGGAGTCTCCCAAAGAGTTTTTCCTGTGCTTGGATCGATCCCATGATATGTCTTATCACCTAGCACCCTCGAATTGTTGACAATCTATCGAATTTTTAGATCCAAAGCAATGCTTCAAATTCACTTGAGTGACTTACGTTATAAAACTTGTCGAAAGATATGATGCCCTCCATGGAATGCGAATTTTGCCGACGAGATGCTAAATTTTCTAGTAGATATAGATTGAGTAGGTGACTTGAAGCGTGTTGTTTCTCTTTCGATAAGGCCTTGGAGAAGAGGCTGTTTTAAATGAAGTTCTCTCTCTTCATATTGCTAGCATATATCATCTGTCAGTAATCCAAATACTCAGCTTCAAAACAACTGCCACGGGGCTTAGACGCCGAAATTGCCGGAATGGAGTAGGTTCGGTGCATCAACCAAAGTCCCTAAGCTCCCCGCTCCCACACTACCTATGAATGCGAATTCCCCCACAATCTCACAGAATCTCGAGTAAGACTTGAAAGTCTAGACGATTAATTCCCTTCCACGTCATCCGAACGCTTGCCAAGATCTACGTAGGACTCTCCATCACGGGTTGTCAGCCGTCTGGCCTATATACTAAGTTATATATCCACCATCGTTGTGGAAGCGAGGCTTAGAATATAGGGTACGCCAAGTGAGTCAGATGCAGCCGATCGGAGTTAAGGGGCTATCTATCGCTACAGGATGACGACGGGATCCTGTCCATTGCCGGCTTAGCACATATGATCGTACCCATCGATCCAGAGGTATGAAAGGTCCGGAATCATCCGTAGATTGAGAAGTGAATTATGCGGCTCACGCTGCTCCCGCTTGGTGACGATGTCCTTCCCAGCCAACGCTCTGATCTTACCTACCTACAACGCCCGTAAGATCCCAAAACCGCTCATGAAAGTATCGCTAAGATTAATCTTATTAGTTTTGGGGGAGGAGGAGGGTTCGACTTACTGTTTATCTAATAGGGCTTCAGTCCATAGCATGTCTTTCAACTAACTAGCAATCAATCAACAAAGCCCAATAGAGGATGTGCACTATTTGGAGTCGATAACACGTTAATCAGAGCCGTTAGAGTGCTAAGTATACTTGGTTTTACCTTATCAACTCTTTATAATCACGGTCGTATTTTCTCTTGTTCGGGTTGAATACATTCCTCGGTTCTTGATGCCGAAGCCAGTAAGGAACATCAGAATTGAAAATGATGTGTCAAAATAGTGCATGATAATCTTTTAGGGTGTATATAGTTCAGATCAACTACTACAAAAGTACAAGTATTTCAGACGGAAAATTATCGAAGCATTTCAATAAATATATGACTATACCTTGACTTAGAATATATACCCACCATGGTATGATTAGGGGTGGTACGATCGATAATGGGATGATCAAGAATAATTGTGTGAATATACAACCACCAGCTATGTTACATATATGTATGTATGTAGGATGCTACTTAGCTTAGAGGTTAATGCTTTACTGCTCGGTGCTGTATGAGTTGGCAGGTCTATCTAAATGTTAGCGTTTTATTGAACTGGTTCGGTTTGTCCTTTCTCAGGCCCCTTTTCTTGTACATGTCCATACCCCCCTGGGCAATCTACAAGTCCGGAAATACTGCATAATAGTTTAATCACAATGTTAGGCAACGTACAAATGTTTTCGGTTTTCTTTAACGATTCCTATTTGGAAACTAGTAAGAGGTAGGTACCCAATTGAGATAGCTTGTGTCTACATAAATGTATGATACAATGCATTAATGCCACTTCGCCGGGATAGGAGGACCCCATATAGCAGCCTCAGCTCCCGCGAGCCTTGATGTTGGTGTGTCCTGATTAACCAAATCGCCGTCTGCGTAGTGCTCTACTATAAAGCCTGCTGAATCGTACCAATAGTCAAAGACCTGTGATCCCATGATATGCCTCCCCACACCCCATTTTAGCTCATAGCCTTTATCTTGTAGCCACTTGTGGCCCATCATCTGCGTGTCTATATCCTCCACCTCAAACGACGAGTGGTGCACGGTCGTTCCCTTGCCATTTCCGTCGCGGTGGGCTGCCACTAGTAGGCAGTGATGGTCCGAGTATTCAGCGCCGAGGTCGAGGTGGAAGAAGCTCATAATCTCCTTAGATGGGTCTCCGGGAACGTGTACAATATCTGTCGGCTTAAAGTTGAAGTGAGAAGAGTACCAGGCACAAGTCTTAGTGTAGTTATCAGTCATGTAGCCGAAGTGACCGAGCTTGTGGATCTTGGCTGGACCACTGTCTAGACGATTGAAAAGACCTATTTTAAAAGAAAATGTTAATATATCTTAGATATATAGTCACATCTCACGGGAAATGCTATTAGTGAGAAGATTTCTAACTTACCTTTTCTCACTTTCGTGATAGCTCCGTTAACATTCGGCTGACCACTAACGACATTCGACAACCCCCTATCCGGTATAACCCTGTCCTTCTGGTCATACACAATTTGAATTTCATACCCGTTTATGTCAGGCACGCTAACCATCTTCCCTCCGCCTGGTCGCTTCGAGATATCCTTCAGCTGAGCATTTTCTAACTTGCATGCTCTTTCGAAGTCCTCCTTAGTCTGTGCTGTGAATCCGGCTCCGAGGAACCTCTTAGCTTGACCCGCTGGCGCCTGGCGAGCGACATAGACATAAGGATCCGGTCCGTAGCCCCTCAGGAAGAGATTCCCGTCTTCGTCAGTAACTCCCGTAGACTCAAAGCCGAAGTCATCGGCGAACGCCAAGAATTTCGTAAGGTCTGGGTGTTCGTAAATTACGTACGAAATACGGCTGAAGTTGACTTTATCGGAGGCGGCCATTTTCAATTAGTTTCTGATGTAAGAATATAGAGCTTTTTACTTGCTAATTCTCACTCCGGTCAGTCATGAACACTACTAATATTGTTTTATATCATGCATCTACCGGAGATTTCGGCGTCGCGAGCCCCCGCCTCGGGAGTATTGTTCAAGTAGCTGTTGGAAATTGCCGAACGACCTCCACCCCATACCTGGCGATAAACCTATCTCCTTCACGTCACAATGATGGAGTTTAGTTTCTCACGAATATCTGATGACAAAAACAACTTCAATAGATCGAGGTGACGCGTATGTCATTGACGGAAAACCATAGGCAAACTTGTGTTTGGTGCCGATCACGTACGTGTTTTACGGCACCCCGTACCGAACCGGCCGGATCTCGCGGTTTCGCGACTCATCAACTTTAACGCCGCGGTTATTTCTATGAAACGGTTAAGTAGGGATTTATCCGGGACCGATCGGGACCGAATGTTCATAATGCATTCCGGCAGTAACGACGACTTGATACATAAAGTGAATACTGCTAGTAAAAATATATTTTACTCTAAATTCCCCTATTACTCAAGGTTCATATTACGCAATCGTTAACACTTTATTAGCCTCTGGCTAAATTAGTGTGTATTCTTGTCACAGTAATTTCATATTTCAACGATTGGACCGTAGTTCCCTAGGTAGTTGATACATGATTTCAATATTCAAGAGATGTGGAAAGAAATATCAGGGAAATGTATTGGAGGAAAAGCAAACAAAACATACAATTGAGATAGCTCTAGGTACTCACCCTAGAGTACACTACATAGTTAATATTACTATATTTTCTTGGTACCATTCAGGGCAAGACTCAATAGATGTCCACCGTGATCCAGATCTCGGCATGCTATTAGTCATGCTACAGGGGAACTGATGTATCGCGGAACGGCGAATCGAACGAGATACATATCAGGCTAAAGTGCTCACATCGCTACGGATGTACGTATCGTATAGGTAATTATAATTTGTTTCGCTCAGGGAGCTAGGTATATATGTGTTAAGTAGTCACAAGTATGATATGTAGATTGCCTGCTATTTCCACTAGGTTTCGTACGTGTTCTTAACATAATCAGCATCTAACGGTAAATTATGATGGGACTGGTTGTAGCATTGGTGACACTCGCACTCGCTAGCGTAGCTCAAGCAGGAGATGCTCGAACTATCCTACGAGCCCCTGAAAGTTCTTGTTCAGTCCCCGCGATGTTAGACGCCGGAACGAATGTGTGGAAGGGCCACAAGCTTCACGTAGATCCGTATTACCGAAATGAGGTCGAAAAAGCGACTGAAGCTATTAAAGATGTGGAACTTCGCAACAAGGCAACGAGGGTGGCCAGCATTGGTACGTTTATATGGCTGTAAGAAATATGTTTACCCTAAGATATATAGCGAAACCTAACGAATTTGAAGAAATACGAACGACGATATCAAAGGTCTCGCGGCAATCGTTAGTGCGGTACCATGTGATGAGATATTAGGGATTGTTCTAGATAATTTGCCATATAAAGGACCTGGTACCGAAGACGCCGAGCTCGACCAGGCATCTCTTGCGGAATACCAGAGTTACATAGACTGTGAGTCCAGATAGTTACTTTAAGGTCCGAGAAAGAAACTGACACTGCGAGTAGTAATAGCAGAAGTCATCAACGCATCTCCCAATACGTCGTTCGCTATAGTTGTGGAACCACGAGCGTTTCCGAACTACTTCAATGACACCGGTATAAGCAGCAATCTCGCCAAGAGCTACCGACGAAATGTCCCTTACGCCCTTAAGACGTTGAACTTACCCAATGTCATCACGTATCTAGATGTCGGAAATAGCAATTCGATGGACTGGGATATTCATCGTAACGTCGCCGCCAAGGAGATCATAAATATATACAAGGCCGCAGGAAGTCCGTCTCAATTCAGGGGCTTCGCCACCAATGTGGCCAACTTTAATTCCTGGTAAGTTACCTCTCTCGAATTGACAAACTCTTCGGAATATGGATGATTAAGAGAAAAGCTCATCTATTTCAAGGGATCTTTTGCCCGGCGAGTTTGTCACCGGCGATGATTCGCGGTACATCAGACCGCAGAACGAGCAGCACTTCGTGCGCATCCTCTCCGACGCTCTACAAAAGAACGGCCTTCCCGCAAGTGCAACACATGCGATCATGGATACTAGCCGCAGCGGCGTGTTTGGGCTAAGATATAGTTGGGATGACTGGTGTAATATTAACGGCGCGGGCTTCGGAATCAGGCCCACGTCACAGACTGGGGACGAGAGACTTGACGCGTTCGTATGGGTGAAACATCCCGGAGAGTCAGATGGCACAAGTGATTCTTCCGGGTCCGGATACGATGTATTCTGTGGGAAGGACGACGCGCTGAAGCCTTCTCCAGACGTAGGACTATGGCACCAAGAATATTTTGAGATGCTAGTCCGCAACGCCGACCCTTCTTTATAATCACCTACACATTCAAGAGCCTAGTTCTGAGACTCTAGACAGAAATGGTTACTAGATACTAACACTCCGGTCAATACGTAGTTTCTTAAGGGATGCTCGCATCTACGAGGTATGTTTAAACGGATTGCGTGGATCAAAGTTATGGGTTATGACAATGACCTAGAGCTAGACTAAAAGTCGGGAATGGCTACTCTAATATGAAGACAGATGCGTGTAGAGCTTGGGATTTTAATAAGAATAGTATATTGAATCTTTCTGGCGATCTTCTGTGATAAACCTAAGCTAATACTGGCCCTGAGTACAACGTTAAAAACCATAGGAACTCATAGTATCAGTACTTCTCGCCTACGTATAATATGGCTAAGTAAACAGGATCTGATTTTACCCGGCGAAAATATACGGAGCGCTATTCTTTGATATCAATTTTTTAAGTCTCGGATCGCAGTTTGGGCTCTCCCAGTACGCTAAAGTCTTGTGCTGCTCTCTTTCTTTTCCGACGCGAGTGTCTGGCTCTCCCAAGCGATTATCGCGGTTCTTGATCGCAAGCATCGCTTTATCCCATCGTCCTACCGTTTTAGAGTCGACGGCAGCTAGTCTATGGGGCCACATATGTTGTTTGACGTAAGCGTTATAGTATTCCTGAACCGAGAATCGTGCTAGGTCATTGCGTGAGAGAATATCTAGTGAATCATGGATGTTGAATACATCAACTGACTTGAGCAGAAAAGGCTTTCCAGACCACCTAGACCATGATTGTCGATTGATGTTCCCCGTCCGTTCCAGCAGTAGTTCGAGTAGACGCATCACGTTGAGGTTGATTATAGGGTTGGTTCTTGCCCACATTTTCAGCGCCATATCAGATGCATCGGGCTTCTTTTCCGCAATCAAGTTATCTGCAATTATTGGCGTCAAAGGCCCCCATGGCTCTATATATGCCCCCACTCGATAGATAATGGTTTTCTGGAGTACGTATCGTAAGGTATCGACGTCCCCCTCCCAAATTGGGTGCGTGAGGAGCAGATTCAGTTCCCTTATTATGATGGGTTTATCTCCGCTGCTGAATCGTAAACCCCAAGTCGCCAGGTCCCATGGGCTACATCCGAAGAAATCTAGCATAAGTTTCCAGAGTGACTGCCAGTGATATGAACCAACATCTTTCGCCAACTCTTCACTTTGGTATGAGGTCAATACATTATCGACACCGTCTTGGACCCCCTGAGATGCTTCCCAGAGAAATTCTTCAAATGCTTCCGCAGATATTCCTCTCCTGTATAATACTACTGGAAGTAAGTCGGTTCGGTTCTCCATGATTATGCTAGATTTCCTGTGCTGCTGTTTATAACAACTTATCAGTAAATGTCAAATAACATATTTGATTTTGATTATTGTGAGACCTACGTCTTCTGGCGGGTTTTGAGACCTTCGGAAAGATCTCGAAGATATTATGAAAGGATAGAGACGTGTAATACTCTCACGATATTAAAGAGCGAGAGGGGAGTAAAAATTAGTAGTCGCGTTTTTACGGTAACCTCGGTGATGCAGGGCCGATAAATTAGAAGGGTTCTTGCCAGCTGAAAAGGTGTAAGTAACTTTAGAGGTACTTAGGTAACACCGTGATGTGTTAGAATGGAGCAGGAAATAATTATTTTCGAGACTTTAAACTGGATTCTCGATTCACATTCGAATAGTGTACCTGCCTGATGTACAATAGCAACCACACAATCAAGCAAGAAAACACACTACAATTGTTTGTAAATACCTAGGTACTTAAGTACAACCGATCTTGAAAGAGAAAACTCAAGGTAGGGCTTAAATCACTTCAGTGTCTATTGTTAAATGTGTTTACTTCATATCGATCGTCACGTTCCGAGTACTGCTGCTGATGACGATGTCTTAATGTGGTGATAGACCATCATCCAAAACTGATGGTTCCGCTCTCCGAGAAGTGAATCCAAAGAAATAGACACATCCGGCATAGATTTTGACAATCTACGAAGGAAGATTACGATGATAGACTTACTAGCTTAGATCATATCAGGCCTCTAATAGGATAGGAAGATATTTCGGGATCTATAAGAGGATACAGAGAGATAACTCGAATAATTCCGGCAATATGGCGAATGTGTAGGGTCCTAGGTGCACCAGGAGGGAGATACGCTCTAATGATTCAAATATAGATGCTTCCTAGAAGCCCGGCCTCAAGATACGTTAGCTAGGAGCATGACTCTGTTCATTCTTCCCCCACACGACTCGTAGTTGTAATACTCTTACAGCCCTATGCCGAAAATTTACGTTAGAAATTATCATCACGAAAGAATAGCAGCAGTTAGTACGACCACTACCTCACGATATGGTTTAAGGAGTCAGAGGCGAATCATTAATTCTATCTTCAAAGCGTAGTCAATTAGAGTGCCAAAAAGTATTTAGAGTTATCGTGACTGCAATGGTACATAACTTCAACAAGAGCAAGCAAGTAATCGTGCCATACAGGCCATTAGTGAGTACAAAAGTTGCGAGGCAAACGCCTATTGCAAAGCTGAGCCAGTAGGTACCTGTCAAAACATGAGAAACTCGAGCTGACCCTCCAACATTACAGTCATGCCCATATCAACGGCGATTTTTCAAACTTCCAACTTCCAACTTCCAACTTCCAACGTGTTGCATGCCAAATAGGAAACAAGAAGTAAACGAGAAACAAAAGTATCGATCCCCTAGTGATGTAGTTGCCAACGTGATCCTTATCAACATTTATAGTATTAGTAACTTGGGTATCAAAAACTTGGGTATCAAATCCCCTCTTCCTTCCTATCGTTCATTAAAATCTGATTTTCTCTCCTTTTTTGTTTTTTTCTCACTCTCCGTATGTGAAACCCTGGTTGCTCTTATGGTGATCTCCGTATCAGCATCCTAGACTTCTGCCATTTTACGACATTTGTTTCTTCACGCATCACGGCTAGGGCGCCACTCGCATCAGCCTCGAGGCAAGTTTGCAAAACTATCCGAGCAAACACGCGACATAAATCAAGGCCAGGGAATAAACACTAACTATGGTCAGTAATCATAGTTAGGTGTAGTTCATATACACTTACTGTTACTAGGCCGATCATACAATTCAGAAAACTGTCCCCTATTACCAGTTCTCTCTCCACAAACGATATTGACTTCATTTCAAGTCATTGTATGAGACCCAATCGTCGTCATCTTCGAAATCCCCCAGATCAGCTCCGGATGCCTTCAACGTGGCTTGTAGGAGAATCGTTCTGGTATCGGTCCATGTCGGTCTCCATCGCTTGTCAAGAAGGTCAAGCGGAGTATTGCCTTCTTTGTCAACTAGAGTAGGGTCGGTTCCGTTCTCAAGTAGTGCCACAATAGTATCGAATAATTTTGCATGAGAAAATTTATAATCGGCACAGGCTACGTGTAGCGGAGTACGGCCCTGGAAGTCGCGATGGTGGACATTCGCGCCCTGCTTGATAAACTCTCTAAGCAGTTTGTGATTATTAGGGTACATCACGTACTCGTAAATAGGAGTGCGGCCATTTTCATCAGAACCATTGATATTCGCTCCTTCTCGTAAGAGATAAAGGATCAGGTCCCTGTGCTCTTGGCTGTGTTTGCATAGGACATGCAGGGCGGTGGTTCCATCGCAGGAGGTATTCGGGTTTCCGCCATAATCGATCAAGGCTTTGAAAAGCTTCAAAGCATGGACCAGTACAACTTCTTCATAGACGCGCTTAACATCGTGACGAAGCGCAATTTCACCATTGAACGGAGCCTTTGGGTTGTAGGAATCTAAACATCGTGCCGCCTTAAAGATCGGAGTATAAGAGGATTCTGGATCTCGAAGGTTAGGTTTCGCTCCAGATCGAAGGAGTACCATAGCTTTACCGAAACGATCCTTGAGCTGATCTTCATACCGAGCGGTCGGATGAGGCTCCCAGACGCCTCTCTCGAAACGGGGCTTAAAGTCAATCACCCCTAATAGAGGAATACCATCTCCACGCTTTCCAGTTATTCCCGGTAGTAGAGGAGCTTGATATAGTAGAGGGGCTTGATTAACATTGGCACCGTGATTGATTAGAAGACTGAAGCATTCTTCAAAGTCTTTATTGCCCGTAGTTATGCGAAACAACCAATGGATAGGAAACCAGAGCTTGCCGGCACCCATACCGTTTGAAGGTGCAGGGTCATTCACGTCTGCACCTAATTTGAGTAGAGTGGTGAAAGCGTGGAAACTTCCAAATCGAATGGCTACCGTAAGAGGGGTCAGACGAATGCTGAATTCAGAGCCATTGAATCTGGAGCACAGATCGTGGAGGTGTTCCGGGGTAGAAGGTATGACCTTCATAGTATGGACCCTTTGGAAATGATAGTTGACCAGCGTGGGGTCATATTTGATGATCCGTTGTAGAAGTCTATACTCGCTATTCACGCAAGCCCACCATAAGGCATGGCGGTCTTCTTTGCTATCCTGATCGTATAGAGCTACGTCCATGATGACTGAGAAGTCGCGACAAGTCTGGGCCAGACAAGCCTTGGTGGCTTGACTCATGTGCTTTGCAATTTCGAGAATTATCTCCATGGGCATTCTTGCTAGTTCATTCGAGGGACCCTTGTTGGCGATAGTGAGATCCATGTGAGACTCGCCCTGGGGCTTACCCTGGGGCTCTGCTCGAGGCATGGTCGCGGTTGCAGATTCAATTTTCAGTAATTGAATTGTTGTACGATGATATAAACGGGTTTGGCGATTGAAATCTTGATGAAGTAACGGGGCTACAAGGCAAATGGATTTGAATCAAAATCAACCTAAGTTGATAATGATGATCGTAAAGTATGTTGGATACCGAGGATGATAAAATTTCGACAAAGTGATGGAAGAGAGTAAAGGCTCCGTAAAACCTTACAAATATTGAGAAAGGTTGAAATCTTTTGATTGTATGTAGTTTTGGATTGAAAAGAAAGTTGTTTAGGTATGGATGCAATTCCCACGAGAGTGAAGACCAGTGGATAGATAAACACAAAGCGTGTTGGATGATCTTAGGGTGAGAAAAGACGCATAAACTGAAATAGGTATGCACAGAGAATTTTGTTAAGCTGTTGTACTTCGGCTGTCAATGGCTGTCGGTCTATTTTTGTATTGTTCCGAGGTGACAGAGGAGGAAGTGACAATGTGAAGGTATTTTAGTAGAAGAATGTGTTGTTAGAGGAAGGAAAGACCAATATTTATCTAAGCATGCTCCTGACAAAATCACTCTAGGTACTTAGTAACAAGCTTTAAAAGAATCAGTCATTATGTATTGATTTAAAATATTATTTTATGTGCATAACACCATTAGGTAGGATCATCTGGACGACTAATCAATGCTAGGTTCCTGCCAACATTAAATTTAAGCGGACCCCTTGAGTTACAAGTGACTAATTAGTCTACCTACACTGATCTAAAAGCATCTGAGATGATTCATTTAGAATCTAGGATCGATGGTAGGATGTAGGTAAACGGCGTGTTTCGAATCATTCATATAATGTATCGTGTTGTAACAAATGGTCTTTAGCAATCACTGCTCATATCATCACATAAATTCTACACAGAATAGCAGTCTTTAGTATGTATCACGAGACCAAATGGTCATAAAGGGATTCCCCAGAACATCAAGAGCCTTGCAGCTCACTGCAAAGCTATGTGCACATAAGGATCCAAGATGCCTGACTCAGGACTGAGTCACGTAGATTGTCTGGCTCTGCCAGACAACTACGTGACTCCTGACCGTGCCAATATGTAAACCAGATCCACTAATATCATGCTCCCTTCCTTCACTAACTTTCTCGAAATGCTTCGTGTCATGTATCAATACTATGTTATGCTATTTATCATGCGTGCCCCTGTGAGAACGCAAGGCGGAAAAACACGTTATTTTCAAGTAAACGCAAGACGATTGGGTGTCATAAATGCCAGTATTTCTCCAACCTAATTTAGTGAACAATAAAGGGCTGTAGAGAGACGATTTTCGAACACTAGCATGCTAACTTGTTGGTAGCTGTGATGTGATAACTCTGGAAATTCTCATTGAAAATACACAGTGGTGCTGCCGGACGACTGAAATTACATATAAAAACAACATGGTTATTTTACAAAACATCCATATTAAAAAAGGAGAGACGTAACCTTTTACTAACTTTCAATGTGAATTTGATATTGGACTTACATCAAACGAAATATGGTTAGGTACAGGACAGTAAAGGAAATCATTTTCGTAACCTCACAAAGATCAATATTAGGTCAAGAGGCTTTTAGGGGATTGGTCTTGTAGGATAGAATTAGGGCGATTCTATTTAAAATATGTAGTTCACTACTACAATCCACAAAATATGCCCAGTGATCCTAATTTATCGACATTAACCAAGTACAAAGACAGGTAGTAACAGCATGAAAAAAAACCTTCGGATTGAACAAAATCATAGATATAACTACAGGGAGCTGATTCCTAAAGTGAATTATTCTAAATCTACATATGTTGATATCGACGGTCTGTTCACCATGTTAGCCTACATATGGTAAATGTGGCTAAAGTGGAGTATTTAATATAATGAAATACCCAACTAAAGAATAAAACCTATCAAATACCGTTAAATATAACATTGCCGGTGGTAAGATAAAAAATAACAAAGAAATCACATCAATGCGGAACGTTTTGAAGTTGAATAATCTGTAATTAATCTGTAGTCGGAGCGGAGTGCTCGGAATCCATCCGCATTATTCTTTACTTTAAGTACAGGCGGTAAAAGCGCCCCGGAAATCATGCCCGGCAACCGGGCCGCAACCGGGCCGCAACCGGGCCGCAACGGAACAGTATCTACGGCCGAGATAGACCCCACGCCGGAGAGGGCATGATACAGAACGGCTTAAAAGCAAACCAATAACACCTCATTGGGCAACCGCCGAACACTAATATTGCACCGACTACACAAGCTCACCCGGAGGAACCAACAGAGCAACTGGAGCATCATCACGTGTACCTTTTAAGGTTAGATTTGTACGATATCAGGAATTAATACGGTATGCATGTAAATAAATATTTTATATATTAGCACCTGACAGCTCTACATGCGGCATACCCTTAGGGAGGTCCACAAGCACTGGTATTTCCCCTTCGCCCCGGCATTAAATATACCAACCAACTAACCGACCATTTAACTTTAAGTACATTTCCCTTAAACGTAAACGAATTCATCATCAGCTTAAATCTCTACATCAAGTCCAAGTTATTAAAAAAGAATTTTGAATAGAGCAGGACTGGGATATCATATTTTGGCTTTTACACTATTGAAACCCCCACGAATTATTTGATCCTAAGGTAGCAAGCAAGCCATCTGCTTAAAAGGGGTTAGGGGCCCCCCTTTCTGCTTTTCGAACTACTACCTAGATGTACCTAGGTACCTATCAGAATCACCAGCCATTAGTGCAGCCACAATCAAAAACCATCAGCCACTTATCTACTTGCACGTGTAACAACCTACATGCCCGTGTATCCTATGATGTACCTAAACCTAGGTACGAAATAAAGCGGGCCAGCAACGTCACTCGAGTTGCGTCCATTTCCCCAGCAAAAAAAAACAGGCCGCCAAGCCACAAACGTTGAGCAGACAACGCTAATAACTACCCATCTCGAGGCCTTCCATCTTTGGAAGTTATTGAGCTAGTTTCCCTCTTTTAGGAAAAAAAAAAAGAAAATAATTAATATAGTCATAAATTATCGGAGTTGAAGCGAGATCGTTCTTCTTTACATAAATTGCAATTCTGTTGGGTAGATATCGACTAACTAAAGTATCTAGCGCCTACATCAAAAAGACCCAAGCTCTCATCTCATTTACTACCTAATCTATCCAAGTTTACTAAGAGCGAAGAGGGAGGAGACAAGAGAGGTGGGAGACAGACCGACATACCCTACCTATCATAACTGGTTCCCGTCTTGCCCAAAGCCGTAACCGCTGTCATTATGATTGGCACGTCGATACCGGAGTACATCTTCATCCGTATATGCATATTTATGCTGCAGTATACAACACCGCTCTGCATACTATGTCTAGCTCTCTTGGCAGCAGCCTATAGCTGGTCCCTCTCAGCGGTACTATCCCATTCTCTGGGCATAGTGTCACTTCTCTACTGCATCGTTGACGTGCTGTACGCTATTTTGATCTACATCCCGCACAATCGGCGGTTAAAGAACGAAGTAAAGCATCCACCTCAGCTCTCACGTGAAGAACGTCGTGCTCTATTCCAGCGCTGCTTCGCAAACATACCTGACGCCCGGCGCTATGTCCAGATGTGGTTCCTTGGCGCAGACGAGTCCGAGATACGGAGAGACAACGTACGCGACTTTATTCTTTGGGCATTCATTGATAAGGGGCCGGGCCAGGAGTCCGACGAAGAAGATAAAGAACTAGACGAGTATATAGAAATTGTCGAAGAGCGCTTAGGACGTAGGTTAGAACCGGGAAGAGGGAAGGCTGACGGTCTCCGATTGACTCTGGACGAAGTGGAAACCCGATATAGAAGTGTTGTGTGGTATTTTCTCGTGGGACTGGTTGACTTTGTGTCGCATTGCCGATTAGCGCGTAACGGGTTTCATTATCATGCTCACTCGCCGTCTAAGACCCGCTCCGTCATCCCTCCGCGCTTACAAGACCTCTTCGCCCAGAGGTATTCCGAGTCAGAGGGATTCACTTACTGGCACCGTCCGCATACCGCTTCTAATAGACTTCCCGTTGTGTTCTTGCATGGTATCGGTATCGGCCTTTACCCGTATGTGCCATTCCTCGATCGACTGAACTCGGGATCAAAAGAACAGGATGGAGAGGGACAGATAGGTATTATTGCCATCGAGATGCTCCCGGTGTCTTTCCGGCTCACGGAGGAGCCATTGGGCAGGGCCGAATTCCTAAGGCAGGTTGCTACGATTCTAGATGCGCACGGGTGGGACAAGTTCGTGTTGGCATCCCATTCGTATGGAACCGTCTTGGCAACCCACATGCTGCGCTCGGAAAGCCTAACCGACCGCATCTCTTCGGTAGTACTCATCGACCCCGTGACTATCTTGCTGCATCTACCAGATGTAGCATACAACTTTACTAGACGCAGGCCTAAAGGGGCTAACGAGTGGCAGCTATGGTACTTTGCGAGTATGGACCCAGGGGTGGCGCACTGCCTTGGGCGGCATTTCTTTTGGAAAGATAATATTGTTTGGAAGGAAGAGCTATTGGGAGTGGCAAGGCGATCACCTGCAGAAGTAGGTGGTGTGGGTGATCAGGGGGGCCAGGCTACTGCAAGACCGCGGCGAAAGGTAGCGGTGTGTCTTGCAGAACGAGATTTGATTGTCGACACTTCAGTGGTGGCCCAATATTTGTGCGCTGATGGTGATGGATGGGTCACCCCCAACCCTGCAGATAAAGGAGATGCCAGGCTTGAGGAGCGGTCTATAGAACGAGAAATATTGGGGGATAGTCTTCTCACACGCGACGGGATCGAGCTGCTCTGGTTTCCGGGATTAGACCATGCTCAAGTGTTTGACTCGAAGCAGACTCAGGATCGACTTTGCAGGGTAATACGCCGTCATTGTATAAAATAGATGTCCACCCTGGAAATTGCCGCTAATTATTTAGTTAATAAGTAATAAAGTTAAAGATTCAAGCACTACCAGGCTCCTGGTATTTCGGGCCTACACGTACAGACTTCTTGAGCTGATTGTATGTGAATGCTATTAATGGTAGCTTCAATCGATTGAATCAGCCTTTGCCTCGTCGCCTCCCCAACCCGTCAAGTAGACCACCACGGGTTCCGGGCCACTCCGGATAAGGATCCACACAACATTCTCATCAGTGTCGTTGATTTCTTGGTGTTCAGTCCAAGGTGGAACGAAAGCAAAATCGCCCGGCGAGAGCTCATGTCTCTTGGGTTCTTCGTCGGCACCAGAGCTAGTCACCAGTCTATCATTTGTCAGTTTTTCCTGTAGACCCTAGGAATTTCAATTTTATTGGAGACAGAAAGCGGAACAGTGGCATAAGAGCAACTAAGGCGTGATTACATACTGCAAACAAGTTAGCCTAGATGATTTACGTGGAGTAATAAGTAATTATAGACAATAGAGAAAAAATGGTTTATATCCTTAAGTTGAAAATTCATTTAATACATACCATTCCCTTGCCTGAGGCGGCGTAGATGATAGTCTCTATGTGAATATTAGACAGGGTACTTTGACGCGTTTGCGATCGAGCCAAGACTAACCTTGCTCGCCATGGTGATGTACTGCCGAGGAACACCGGGGCTTGGCTATTAGGACTGTGGACGATGTTACTATAAATCTGACATAGGGTTGGAACGACTACATAATTGGGAATTGACTATTGTCTATAATGGTATCCTACCGGACGCACAGTATAGGTACAAGAGGGAAGTAGTTGGACAGGTAGATAGGTAGCTTACCGGTAGCACACATTCTATCACTCTTGCCGATCACGGCTCCCTGGCGAATCATGGGCGCATCCTTCCCGCCTCTTTGAGCCTCAAGATCAGAAGCTTTCGTGATTTGTACCTCGGAAGGTAGTATCATTGGAAGTAGGTCGGGAAGGAGAGAAAAAAATCCAGACATGATTCCTATAATAGTTGGGACGACGCACATGTGGAGTAGTAGTAGGTAGTATTGAAGATGATTACACTGGGTGAAAGCGGACTTAAAGGGACAATAGGATTGATGATGGAAGAATAGCTGAGGGGTAAGGCTTCAATAAAATTCAATAGCTTATTAAATCGGTATTGCAAGCAAGTAGATATACGATATAAGGTTAGCAAGGTTAATAATAATGGTTGATGAAGCTTAAGTATAGCTTTTATCTCGTTGACGTTATGTGATGTCGAGGTGATTATAGTAGCTTTAGTCTAAGTCAACATTGATGAAACTACCTGACGTCTGCCCGCTATATTCAGGTTAGGTACGAAAATACGTATGCAATGTGGTCCGTGCCAATTTGCCCTAAAACAGTGGACCACGTAGTCTCTACCTATTAGGCGTTGATGACAGATACAATGAGCGATTGGTTATAAAATACCTAAGACTATTAGACTAACTTCAAACCAGGTACTCATAATTTTAAACACTTATATTAAAATATAGCATCTATCTTAAGAAGATACCATGCCTAGGCAACCTGCTTCATGATTATGATTATTGGTCAAGGCTCTTTATATCACCCTCTAAAACTCAAAATCGTACAAGATATGGCGTGATGCCTTATTCGCACATATGATGAGTAATGGGGAACATTCATCTCATCTTCTAGTGAGTAGCTGTTAAAGGAGAAATGTATTCTTAGCAAAGGCCAGGATTATGCCCTTAACACATCTTCCCTTGCTACCACAACGTCCTCGCGTTCATAATAGCACTAATAGAAGATCCCTTCTCTTCACCATAGATATTACTATAAAAAGCTCTTTCGTATTTTCTTGAGAAACTTAGGACGCAAGGGCTCATTTTGAGCAGCCTTACGTAGAATAAATAGAATTTAGTCGCGTAGTAAAGGAAAGCATACAACCAGATCTCGCTTCGCCTGAATAAATACGACGACCCTATACTAGACTTAACATCATCTGTTTAGCCTCGGGTCTTTGGCCTAGTTATGATTCGCCGGGTGAGAGTCCCTCGGGTCTCGGCAGCCACAATCACAAGGGTAAGATCGATGCCAAAAATAGGGGGCCCGGTCGCTTAGAGGCGACAAGGAGTTCCGTGGCCTCGGGCTTCATGGGCCTAGTAAAATTCAGGGGGGAGTCTGAAGAGAAGTCTACACTACAATGCTAGGCAGCCAGCTTGATGCTGCAATTAAATAGTACTTTGTGCTTGGCATGATTAGGATGACAGGTCCGCGGAGCAGTGGAGGACAGCGGAGAGGCGGGACGATCTCTGTATGCTGTATTCGCACGGACTGGGTACATACGGTTTCAGTACAGTCCCTAGCCATACTAGTAATCAAGTAGACTCGAAGAGGAAGCTCAAAAGTCGGACGGCCACGACAGAAATAGTAGCGGCTCTCCAAATCTAGTACTCCAATACTAGACGACTGCCGATGGCATCACGGGAACGGATTTCCGTAGGCGAAGGAAAATTCCGATTTTCGCTGGTGTCGCTGATAACAGATTGAGTCGCATTTGCATCCATACCTGACAATATGGGCAGGGGACCTAGGGCTCCGACGTTTGCGCAGATGACCAAGAGTCTTGTCGCCAAATGCCAAGAGCGGCTTTCAGTATGCCAAGCAAACCTGGCAAGTAAACTTTGTAAACCTGACCTGCATGCGGGCAAAATCGTGCTTCCCAAATTTCGCCCAAAGGGTTTCTAGCATCGGCGATGACATCCTAACATTGGCAACACCACAACACACATGCCAAGAAACCGCCCCGATTACAGGTGGTCTATGCGGTATAAACATCTATAAAAAGCCTAGCAATAATCCATAATAGATCTTGGGGTTAGACATAGTAAATCTGTAGCCAAGAGTGCTCTGGTCTGGACCTGCATGGTAATATCGAGAAATATAGACGGGTAAATACCTGCGTGAAAAAGAATCCTTACCCATAGCATCAGTCGATAACTAGAAGGGAAGGCGGTTTACCATCGGAAGTACATCTTATAACCTTACAAGGTATGGCAGCTCGTGTGATTGGCCTATCACACCGGTAGAGCATATGAAGGGCGACTCTTTCGGCTCTTCTTCTTTTGCAGAGCAGCACGCAGATCTCGAGTTGGGGGAATAACGATAACCAACAGGTACTACTAACAAAAAAGGGCAGTATCGCAGTTGTAGTTTTTGAGTTCTGTTTATTGATGACTCCGATATGTATCGTAGCATCGTCAGGTGTAGCGTACCAAATTGGATCTGTGATCCGATAATGGCTGGTTTCCCTTTCATGGCCCCTGGCTCTTTTTTTTTCCCACGAGAGGAATGGGCAGCCGTTCCAATGGGATCAAGGGGCATAGTTAGATCGGGGATCCTGCAAGGTTAGATTCACGTAACGCGAGATGTATTGGTGGGTAAGTTTTCGGTAGACAATGCATGGGTGATAAAATTCATGTCCCAATGGCTTAAGGGACTAGCCACATCTTGAAGTTACAACCGAGCGGAAAGGATGGTATGGCGTGTGATAGGGATCTTCAACTGTGTCAAGATACGCCATAGAGTTATTTTGTCACGGATATCCGGACTAAGAAACTCTCGGGCGGCAATGTGCTTAACATGTAAGGTATGCCGCGATGCGGAATATGGCTCGTTCGGGACTAGTTGATCTGGTAATGGTGTTGTTGGCATTGATTTCGAAGACAGTGAAGGATATCAGAAGAAGAAGACTTTTATGGATAAGTACCTACCTAAGGAGCAAGATCGAAAGATGCACTAAGGTTAAGGTACTTAATATACCTTCCTCGTATAAAGGAAAAAATGTATTAGAATAGCAGGTACGAACTTGAGGTTTTAGTCAGTAATAAATGCTAAACCGCGATGGGGCCAAAAATATAGCATTAAGATGTGCGGCTATAGCGCCCATATACCCTGTAATGACAACGATTATAGGCCTAGAATTACTAATTAGGGGAAAGGTTGTGGGACTAGGTGGAACCTTCCCGGTCCCAATCCGGTGGGTCAGTGCGATTACAGGTAACAAAGTTGGCAAGCAAGACAAGGTCATAATCGAATCGAAACAACATGTCGACTAATCATTAAGGTTACCTTACCTATCATCCCCCAATAGACCGATCCCGTTCCGATTCCTTCAATCAATTCTGAACAACTCCTACATATAGAAACTTGGATATATAGACAGCGCAGAACCGGTTTTAATAAGCCATTGGAATTCCTCTTCCAACCTTTTCCACCCTCCACACAACATCTTGTTGTCTTGCTAGCCAAGCCTATCAATTAATTCGATGATTTTATCAATTCAGAACAGGTACTTTACTATTAACCACCATCGTGGAACCACGTCCACCTCACATGTGAACAGACGAGCTGTTACATCTACGTCGGGCTTAAATCTGCAAATAATTGATCTACCGTCATTATGATAACGAGATACCTCCCTCCTTATTCTTAATCTTCAGACAGTGTCCTATGCTCGTCACCTTTGCGCGACTAGGAGCTAGCATTGCCGATATTAATGGGGAAAAAGATCGTAGGAAAATTGTTGTGCTTGAAATCATTCATGATCCGGATCTCGTTAAATATTCTCTCTCCACGACCGACTCTGGGCTTTCAACCCCTCAGCTCTCCACCACGTGGCGATCATCCTTGTCAATTGGATCCTTCGAACCCCCGACTTGTCACCTGTAAGCTTGGGTTCCGTAGCGGGAGTCGTCAAAATGTCCGACGAAGGACGCGAGCGTATCTGGCACCCGAGGCCTACGACCACGGCCACTTCGTCGGATGAAGCTAGCTCCAGCAATGCGACGACAACGGATAACGAGCCGTCAGGGTCAACCTCGACTTATACGGTGAATATACACAATCCTGCTGTCGCGTACGGAGGATTAAACCCCGAAATCGAAGAGCATGTCCTTGTTGTCGAGTCCGTTCCCGATCATGATTTGCGGTACGGTACCACGGATCGCCGCAAGATACTTGGTCCCGATTTAGACGAGGACCTTGATGTTCCTATACAGCGACGTAGTACAAGCGTAGCAAGCCGAGGTTCGTGAATCCACGCCTCCGTTCCATAAAAAACGTTCACGCTCTTTTCGTTAGCATGGGACCTCGGATTCAAAGACCCCTTAGCTGACAATTACCGACAGACCTAAGCCTCGTCCTTTCGTCTTCGAGCGGCGATTCCGATATAAGCCCTATCCTCAATCTCCCTACCGAATTAATTGATGCGATATTTTCCTGGCTTGCTCCTCTAGAGCTAGCCACCGTCTCCCTCGTCTGCCATGCGCTGCGAAACCATGCAAACTCCGATACCCAGTGGAGGCGACACGTACTATCGAACCTTCCGGGAAATCGTATTACTTCCCCGTATCCATGTCAAAGCTGGCGCGAGCTCTACATATCACACGACCCGTATTGGTTCTTGACGAAGCATAAGCTATGGTTCTGTGATCATGAGTTGACCGGCCAAATAATCATCATCCGTTATGACGAGCGGCGAGGCTGTATAGAAGGCTATCAGATGCTGGCTACGCGTAATAGAGATGGTAGCGAGCCATGGGGTGCCGACCAGGCAGTCCACATTCACTATTTCGAACCTACTGTAAAGTTACACCTCGACAAGCCCGTATTGCAGCTGGATGTAGATAGCTTGGAGAACAAAGTTCGTGGAAAGGCTCCAGCTTTACCTTTCCGACATTTCTTCTCGGAGCATCCAATGCGTATTAATAGTGGGACGGATCCTCGATTGAGCAACTTCCTTCTGGCAAAACCTCTTACTAAGTCCGCCCTAGTTGGCCGCATGATAGATGACTTTCCTTACGGGTATGTCTGGCCCCCGCCCGCAATTCCAACACGCCATCGTGTGACAGGCCAACCGACCGGTGTGCATCCGCTTGCGACATCCCTAAGTTATACGAGGTCGACGTCAGCAATGTGGCAGCCGCGCAATCGTTCAGAAGCGTCCGATCAAACGTTCCGCATTAGGCGATGGATGGAGATGGGGCCACCAACTCTCGGTGTGCATGCTGCCGAGGAGTTGGTAACTTACTCAACTCTTGACCCCGCCCTATATACTCCAACGGCTGAGAAACCGTGGAGAGGAATATGGGTTGGCGACTTTAGCGGGCACGGTTGCGAGTTTCTATTAATCAACCAGCCTGATGACGATAATGAGCAGGAACCTTTGGAGAGGCTTCAGGATGAGACAGAGTCGGAGTTTGAACAACGTTTTCTTCACGAGCGTGTTTATCGCGGCCGGCTAGAAGCGGTCAAGCTAACAGGAGACGTTAATGTACCGAGAGGCGAGTATACTTTTGTTGCTAATGATCTAAGCGACACTGGATTATTAGGCACGGCTAAAGAGCCGCCGTTCGAGGGCGCCCGTGTCGTGAAAAGTCGAGGCCACATTGCTCATATGGGATTTTCCAATGGTGAGATACTTAATACTTGTACTCTTTCCATCATTTCCACTAAACTATCTATAGATCGATATATCGAGTCACAGCTACTCTTACTCTCATATAATCGCCTGGCGCAGTATTGGGTCGGCTTCGGCCACATTAGCTTCTTCGAAAGAGTTGACATTGATCAATTTCTCGTGCCCAAATAGTATTACTATTACCATAAACGTATATATTATTTTATCAAGTACATAGCATTCTTAGGATCTAAGCCTCTATTTTCCCCCGGTTAACGTTACGATCTCAAACAAGAATATTATTGTGATCAAATCTACGGAATCCTAGGTGCTGTAATTACCTATTTATTCCCAAGTTTAAAGACGTTGTTGTACGTTACAATACAAAAGGCTATATTAATATACGCTATACAGTGTATTTAGTAGCACTTGACGAGCTGTACATACAGCATACTCATACTTCCTAAATGATGTCTTCAGTATGATAAGATGAATAGTACATTGATAAATATAAGTGGTACATGTAGGTATGGATTTATATCTAAATCCGATGTTCTAGGTTACTTTTTTGATAGACTCATGTATCGTAGCTCCATTAAATAAGCTACGGTCCGTGCTTTGGACCCCGGTTTGCCTTAGCGACGTCATCCACCATCATGCAAATTCCAGATCCAACAACAAATGTCAACCATTACATTACGAATTTAACGACACTCTAGTCTTCTAACTTCCATTGTTAACTTTCTAGCCCCTTTGTGTTTAGTTTTATTCTAGACTTGTCCAGTTGCCTTATCTTTTATTCCGTTGATCACCAAGCAACTACCAACCTAATACTTCTCCTTAGCCCTAGTTTAATCCTCTTCGATAATCGCCATACGCCGTGAAAAAGTCGGGGCCGTACTGTTGCTAGTCTAAACTTAGGATTGGGTGTTTTCTCTCTATAAACTAGAATTATCTTATATTTATACACCTACTGAACCCCATTACGTGAATACTAGCCGCGGGGCAAATATACGAGACTGAGCTGTGGTGGTCTCTAGACTAGAACACGGCCGTTTCGCAGTATGGCAGATAAGTATGTTATTCAAGTAACTGCTGGGTCAGGTTACGACTTGGATCAACACGTCATAGTACCAGTCAACACACACGAGCCGATTAAAATTACTAGCGAGCTAATCGACATCGACCTCAACGTTCGGGTACAAAACTATCGAGGCCTGCCAAGGAATTCGCCTACTACGTCCCCTTATTTCTCTCATGAACCACATGCTTCCAGCAAGGATCAGTACAGCATAGCGATTCGCTTTACACCCAAGAGGCCAAAAAGTGTTTCCAGCTCAAAAACTACTTCTACCAACTCGTCCAGGTCATCGACTCCGGAAACTAGCGGGGAAGATACTGGCGAAGAATCGACAAATGGCATATCCGGGGAAGATCTCCAGTTTGGTAATGACTTTGAACATCCAATCCGTGACCGTCTCCCACCCGGCTTTAGCTATGCTATGAACATCGTAAAATGGTGGATCGATCCCGGCCTTGAAGGCGATGCGTATGCAGATCAGCCATATCTCTACGGACCAGCCCTCTCATCATTTAACTCCGTTCACATTGGCACAGGAGAAGTTGATCCCGAAAAGGGCGGGTTATGGTTCGAGGAAGGTGGCGATGAAAATGGGTTGAAAGAGCGAGAGGCCATCGGCGCTCCAGCAATAGCAAAAGACCGCATGAAGTGGGCTTTGAAGCCAGCTAACAAGAGCAAATGGCTATTCCAGTATGATAAAACGTACTGCCTCGACTTTTTCAATCCGTATCTGGACTTTAGCGAGTTCAGCCTGCGCTTACCGGGTTTCACTCTACCAATTATGAAGTATTGGGATGGCCAGAGCTTACGGTAAGGAAATCCCCCAACGAACTAACATATTCTCTTTCCTACTGTGCTTTGTTAGGATCGTCCTTTCTCATTGCCTCGTTTACTATATATAGGTCCAAGCCGAAACGCTCACACACCCTTAGATACACGCTACGAAACCGGTCTACTAACGACACATACCTGGTTGTTGTATTTACACTCTATCGGAAGGAAGACGTCAACGAGGATGGGTCGATAAAGCCAGCTGCGTTAGAAGCCGCTAAGCAGGACAAGGAGGTCGGGAAAGTGGAAGCGGAAACTAGGGATGTGAGCAAGGATGAAGACTACCAAGAGGCGCGCAAGAAATTCGAGAAGTTGGGTGTCAGTGACGAGGGTAGTGGTTCACAGACTGGGGATGACGGAGTAGATTAAACGGGACGCTTGTTTTCCCATTAGACACGAATTATCAAGAGACTCCTTTTCTACGCGTAAATACTTTAGACTTTACTGAACACTCAGTTCTAACAGAATATAAAATATAATCCAACAAGCTCATCTCCACCTACTTACCCTAACCCCATCGTCAAACCCACTTGCTCCCGAGTTGCGCTAGTCCCAACCATTTCCCCCCCTTTTAGTCGCGAAATAATCCTTAACTATGATTGGCTGGTCGTGTTTACATGATATATACCGCAATGGGGGCCTGAGCAAACATGCAATCTTGAAGCAATCTTAGTGTAATGGCTATCATTCAGGCCTTCCATTATTCGGTAGTTAGCTTGAGACCCGGGTTCGATTCCCGGAGGTTGCAACAATCACTTCTTCGATGCTTCTGACTGAGGGTCAGAATGCGCTTTTTAGTCTATCCTCTTTTTTCTTTTTTTGTGTGTGTGTGTGTGTGTGTGTGTGTCGGTTTACTACATGGGGGGAGTGTTATCTTAGACTTGACTTTTACATGTAGGGCGACTATCACTTGGGAAAAATACCTATATATCTGTAACAGTAGAATCTCCGAGGTTAGTATACTGTTATCCAGCCATAAGATCGCCTACGGTGAAATGGGGCACATATTGTGGAAACATATAACGAATGATACTTTATAACTACCTTTACTCTAGGAAGAATCAAACAAAACACAAGTTGGCCGAAGGATACATATCCTGGGTCCCCAAATAGTCTAAAACTCTATCTAATTTTTACATCGGTAAACAATATTTTCTCCTGTATCTTCAAGGAATTATTGAAAAGGTATTGTGGTTTAGGCGGGGCTCCTTATCATTCTTTAGGAACAGTAGGTAATCATGAGATGATTTGTCTTGTAATTATACTTGTTAACTAGGTGATGTTTGTAATCCTAATGAACAATAATATACTAATTTTAGGCTCATAATGAACTCGTTTACATCAACTGGGTAGGCTGTGACTATCTACCTGAATATGTGTATATACTTTCCCACTCAGTCGCCCAATGCTTTAAGATTGCATATATGTAAGCTCCCATAGCTGTTGCTTTAGCTTCCATAGCTGTTGCTTTAGCTTCCAATCGCTCACGTAACAACAAAGTTGTTTCCTTGCTTCTTGCTCCACCTTGCGAAACGACGTGCATCTATAGCGTATGGAACTATTTGAACCGCCGCGCCGCCCGACGGAACATAGGACTCAAGGTCCTGATTCACTCGCCCCGCCTCTCGTTGCAGTGGAGCAGCTCTCACAACTGCGTGTTGGATACAGTACCTAGGTAATAGGTAGCCGTATGAAGTTGCTTTATAATAGGAATGACTGTAATCCCAAATTCCTGCCGACATTTTTCCTGTTGACATATTGTCGGGTTGGTTCTTGCGGTATGATTTCCCGGTCAAGGCGGGGAAGATGACGCGGAAGGTGTTTAATTGATATAGTTTATGTTAGATTGTTTAGGGTTGTAATTTGGTTGATTACTAAATGAGAAGGTTAGAGACCTAAAGACTTATTTTAAAGGATGAGGTACGAACCCGAAGATGCAATAATTGATGAGCAGAATGTCCCCGGCCAACATCGCCGGTTTCGGAGGAAATCTGTGATAGCTATTAGCCTGCCTCTTCATAGATGATTAGATAAAATGGTGAGCAAATTAACTTACTATTTGTCTCCGATGGACATCATCAGTGATCAATGATAGGTTAACGTAGGTAAATACTTTATTAGCCTTAGTAGGAGGATATTCCGCCGTGTATCCGTATAAATCGTGAGTAGGCGTTCCTGGAAGTAGCGATTGCAGTGTCTCCCTGTTCAAGGTATGAATGAAAAAAGACAGACACCAACGTCATTGTGGATCGTTTCCAAGTCACCTCTGAAGGGTTTAACGGTTATTTTGCCGAGGGTCGCGCTCGGGTTACGCCATTCTTTCTCCGTCTCTACCGCCATAGGAAAGAATGACTCGTGAGTGTCGCCGTTATTGAGGCCTTTGACAATCTGTTTGGCAAGCCTTCGACGTACCTCTTCATAATCTGTGGCGTTAGGTTGCAGTAAGTTTGTTTTGCCGCAGATTAGGGTTTGTGTGTGTTCTTAGAATAGAAATTGAAGAGTATTTATTGTTTCAGTCAAAGTTGAAAGCCAGCATGCAGGGCATTTTTTAGTTAAATGCCAGCGTAAGTGGAAGACATGCTGGATGGCTATGAAGGAAGATTTTGATGGTTTAGGATAGGTATGTGAGGTAAATATTAGGGTTAAGAGTGAAGTTTTCATGGGTTGGGAGGTAGGTGGGTTAGGATTAGGTCGTCAGGATGGTTAGAATTGTTAGAATTGTTAGGATTGTTAGGATTGTTAGGGTTGTTAGGGTTGTTAGGGTTGTTAGAGTTGTTAGAGTTGGGAGGAAAGGATAGGATTGTTAGGATTGTTAGGGTTGGGAGGAAAGGTTTTAAAGTTGGGGGAAAGTGGTGGCTTGTGTGATTAAATATTAATTGCAGAAGTGGGAAAAGTATTTTAGGGAAGGAGCAAAGTGAAAAGATCCTTAGGTATCTGTTTAAATCGCCATGGCGATCAGGTTGTGGAAGGTATGACTCAGAAGGGTGCCAGCGGCGATGTTGAGATGGTAGGATTGTTGACACTTAGGGGAAGGCATGGGTGGGGAAACATTCTGTCCAGCCATTTAGAATTCAAGTTTATGCTGTGTTAGTAGAGAGGTTTCTATTCTTATGTCCTTCCCTTTACCATGTTATACCTTGATGTCTCTTTCCTATCTAGAATCACATCTTTTCACCCCTTAGTCGCCTATTACTGTGGCCTCGAGGCTCTTTCTATTTGACTCTTGTAGTCAGAGACGACACATGGAGACGGCACATAAAAGGCAAGATAAGGGGTTTTAAGACTTTATATCTCAAATAAAGAATCGATATGGTTATCTGCGTGGTGATCTTATACTGTTGTTTACCCCTGAAACGAATAGACTGGTAGAGATATGACAGCGTAATAAACCCTTACATCGGCTTTAATAACTTCGGTAGCTTTAACACATAGGTACCTTAGGTATCGTATTATTCTATACTTGGTCCGGCTATTGGTGAAATAGGCCCTAAATAATTCGTGGATCTCCTTGTACACGGCTTATCCCACTCGGCAACAATTATCGTATATCATTGTCAGGATATTAGTAGGTACCTAGGTTAGGGTAGTTACAGGGGTAGATATACCAGATAAGGTACACGCAGCGCCCTCGTAAGAGGATAGAAGGCAGGCGTTAATGGTTCAATATTACCTATCGTGGCATTCACTTTGTGTATGACCTCACTCAGGGGTATAATATCTAACAAGTACCATCTTTCAATCACATTACGTTACAATGAGTGCAGTGTATATTATTATTAGAATCAGCCCCTAGCCCCTTAAATAGATGTGAGATTTTGAGTTAATATAAGATTATCTGTCAGCAGTTCGAACAAAGTCTCCAGATACTAATTCACAATAATGTTAGACGGCATTTACCATGTAGGTATACTATGTTGTAAGCACAACCATCCAGTTGTTTTAACGCTCAAAAGAGCAAATAGAAGAGAATTCATATACTACAGGGTAAATTACGGTCAGCGTACATATTACTCATTTATTCATATGTAATGGCGAAGTCTTAGTAAAAGTAATTATATATCTTATAGCCATACTGCCCTTCCTAATTATTACTTACCTATGCTAACGTATAGCCTATTATCCGAGATATTATGATAATGATCCTTGACCTAACGTTGAAGTGCACGAATTCTTGGGGTTCTATAAGCTCTGTAAATTGACTACTTAAATACAATTAAGTATCAGCATGATAGTGTAAATTTCAAATAAGATAAGATAATGGTTTTTAATTAAAACTATTATCCAAATTATTATGAGACTATTTACCTAAGTAAGGCATTAACCTATATAGGTACCTAGATACTAAAGTTCTTTAGGTTAGTCACTTGTCATAAGCTGACTCAATGATAAAGAGAGTGTAGACAAGCATCTTGTCCCGAGCATTCTGAAGTGATTCTTCTTGGACTATCCACATACTAAGAAGGTAGGCTCTAACATGGATAGAATTCGGAGGAAATATTTCAGGGTTAAAGGGCGAATGTCCTTAGATTCTCCTTCTCCATATTTCTTACTTAATAGGTCGAAATTGCTTTGGCCCTCAACCTTACCCCATACTTCCATAAAAATATCGGGAGAGGGACTGAAAGCACTAAGCCCCCTAAGGCCAGAGCACTATTGCCCCATCCGTATCCAAGCACTGCGTACATGCTTGGGGCGAATAACGGGAATAGGAAAGCCATTAAGCTCTTAAGAAATTGCTGTGCCGCCATGGCGCTACTTGTGTGTTCACCATACGTGTCGATAACATAGGCCGTTACTAAGAAATCTCAAGTTAGTGATTCCTGCCATAAATAAAAGTTATCAACAAATTATTTGAATACCACTTACTAGGTAAGCCGCCTAGTTGCATTCCGAACAACATGATAAATACTCCGATATCAACTAAGATCCAATGCAGCCGATACGCAGCCGTCCACCCATACATTAAGGCACCAACCCATGTGATGATTATTGAGGGGAACATTAGCGGTATGCGAGACTCTGGATTCTGTTTATGTGCCGGTAGCCGCTTGTATAAGTGGTCCATCAAAGGAGCACCGACCTGCGAAGCAGCCAACTCGCCAAGGGAGCAAGCGATGTAGTGTAGTCCGCTAATTTCGACTGACTGGCCATATTGAGACGTAAACAGAGCAGAAAATGTAGAGAGAACGACATACAAGATTCCGTAGTTGAATCCTGATAGAATGGCTGAAACTTGGATAATGGGATGGAATAACAAGAGACGAACCGGTCGTGATAGAGCTCTCACTAGAATGGTAACGGCCGACCTATTACCATCAATTATTTCGCCTCGAGTATGATATCGACTCTCTCCAGTTTCTTCGCGAAGGCGCTGGGCACGCCGTCGGAGTATTAGTGGTCCGTACGACTCGTGGAAACTAAAATAAGACACCAATATCATGACAGCTTGGAATGCAGAGGTAGCCCAGAACATCCACCGCCAAGTCGTTCGCGCAGCCATAAAACCACCAATTATAGGACCTGGGATGCTAATTAGATACGTTGGCCGGTCTAATGCAGCCACCCAATTATAGAGGAGATCTATCTCCTTTAAGCACCATCGAATCTTATGCGGATGACTTACCAACTGCTGCACCAAGCAAGGGGATAATCAAGTAGACTCCTAGCGAACTGCCTCGCTGTTCCGGCCTCCACACATCACCAAGAACACCACCGGCAAGGGAATATATAGCGCTGGCACCAAAGCCTGCAAGAAAACGAGCTGCAATAAGTGTGCCCTTTGTCGGAGCAAAGCCACAAACAATATTCCAAACGAGGAACCAGACGTTGGAACTGTGTAGAATAACTGTTCTACCGTATATTTCCGACAACGGACCAATAAGGGGCGGTCCAAAGACGGTGGCTAAGAGATATATAGAAAGAGACATGGCCGATTTGGCCGAGCTCATGTTGAGTTCATTGGCGATGGTTGATAATGCCGGGGCCATAATTGTCGAAACCATAATACGGTTAAAGCCTGTAGCGGACAAGACGTCGGTCACCATCCATTTACGGCCTGTTGGCCAGTCTAATGGGTTATCAGCATCGTAGGGTTGGTCAAAGGCGACGAGGAATGGATCAGAGTCTTTCTTGACGGTCGTAGCAGTCGGTATTGGGATCTTGGCTAGTTCTACTGCAACGGGATCGGGCGCCGCTTCAATATCATCTTGGTTCTTTGGCGTCGTCATAACTAGGAATATTACAGTAGCTTGGTAAGAAACTTAGAATAAGAGCAACTACTAAGGAGTAAATGCCATGGAACAATTGAAAAAGCGGTTTGGAGTAGACAGGAGGTGTATTTAATAAGAATTAGTTCGGCTAGCCGAAGCCGAAGCCGACAGCGAAGGCAGGCAGACGGACAGGCCTGAACACAGCGGTTACTTATGAGTCATCTAATAATGGGTTATTAAGCTATTTAGAGGTATTATGAATATAAATCCTTGAAGAGATAAACCAAAGACAGTAAGATAAGACCTGGGGTACGGGCTTTTTGCAAGCATCGTCGATTATATACAGTACCTATGTACCTGTAATCCTTTAATTGGCCCGGGATTATGCCAAGCCAAATTATCAATCAGATAAGATTGTTTGGGTTCTATGTACAGACAGGGATTATATATGTCAGCAAGTCAGGTGACTGCTGAAAGCCGCTTTCCCGTTTGAAACCTTCATTTCTGAAGGGGTTAAGACTTTACTTCCTTTACTTCCTTTACTTCACACCCTACAGTTCGTGATAGTAAATCTGCTTCCACAAGTGTTGCTACAGTATCCAAAGACTTGCGAGAACCCAAAAGGTCCAGAAATGGCACGTCCACCTTAAATGAGTTCCAAAGCCACGATCTAAACTCCGACGCGATCATGCTATCCAACCCAAATTGTGCAAACGACTTGTCGGGGTTGATTTGGTCTCTTGGTGTGAGTAGTAAATCCGAGAACCTCTTAATTAAGACTCGTAATATTAATCCCTTCAAAGACGACGCCCCAGTAAGTTCTGGTTTGAGAATATCAGTAATTTCCCGAGGTAGACCCCTCATCCATGGAGTCCTCATGATCTGCTGGTCGCCTTCCGAATTTCGAATTTCGTTTGAGCCCGTAGAATTGTGAGCAACTTCTATTGAAGCCGCTAGTATGGACATTCGAGGATCCTCCAGGGTCGAATTAGACACTTCAAATCCTTGATTCATTATTTTTCGAAGATTCCCAGTCTCCAAGCCAGTGAGTATATGAGCTGGTGCAATATCTGCTTGTTGCTGTCCTAGCCCACGGTGACTACTGACTCCTCCGATCGCGATATCGGTAAGCAGAAGAACGTCATTCTCGCTTAGAGGCTGGGTTCCTCTACGCAGTAGCAATTCTTCAATCTTGGGGTTCTCGTGAAGATAGCCAACGTCAGACACCATTCCTAATGCAAGTGATACGGCTGGTTTGCCTTGGCTCCTCCGCCAGTGTGCAAAACTATCAAGGAAAGAATTCGCTGCCGAATAATTGCTTTCCGTTGGTAATCCGGTAGTCCCATTCATGGAAGAGGTCATGAGGAAAAAGTCGAGAGCTTCGTCGTGTCCTTCAAGTGCGGTATGAAGATTCCACGTACCCGCCCATTTAGGCTTTACGCTCTCATGCCAAACCTCACTCGTCATCGCGCTGAAAATATCTTCATGAAGACCCATTGCAGCTTGCAATACACCACCGATAGGCCCTCCAAGGTCTTTGCAGGCTGCTATGCTTGCCACCACGTCGTCAAACTTTGTGACATCGCCCTTAATCACCGTGGTGCATGCCCCTTCTTGTCTTAACCAAGCTATAAACTCCCGGGCACTCGACTTGTCACAGCCTGATCTCTGGAGGAAAACGAATTTCTGCGCACCTCGTGACATCATCCAGCGCGCTAAACTTCTCCCTAAACCCCCAAGAGCGCCGACAAGAAGATACACCTTCGTGGAATCAAGTATTGTGATGTACTTTGGGGGTGCAACCTGGGACGCATGTGGTCAGCATTATTACCACTAATAACAGGCCGGCAAGAGGCCGAACTCACAGTTAAAAGGCTGTTTGGATTATCAAGAGAAATGACGACCTTCCCTATCCTGTCCCTGGATGAGAAATAGCGGTATGCCTGGGCAATGTTCGAAACATCAAAAGTTGTGATGGGTACGGGTTGGATCTGCTTGGAGCGATACAGCTCAAGGACATCCTTGACCAAACTGCAAATACAGCCATGGAAATTAGCAGGGTGTCACCGATAAAGAGAGGCATGCTAACTTACCCAGCCAGTATATCTCGATAGTGTTCTCCCTCGAGGAAAAACATCTCACTAAGATCGAAAGCGGTAAAGGTCGTGCTCCGGGAAAATATGTCCATTTCCAACCTACCGTCGTCAATTAGTTCACGTTTGCCAACTTCTACAAATCGGCCAAAATGAGCCAGACATCGCCAGCTAGCATGCATCAAATCTCCAACCAGAGAGTTGATAACAACATCGACTCCTCTGCCTCCAGTCGCAGCGTTCAATTCAGTCTCGAACGACTCGTTCCGGGAACTAAAAATATGCTCAGCAGACAGGCCGAGATGGTTGACTAAAAACTCTCGTTTCTTTTCCGAACCAACAGTGGCATATACAACCGCACCAGCTCGCTGTGCTAGACTTATTGCGGCGATACCAAAAGCGCCGGCACCTGAATGAATAAGGACTGATTCTCCGGATCGTACCCGTGCACAGTCGCGAATAGCGTATAGGGCGGCGCAGTATACAGTTGGTAGTGTTGTCATCACCGTTGTATCCTCGCACGCCAACAGTTTATGACAGGTCCAAGAGGGGACTCGTTCAATCGTCGAGAAGTTATTAGGCTTGAGCACAATCACTCGATCTCCTACTTTGAAGTTGCATTCGTCCGGCCCTACTTCTGTCACTAGCCCGCCAAACTCGGTAGCTGACGTACCGGTCTTAGTTTCGACACGTCCATTCATTGTATACACATCCTTTGCGTTTAGACTGACTGCTTTGACTTCGACATCGATGAAGCCTTTGGGTGGGGTGGTGTGCGGATCACAACTCTGTCGAAAATATAAGGAATCCATGATGCCAACTTTGCCTATACACAGCTGAGCTGGGGTTGCTTGGGAAAGTGTCAATTGTTTCATGGATGTGGGTGCTTTCTGAGTCCGGCTTTGAAACACCGAATTAATAGTGGTATTAGGCTCTATGCGGCTGACGCAAAGGAGGCCATTCGAAAGAACGAATTCTCTATCGTCGATCTTCTCGTACCGTTCTAACGCGCGGACAACACTTTGACAAGAACTCCGCGAGTCAGACAATAGGGCCTCAACAGAGCCAACGTCGATGACTGCAAACCGCAATGATGGCTGCTCGACCATGATGGAACGAGATAGCCCTTGTACTAATGTAAGATCGGGGTTAGGGATACCCATCAGGTTTGATCCAACCAACCAGACGATATCTTTCACTGAGTTGATCAAGCTGTGGAGAAGCTCCAGATCCCACTGACTCAATTCGGCCAACAATGGTCGTTCCACTTCTATTAGTGAAACACAAACTGTGTTCCCGGAGATCTCTATCGTTGGAAGCTGAGCTAGAGAGACGGTGCGAATCTCACGAGTCCCGTGTGTCTGCTCCAACTGTTCCGTCAGATCGGAAATGAAGCCTTGTAGCGACGGAGATGCCTCACGAGTCTATTGATACCCGTGTTAGTTGAATAGAAGGTAAGTTCACTTCTGATATATATACGTACGACTATGAGGACGCTTCGTCCGTCTAGAGCCTTCTGTTCTTTTCTACGCAATGCCACGATGACGCGATCTTCGATATCTATTACCTGAAACCTCGCTGCCGTTAATTCCTCTATGATACCATCGGATTTGTAGACAATTATGATCCCGTGGTCATTGACGAGAGATGTAAGGTGTTTTGGCGAATGCTTCCAGAGCCCTTGAGATGCATCGTCCTAAAGAATTATAAGCTACTCCGATCAGTTCAACGCCATGTCTGTTACTTACAATATGAATCACGACTTCGAACCCGGTTTTGTTAGTATCTGCCAAAACTCTACCTTCATCATCTGGCTTAGTTGACAGCCATGACCTATATCGGGGGAACGCGGTTCCGTCAGCTAGTAACTCTAGCCACTCGTTCCTTGTACTTTTATTTGATCCTCCGATCTCTAAAACCCGCATCCGAGGGTTTTTATGGCCTATTAAGTCTAGTATTGCGCTGATTATACCCTTACACTCGTCATCACCCGGTGATGAGGGTCGATCTCGAATAAAATTCGCAATATAATCCTGTAGTCGAGGCATTGTGTCCGGCGTAAGCCGCATGATATCCGGCTTCCAGTTCACGCCCGTCACAGGGTGCCGTTGTAGATGGGGACTACTGCGGCTCTCGTCTTTAGTCACTTTCCCAATATACATGGTCAATCGAACACCCTTCATCTGAACGAGGGACACCCCTTGGCCATCCCGCAGGGTAGAATCTGCTCTTAGGCTGGAGAATCCAGTTCGTTGGGATGTTGTGTGAATAACCCCCTTCTGTTCTTTATCGTCATCCGGAAGCGCCAGTGTCCTGATGCGACATTCCGAGATGAACACTGGTACATAAGCTCGGAAATATTCAGGATTTCCAGACGTAGCACTAATCAGAGCAGCCTGTAGGCAGGCATCGATCGTTACAGGATGCACAGGATAACGGTTGGCTGAGTCCCTAAGCCTGGGCGAACTGATTTTAGTAGTACATAAAACATCGGAACGTACTTGATCGCTGTCAGCTCGCACACCGGTTAAGTTTCGAAAATACGGCCCAAATAACATCCCTTCTTCTGCGTATTTCTCATACCATCGGCCCATATTCCAATCTCTATACCCACTTGAGCCTAGGACTCCGTTGAATCCTACTGCAGCTTCAGGTAGTGTATCGAATACTCTAATACTTCCCACGCAGTGGACGGTGGCCTGGCCAGCGGTCCAGGAAGATACTTTGAAATCGTATATGCTCGCCGAGGAGGTCTTGGAGGATATTCTCCGTGTATTAAGGGTAGTGTGCAGCTCTATAGGCACTTGCTCCAAGTCACTGTCCTCAGGCACCACCATAGCAGAATTAATGCTGACATTATGTAAATCAAAGGTTGGACGCCCAAGCAAGGGGTTTCCACTTGCCGCTCTGGCCCTGGTTACCGCTTCCATGGCTAAAGCGAAATAACCTGTAGCTGGAAAGACCACTTGGTCTTCAATTCTATGGTCGCGAATCCACGGCATCTCGTTCGGGCGCAGAACATTTCTCCAGCTCCATTCGATGCCGTTCCCGGCAAGTTGTTGGGAGCCAAGAAGCTCGTGGCGAATGAAAGGGCGGTTTCGTAGCTCACTACTCTCACGAGGCTCAAACCATTGTAGGCCGGCCGAATAATCCCAGGGATATGGAGGCAAACCCTGAAACAAGACACGACTTGTTTTTGGAATGGAGTTAACAGCTTTCCAGTCTAATTCATAACCGTAAGTGAACAATCTGCCAGCGAGTCTCATCATACTCAGATGAGCGTCTTGTCCCCTAATCAGTGATGGACTATACGGAATAGCTCGCTCATCGAGCAGCGCAGCTCTCCGAATTTGATTTATGGGACCTTTTAGTGCTGAGTGTGACCCTATTTCGATAAGGTGGAACCTCTGGCCCCGGATGAGATGCTGTAAAGTCGAATGGAATCGGACCGGCTTCTCCAGATTGTCTCTCCAGTACTCGGCCATTGGTGTCGAGGCATCAACAAGTTTGGGGCCCTCCTGTTTGTGGTAAACGGTGGAGTACATATTTGCACTAAAAGGGGTATCCCGAAGCTTATCCTCAAGGTAGGGCTCAAGCAACTTCTCGTATAACGTACCAGCATTTTTCATCCATTGGGAATGATAGGGCTGACCATCTGTCTCTAAGAGTCGACAGAATGTTTTGCGATTCTGGAGTTCCAATTGTATCTGCTCAATACAGCCCTTCGGTCCACTCAATGTGACGCCCTCAGGTGCATTGAAACAGGCAACGCAGACTTGCCCTACGAGACCACATTTCTGTATGATCGCTTCGGCTTCTTCAGCACCAAGTCCACAGGCAAGCATAGCGCCCGAAGTGGGGTTCTCTGCTACAGCATACCCTCTAAAGTATGCAACAAGAAGGGCCTGAGACGCGCTGTATGTCATAGTTAACGTACTGTCCTATCTACATCGACACGCGATAGAGTCTAGGGTAGAAGAACTAACCTTAGGAGGCCCGCCGCATACGCTGCCCCGATTTCGCCAGATGAGTGGCCTATAGTGGCAGAGGGCTGAACACCCCAGGCGTGTAAAATGTTAACGAGGCCAATCTGCACAGCGGTACATATCGGTTGACTCCTCACGGCTTCATTGATTAGGCTCTTGTCAGTATTATCCCGCATCATGCTTTCCAGAGTCCAGCCGGGTGCATATGGCGGGGGAAGACTTTGGAGAACCTGATCTAGTTCTCTGATAGTGCTAAGAAAAACTGGACTACTATCAAGAAGTGCTTTTCCCATACCATGGTATTGCGCTCCTTGACCTGTGAAGACAAATGCGAAGTTTAACGAATCTACTTCGCTATAATGAGAGCCTTCAGCTGGCTGAATTGCCCAGTCTTCTGGTTTTCCGTCTTGACTAGGTGTTACAAGCAATGACGTCCGATATCTTAAATGCGTCCAGCGCTCAGCTAAAGTATAGCCCAGGCTTCTGATGCTCGGAGTATCGCACGACTGGGCAAGCTGATATATCTGGCCAGTACGAGTCTCCAAAGACTTTTGTGACGATGCTGATATTGGTAGCAATAGGGGCTGATATTTGTCATGTAGCCCATTCGCGGTTGGGGGTAAATTACCTGTGTAGCTAGAAACAGACTCTAGTATTACATGCGCGTTAGCGCCCCCGTAGCCAAAGGAACTGAGACTGGCTCGTTGAACTTTCCTTGGCCACGGCTGGGGCTCAGTAACAACCTCCATATTATGGCGGTCCATTTCAACTTGGAATCACGAGGTCAGTCAAAGGTCCTATCTCGGTGAGTAGAAGGGAATTAACTAACGTTTTGGATTGGGTGTCTCAACCCCGCGAGTGGGCGGAATCATGCCATGTTGAAAGGCTAGGACCACCTTGATCAGCGACGTAAGGCTGCTTGCTGCTTCGCTATGCCCAAAAGCCGGTTTTGTCTGAGTATTTTATGGGTGTTTAGTAGGTGAAAGTTATAACGTCCATGTCTCGTCTTTTTCTAGCATATTTCAAATCACGAGACAAGAAAAGGGGTTCACTCACACCTCCAATCATTAGGGGCTTCCTGCTATCTTTAGAAAAGCAATTTCCCAAAGCATTCAACTCAACATGATCTCCTAGCTCCGTCCCAGTTCCATGGCATTCAATATAGTCTGTATCGGAGAAGTCGAGGTTTGCATCTTTGTAAGCCTTGCGAACTACGACTTCCTGGAAGTCTGCACTGGGGTATATCATTCCAGGGGTTCGACCATTCCTAACATGGATATTAACATAATGCAGATGACCGAAAAGGGCTTAAAACTTACGAGTTGACCGCTGTTCCACGAATGATACCGTAAACGGTGTCGTTGTTCTTGATAGCCGAAGACAGACGTTTTACATACACAACGTTTACACCTTCAGCTCGTGCATAGCCATCAGCTGAGATGTCAAAGGTGTGGCATGTTGAGGTTGGAGAGAGCATGCCGGCCTTCATGGCTGCAATATGTGGTCCTGGGGTCATGATCAAGTTAGAAGCAGCCACGATTGCCCCATCGCATTCTCCTGCTTTGAGGGCAGCCACAGCTAGGTGCAGGCAATAGATCGAAGACGAGCATGCCGTGTCGAGTGTTAGGCTGAGTCTCATTGTAAGCGGTTTTCACACCAATAAGCAAATTCCCTTTTAGGACGGAACACCTACCTTGGGCCATGGAGGTTGAACGTGTGGCTGATTCGATTAGCTAACATGGTCAACCCAGATCCAGTAGCTTGGTAGCGCCGCAGATCATCGGGATCTCTCATTTGCATGAGTAGGTTGTCTTGGGTGAAGTTCCCTACGTATACTCCCGTGTTGGAGTCGGACATATCATTGAGAGATGCTCCGGAGTTCTCAAAACACTCGTAGACTACCTCTAGAAGCTTGCGCTGCTGCGGATCCATCTGTTTTTATTAGCAGGGAATCAAGAGTAAGCCTATTAGGAGCCCTTCCTCTGCGTTGAGCATAAGATGGTTTGGGGTTCCGAATGATTAAACGTACTGTACATCGTTAGTTTCTAGGAGTACTGGAGATGAGTTTACTTGCTGACCATATGTAGCTTCATAGTTGTTTATACCGAAGAATTCATTATCGAACTGTCGAATGTCTTCTCGTATGAAGTACCCACCGTCCACATTCGTCAGTCCGGATTTATCTCCCTTCGAAGAGTAGAATCCTTTGATGTTGTAACGTTCTGGAGGGATGGGTCCCTGTCCAGACTTCTTGTCCATGAGGAACTGCCATAGTTCAGTAGGCGATCGAACATCACCCGGAAGACGACACGCTGTATTTCTGGCTTAGTATATTATTTCATATCAGAGAGTGCTGTAGAAAGAATTCTCACCCATCCCAACGACACAGACTGGATCACCTTCTTGGAGACTACCCCCTGACCGACCATTACCATGGTGGTAGGTTCTAGTATGTCCATTGAGGTCCATTATATCATAAACGTGCTGTCTTTGGAGAAGTCTATTAACACGGTCCAACGACTTCAATTTCACACTTGATTATACTCAAGAAACAGTAAAAGTTTTGGAAGTTGAAAGCCAACACTCGCAGGCCTAACAATTATCACGTTGCACGGCTAGATATAGACTACCCAGAATACATACAGAACCCAACAAGCTTCATTCATATCTGATCATATTCTAGGACTACGAAGCTCTGCAGGTGATGGGGAGAAAGCGGCTACGCCCGTCCCCTAGTCTGTTGCACTGCATCAAATCAGGAAGCATTTGAGGCAATAATGGAATTTGCCTTTGAAAATCTGTTACCTGTCCAAATTCTATCCTCGTATAGCTCTAATCGAGCATACGACAGCACCATACCGGCAGTAGGGTGTTGGAGGATCAGATATTGCATTGGCGAAGGTAACATTGAAGATACCGAGGCATCTTTAATCGAAAGGATCGTCCAACTGACCAACATCCAGTTCTGCAGCAATCGGGAATCCTTGTCGATTCGGCCATGTAACCACCCTCAATTTACTTTGAATTATCATGATAGATGCCGCGTCTAAGAATGCCGCCTTTTCACCTTGGCTTGGACACTTCGCGGTACAGATCTGGCGGTGAACTTCAACTTCTGATCGTGAAATCAAGTGCATACCAATGTGTCAGCCAAGGAGTCCAATACCCCAATATAAGCACGTTTCCACGTTTCCACCAATGAGTAGAATAGGTAGGTAGTTCACCTTAACCGTCACAACACGGTCATATAAGCGGAGATAAGGCGGTTAGCTCTCTACTCAATAGCGTATTATGCACTGCTACCTTCTCTATCCCCAGCGCCTCTTCTTCAGCCTTAAAACGAGTAAGGATCCGTAAACGATACCGACGTACATTACCACCTAAATCTATACTCCTGACTATTGGATTAAGAATTGCAAATGGCAAACAACAAGCCAGTGGATATCAAATCAATTCCCATATATACACTAATTCAATATAATTATCTGACATATTATGAAGTATTCGGTACTTCATTTAGTAAGTCGAAGCACCGTTACTGGGGCCACCCTAGTGGGGACCACCCATTTCCCATACAAAATCAACAAAATCACCTATTCATAACTCATCCAAGAAAATAGCTAAAAATATCAGGATTTTAATTTTAAATATAGTACAGTGTCGTTATTGTGTACAAAATTTGAAAAAAAGATCGGATCAATATTCATGGCAAAATGATTACAAATGAGCACACTAACAGATACACATACAAATTTATATGTATAGCTGTTAACGATCATTAATGCTTATAACTTTGCCAATTTATATAGTAAAAATCCCATTTTTATATAATTGGATAGAGAAATTTTCAATGCAACTTTTAATATTGAAAGCAAGTGTATAGCTAATTTTTTGTGGAAGTTATGAGCCTTTATAATAAAGTATATAAAATTCCCATATATTTTTGAAACTTTTTAATGCTAAAAAATGACCAAAAACAACACTTCTTACAATTTTACCACAAAATGGTCATAACTAAAATTTGGAAAAATTTACATAGGCTATTATAGTAGTAAGGAGTTAAAAAATAAAGACTGTATATTTTTAGCTATTTTCTTGGATGAGTTATGAATAGGTGATTTTGTTGATTTTGTATGGGAAATGGGTGGTCCTTACTAGGGTGGCCCCAGTAACGGTGCTTCGACTTATAAAATCGGCATTTCACTATTTCTATACGAGCCGCGTCTGTTGTCGCTACTAGGAAGAAAAGCCTACGACTATCGTGCATGGGGAACAGGCTCCCAAGGGCAATGATTCCTAAACCCCTCTTGCTGTCTTCCATCCCCAAGTATCTCCTCCCTCGTAGTAAATTCCGTCGTGAACACGATCCCTGACTCCACTCCCGGCGTCGGTCTTTTAGGCTCTGATAACTCGGGCCCCATCTGGTCGATTGACGATAATGTTGTGAGAGGGACATTGTTCTCGTCCATCTTCCGATAGCGCTTGAACGTGCTTGGTTGGCGTTGTCCCGGGAGCGGCCATTTGCGATCAGAAATATCTGTGGTCTTTTTAGACGTGCCTAGCCATGATCTGAACGTCGTAGATAACATGGATAATAAACGAGATCCTTTAAATGCTGCTGGGATGGCAGGGCCCGCAAAGATGAAAAACATGCATGTCATTTCGGCGATACACCAAAGAGATAATGCCCCTAGCCAATAAGCCTTATCTTCGGTGAAATAGTATTTGATGGTGTAGGCAAGTCGAGAAACTGCGGATGCGCAGGCGCTGTTGTCATTGGTGTTAGCCCTCCCTCCCTAGGTATGTATGCCGGGCGTGCGAGGACGTGCACTTACAAGAGACCAATAGTAAAAACTAGCGAAACACCAATCTTCTTGCTTTTGGACATTTGAAGGCCCCAGATTACCCTTTGTGGGAGTATCAGGATCATAAAGTCAAGGACAATGTTAATACTTGCTCCAGCAATAAGAATAGCGTTTATATTAAGGCATTGACTTCCTGGGATCAGTTGATCCCATATTCGATCGTGTGGGAAGCAGGAGAAGTTTTCTATTAGAATCGCGATAGCGTAGAAGAGAATGTTTAGAACCATGATGGTATGGCATATCCAGTAGAAGCCGACTCTTGATCGATGAGGAGAAAATATACGACACCATTCTTTTGGAATAGATGCTTTCATTATGATCATGGTCGCTGAATATAGATTGGTTCCTATGTGAACGATCTGGTCTAGTTAGAAAAGACATGGTAATCATAAAGACAAGACGTCTAACTGAATTGAGATTCGCCTACATATAAGTGCGTGGTCATATCCTTGACCCGGATATCCCATTGATGGACGAAGAATCCAATATCGTGGAGTAACCAGTAAGTGACATATATATAACCAACATAGGTCCCCTAATTGTCTTTAGATCAGTATATCCACTTCACGATGCGATTATATAGAGTTGCACTAACAAAAGCTGCTATGACTAGGTCTATTAAACATTAGTCAAACACATTCTACTTGAAAATAAGTAACCGTCAATGCAGTAATACTTACAATCCTCAATAACGGGTGTTTTGGTGCACAAAAACCTAGAGTAGAGTCGGACAATAACAGAAAGCGATGATATAACGAGACAAAGAGTAGTCGCGATAAATGCCATAGCAGTATGATTTGGCGGGTTAAAGAAGTCAGATTCCATTCCGTCGGGGGGCAGTAGTGCAGGTCCGTTGAGAACTGCCTGCTGTTCAGCAGGCGAGAGGGTGACAAACTGATCCGCCGACATCTTGGAATAAAAAGGGTACGTAAGCCCCTATGCTAAGGAATTGACAATAAGAAAATTGAAGACTTGGGATATGGAACTCATGAAATTTCTAGTTACTTCAAAGATAAAGTATATGGGTTCGGAAGCCGAGGAGAGATATCTTTTGCAAAGGAAATTACTGCCTCATCCTGTAAGGCTTGTAGGGTCGTAGAAGTCTGGGCCTTTTGCAACCACCCACACCAAATCATATGATTACCTGTTAAGAAGTTGGTGTAGGTAGGTATGTAGGACTTTTTTTACAGCCACCAAGTTACACGACATTTGGAGTATCAGGGGCGTGAAGGATGGGATGGGGGGGTGAGACGGGGAGTAAATGTAACAAATATTTATTTTGACCTATGGTGGCACGGTACCTGAAGGATTGCCTCCTTACGATCGATCTACTCAACCTTCTCGCTTCGTGATATTTCTCCTGTATCCATTTCAAACATGTTACCTACCTAATTCTACTAAATCAAGATCGAATCGATTGAGTATATTCAATCGAAAAAAAATAACAATGACAGATAACGTGTTTACGGAGGACCAATGGCAGGCGTTGTTTGCACTCGTTGACTCGGTTGTTCCCTCTGTAGTTGTGGGTGAATCCAAGGCGACGAATAGCAATGGTATCACTATCACTCAAGATGAATTTGACGACTTTTACCGACAAATTCAGCGGAAAATGACAAATCCGCCTACAGCCAAAGAATTCCGAGAATATCTGTCGGCACGGCCTGTGGATAATCCCAAGTTCGTCGGTGCTCTCAAAGGTACCATTGCCAACTTGTCTCCGACTCCAGTAAAGCAGCTTAGCTTCATTCTAAATGCCATTTTGTATGGAATCACATACTTTCCTTTTCCGTCTTATGGCATATCATCGAAGTAGCATTAACAAGGTGCATAGAACACGACTCGGTAGCTTAATCAGCACTGGGTCCTTAACACCCCTTACCAAACAGTCAACACCTGTACGAGAGGCCATCATCCAATCATGGCAACGGTCCTGGCTATTTCTTTGGCCCATGCTTGCTAAGAACTTCTTGGTCATGGGAAAAGTAGCTTGGAGCGCAACTGATCCCCTCCTGCTGAGGATCAGCGGGTATGAGCAATATGCGGAAGATGCTAGAAAACCAAAGCCTGGGCCTACGATAGATTACAAGTTCCTGCAGTTCCACGATCCGCTTCCAGAAGGCGAGACTGTCGAAACTGATGTACTCGTCGTTGGTTCCGGGTGTGGTGGAGGCGTCTGTGCGAAAGTACTTGCGGAAGCTGGTCACCGCGTCATCGTAGTCGACAAAGGGTATTATTTCCAGCCAAGCCAGCTTCCTCTAACCCTGGACACTATGAGCAGCTTGTTCGAAGGCGGAGGCTCGATGTCAACTGTCGACGGGTCGACCTTTATTTCCGCGGGAAGCTGCTGGGGAGGGGGAGGTACAGTCAACTGGAGTGCAAGTATCGCGACTCCGGACGAAGTCAGATCTGAGTGGGTAGAAGAACATGGATTGGACTTCTTCAAGGAAGCTGATTATGAGGACTCGATGGACCGAGCCTATAAGATGATGGGGGTTAGCGAGTCGCATGTGCATCTAAATCACGGCAACAAAGTTATCCTCGAGGGGTCTCAGGCTCTTGGTTGGAACTCTAGGGTTGTTGCGCAGAACTCCGGTTCCTCTAGACACAGTTGTGGTAGCTTTTGTGCTCTTGGTTGCCGGACAAGTACGAAGCAAGGACCTGCCGTTAGCTGGTTACCTGCCGCAGCGAAAGCCGGCGCTCAATTCGTGGAAGGATTTGAAGTATCGAAGATACTTTGGGATGATGAACACGGATCGAAGAAAGCAGTTGGGGTTGTGGGAACTTGGACACCTCGCGATGCCGATGGCAACGTGCAAACCACGAAGGCCAAGACTAAGAAACAGGTCTACATCAGAGCTAAGAAGGTCGTCTTGTCAGGTGGTTCACTTAATAGCCCCCTTATTCTATTAAGAAGCGGGTTGAAGGTTAGTCTTCGTTTGCATTGGTTAGATGAGTCGTTAACACTACATAGAACAGTCATATCGGGAAGAACCTCTACGTGCACCCTTGCAGCGTTACGCTATCCATCTTCAAAGACGAAGTCAGGGGATGGGAAGGTAAGTTTAACTCCGTTCAAAGATAACGTACTAACACGGCCGAGATGAAATCTTGACGAGCCTTATGTACGAATTCGAGAACCTCGACGGTAAAGGCCATGGTGTCCGTGTCGAAATAGCGAATATGCTTGTGAGTGGAGTTCTATACGCGTTATTCATTTCTCGTATGGTATATCTGATGTCGCCTCTTACAGCCGTTCATGTCCATGCTGCAAATTCCATGGCACAGCGGATTGCAGTACAAGGTCGATGCTCTAGGCTTTCGACATATGAACAACTTCCTCTCTCTAGCGCGTGATCGCGACACGGGCTCGGTATATCCAGACGTCGACGGAAGCCCTATTGTCGCTTATACGCCGTCAAAGTTCGATCGAGGAAGTATACAAACCGGGGTAATCGCTGTCGCCAAGATGTGCTACGTCCAGGGAGCCACAGAATTGATCCCTCCGATTCGAAGCGTCCCGTCTTTCAAGAGTGGCACACCGGCTATCGAAAGGAAAGTAGATGATGCCAGGTTTGCTAGTTGGATCAGAGAGCTCGAACAGGCGGACTTCACCGACGCCCAGCTGGTATCTGGACATCAGATGGGCTCTTGCCGCATGAGTAAAACCAAAGAAAAAGGTGTAGTGGATCAATATGGTAAGGTGTGGGAGACCGAAAACCTGTATGTCGCAGATGCGAGCGTATTCCCTTCGGCAAGCGGAGTGAATCCTATGATTACTATAATGGCCATTTCTGATCGGATTGCTAGGGGTATTGCAGCGGATTTAAGATGAAGACTTTCGAACATGTAGAGGTTTTCGTCTTGGATACAAAAATGTGTTAGTGTAACGGTTGAAAAGTCTTTTTCATAATTGTATAACTTAGGTATCTCGCACATTATTGCAACTAATAAAAATTATTTCATACTTATTGTCGCACAGCATAAGAAGATGCCATTCTAATAGGTAATTGATAATCTTGATGCAAGATTAATTAATTGTCAACGGCCAATATTAGTTTACACGCCCCTGGGCGTAACATATACAGATAAGCCTTGCCTGCTCATTGCTTTGACTTTTTATTCTCCGTTATCAAAGTTGCCACGGAAAGAGACGCGGTATCAAATAATAGCAATATCAAAAAATAGGAGGTCACATTCAAAAGACTATTCCTACCTATTTTCTAAACACACCGGTCGGTGTGGCAATGTACGCGTCGCAGCGCATAATGTATTGTATGGTTCTAGTGCCATTCGAATCCTTCCGCTCGGCTTCATATGCACAATAGGTCCGGGCTGCTTTCATTTCATAACGTAGTTCTGACGGTTGTGAATAGGTAAGACTTATTTAGGTTGTGGTTGCGAAGTTTTGAGGATCGATGGTACCGTAACATATTTTCTTCTGCAAATAGCCCTGGCATTCGCTGTCGGTTTCGTTTAGGTACTTCGTTAGGTTAGGTATTTTGGGGGCTGAAGGATTCAGCTTAATGACACCGGAAACGGTGTTCCGTCGGCATAACACGCATGTGTGATACTAATGGGCAGGGATAAGAATCCTATTTATAATACCGTATAATTGAAATGTAAGTTCCGTTTATCCAGTACGTTAGTACTTGATAGAAATAAAATGACTATTGAAGCATTATGTTGAATACTTATAGACAGCTAATTACTTACCTACGTACTCAAGACATAGTTTAAGCTAAGTTACATTTCTCAGGTTGAAAAAATATTAAATAAGATTATCTACGTTGTTAAGGAAAGGATTTTTACAAGATGTAACTTGATGATTGAATTGTATTATGCACATCATACAAGTAAAATAATTGAACTATTACGTGCATAAATGGCTTGAGTCTCGGATCTCTTCCCGGATCTGATCTTAATAAAAACGGCTAGTAGCTATATCAGCCCTATGTGTGGGACCTTCGACCCTCGTTCAGCTCTCGGAAAGACGATCACTTATATTTTATAGCCAAGTTGTTATATACAACGTATAGGCAACTCTATCATATAGGTTACAGTCCAGATGAATCTTTCTATAAAACAAATAAGAATTTTAATAATCAAATTGAGTTGACATGCGGAATAATAAAAATTAGCCATGCCATAACTCTTAATAAGATTTTACCCTACCGTAGGAATCGTCACTCCTATGCTTTCGACCTTGGACCCATTTGCGCTTTTACAAGTCAACTTCATCTCGCCTCTCTACGGCTCATCATCTCTACTTTCTAACTATTTAAACTGTCTGGCCACCTTAGCAAGAACATAGGATGCTTCTACTAGACCCTTCTGGCGCCCTAGAAATGCCCTACTACCTCGGTTTACTAACGAGAGTGTTTACCTGAAAAGAATTACCGTACCGCTGGAATAGCCTATGGTATAGAACTAATGTCATTCTGAATAGCCAGCTGAAAATCAAGTCCCGTAAAGGTTTCATCATAGTACGTGTCTAATACAATATTTGACGTGACCTTCTTCGTAATATCTGCATACGAGCCCGAAATAACAAAACAAGTAGTTTGACACGGGTTGGCTACTTATTAGCTGTCATCTATAGTATATTTACAACTTTAAGGCTGGGTTGGTTGTCATTTTATGTCACAATGGGACCGCCACTATACGATATTTTCCCCTTTACATCAATTAATCACCAATCACACTGAAACACATTTTTTAACTTTTACAAGCCGGCATCAATTGAAATTCAGAGGTTATGGTTTATTGTTGAGGATAGTCCTCGGCTACGTATGCTTAACCACTCCATACAGCAGGGCCCGGGGGGATATAAGAGTCTGGCTGGATAGTGCCCAAGTTGACTAGGATGCCAGGGTCATTGGTCTTGTAGGCTCCTGGCAGAGCAACAAGAGGGCCAGGCGTCCCGTTTCCACCTCCAGTGATCTTGATCTGAGTGCATGCGAGATAGAACTGGGCGCCGTTCGCCTGCATGGCCTGGTGCAACGCAATTTGCTCCACGCGAAGCAGATATTCTCCGTCGGGTGTAGCAGTAGGTATAGTTGCATTGGTCAACACGTACTCATCTAATAATTAGTTAGATTATTTACTCCAACCGTTATGTTTAGTCTTGGGGATTGAAACTTACTTTGCGCAGGCCAGGTGAGCTGCTTGTTCTTGTCCATGGTCGGCGTCGTGGTGTGAATCTTGAACCAGACGCTGCCAGAACCATCCCAGTTCGAGGCACTCTTGCCCTGAGGAACTTTGGCTAGGTAATACTGCGTAGGACCAGGGTGGTTCACTTGCTGCGTCGAAATGTAGTGGATGGTCGAGCCGGCAGATACAGTCATGATGTTGGCCGCATTCTGCGAGGAGTAGCAGCGGATATCCGGGCTCGTTGCGCTCAAGACACCAGTCTTGCTATCGGCATTCTTGGTCTTGCGCGTGGCAGACCAGTCCGCCTCCTCGGACTTGCCATTGACGACAAGTCGTGGGAACGTGTCTGAAATGGTTAGGCAGGGTTGCGGATAGATAAAGGGGTGAAGTCTAACTTACAGTGGGCCTGAACTGCCGTTGCGGCAAGCAAGAGGGTTGTGAGGAGCTGCATCTTTACTATTTTTCTACTTAAAGACAAAACAGAAAGAATGCAAAGAGAACCGATAAACACGGCTAAGGTGGGATATAACTATATACTCCGGACCACGGGTCATCCTAATACCAGTCCACTGGGGCAAGTAGAGGGATATAGTGCTATTAATCTGGTGTATATTTAGTCATGCTTATTTGACCTCTATCCTCTATGAGCAGTATCGGATCTTGCCTCCATATAGCTAACACTATTCGTTTTCCCAACCTATAAGGTCATTCCCGGCTAATATCTCGTTTTGTCTAGGATGCATTCACTTTATATATTTTTAGATTATCTCGGCAGTGAAGCGAAAATTGCGGGGAAACCCGACGATACCCACGATTTTACGACACGCCGACTAGATCAAGGAGGTGTATTCCAAAGTGTGAGATCATTCATGAACTGATATACTACATAGACTATTACAGAGGTTCGTTTACGAGATAGATCATCGATATGCCCTAGTTGATGTAGTGAGGGAAAAGGAAAATAGTCTAGAAGTATCCATATTTGGCTGCTAAATGAACCCTTAATGTTAATGTCTATCATATAAAGCAAGATGTAAAATTACATCTCTATTATGTATTTTCATGTAACCCCTCTTGTACTACGCTATTTACGATGTACGGTTCGCAGAACTCGATCGTGTTATATCCTCCCCCCATAATAAAGACACAGCAATACCACTAGCACTCCAATATATCACAACATCTTATTCCAAAGCCATAACCCCACCAAGTATAAGTTAAGTCCGTATTAAATGTATCCATCAGTCAAAGCCCCATAGCTTAATGAGCTAACTCAATATCGAATTTAGTTTCTCCAATACGTTTGGACTTGAACTGAATATCAGCATCGAATTCGGGGGTAACCTGCTCATCTCTGGTGACTACTTCATCAGAGTCGAATTCAGGTGTTACAGACTGTCGACGCTGGATCGCGTTCAGGGACCCTGGTTGTTCTACGTAGATTCGTAAGATGTGTAAGCTAGCATAGATATAGTTAAGCTGAGATGGTGTATGCTTACGAGAGGCCAACGGCGCAGCCGCAGCGAGAGCTGCGAACAAGACGGCAACTATGGCTTGTCTCATATTGGAGAAGTATTTTTATGACGAGTTTAAGAATCTTTGAGCGTTAGAGCGTTATATTTGATGATATCTATGACTTTTAATGACAAATTTATGGGAAACTCATACTTTATGTAAGTCAACCCACAACTGCCTCCCAAGTCTGAAGGCGTCCTAGGGGTTCTATGATCATAATCAAGAATCTGGAACATTGTTTAATTTTAGAGACAACTGCGTGTTTATAACATACAAGAGAACTTGATCCTTAGTAGGGCTCCATTTTCGTGTTACAGGGTCCTTGAATACTACGTCAAGTCACTGATCGCCATCAAATACCTAACGTCGATGCATAAAATAGCCCCCCGGCATTGAAATCCTCTATCAACTATATTCTTCCAAAGACTCTATGTGTTATGCAAGGTCTAAATGCCGCTCATATCATTTGAGTATCAGCATTAGTAGTGGTTATTGATAACGTATGCCTCTAACTTGATATCTTTTGAATATCATATGATAACGAGAAAGAATTATTTATTCCCAACTGAACATCTTACGTGTTTTCAAACTAGATTCATACGAGCTCTAAATAGGATTAAGGAGTTCAATAGGCGGTTAAACGCTTTTGGTAGCTATACTCCCCCATCTACCTACTAGGATAATTACGAAGAGCCCTTTTGCGTACCAAGCACCTGGAAGCTACTAACCAACGGTGTAGCATTCGCCTGTGTGACACTAAGACGTATCTTACTTGTTTCGACAGCTGTATTCAACCTATCGATACGCTTATATCCCAGTGATGTGCCTGTCACAAGTGTCTCATAAACGCCGTTTACAGAAGCCTCAATCGTATACCCACCAATCCTCTGGCCCAGGGGAATATGCTCCTGTGTAATGAAAGCGTCTACAGCGTAAATCCCACCGAGATCGACTTCCAGCCATCCCGTCCCCTCTTCGTCGTTAAGTGCCCAGTACGTATCTTTGTTGCCGTCAAGCACGTTGGCTGGCCCGTAGAGTGTAGCGTTATTACCGCGGATGCTGCTTGCGTTTACTGCAAGCCCCGACGTAAGCAGCTCACGGTTGAGAAATGCGTCGCGCTGGGCTTTGAATTGCAGTAGTACATCTACGTCGCCTTTGGGAAGCTGTCCCGTCGTATCGGGTGGGACATCGAGCAAGAGGTTTACGCTTCGACCTACCGACTGCAGATACATGCTCATCAGGGCATCGGCTGTCTTTGGCTTCTCATTAGAATGGTAGAACCAGCCGTCTCGTATGCGCGCGTCTGCTTCCGCTGGGGTCCAATAAGTACCATCTCGTACACCAGTTTGTAGCTCGTCGCCTGAATAGTGCGGCTGATCCTGAGTCCTACTGATCGTGTGCCAATTCGTCTCTACCGTCACTCCGTCCTCATTTCCCACCCATCGAGCATCTACACCCTGGTGACCCCACATGATTGCGCCTGGCTGATGCTCGCGAATGATGTTGCGGAAACCTGTCCAGTTGAACGTCTGCACAGTATCGGAGCCGCTATTCCCATCGAGCCACAACTCAGATACTTGGACAGGTGAGCCATCGCTCAGCTTCATTGTAACCAATTCGGTTAATTGCTGATAATAAAGCTCATTATAATCGCCAGCGTTATCATCGCCGAAAATCTGCGGCTCGTCATACAAGGTACCGGTTAAGTTGGGCTTCGGCATGGCTGGATCACGGTGTATATCCCACGGCGACAGATAAATACCGAACTTGATACCGTATTTCTTCGCAGAGGCAGATGCTAACTGCACGACGTCCGCATTGAGACCTTTTTCAACACGATCTTTTGCCCATTCTCCGTTACCAATCTTATACGTCGTCGTGTTTGTATCCCATAGCGCCATGCCATCATGGTGCTTTGCTGTTAAGATCATTCCCGCCATACCGGCATCTGCAAAAGACTTGGCCCACTGATCCGTATCTAGAGCTGTCGGGTTGAAGACATCAGGAGTACTCTGACTTTTTCCCCATTCCTCGTCTGTGAAGGTATTGGGCCCGAAGTGGACGAATGCGTAGTATTCAAGCCGATGCCACTCAAGCTGTTGGGTGGATGGCGTCCGCAAATACGCGGCGGGTGGGCTTTGGCCATATACCGCGTTCACCAGCCAACTCACAGTACCGACAAGCAGCAACATCCATCGATGGCCATTCGCAGGCCGCAATCTTTCTGACATTATGATCACGGCACAAAGTAACTCAATACATGAGATATCAGTATGATCTTGGCGAAAAGCAATTGAACTTGTTAAAGTCTACATTATCTAATATAGACTCTAGTAATTCAGCAACGTAGTAGACGGGAATCATTTCGTCGGATTCTCTTTACCGTATCGGGCGGGGATTCTTCAACGCTGTAACCGACAGGGACCATGACTGGTGGAAGCCGGCTTGAGATTTGCCGTATTCCATTTTAGGAAGTTGCCTAGAAGTTGAGTGAGAGTAGAGATGAGAGACTCTTTTTGAGAGTAACTTGACCTCGACATAACTGGAGTTGTTATATAGTATTTACTTACGCAACTATTTTATATTGAAGTTATTAAAAAGGAGAACATTGGCTTAACTATCTGTCAAGATAACTAAAGACAATCCACGACCTCAAACTTACCAAAATATTCTAAAGTTTCACCTTAGATGAGATCTCAAAGTTGAAGATTTATCTAACAAGTTAGATCGTAACCAACTATTAGTGGAATATCGACAGTATCAAAAATGGAACGATTCATGTTGCCCAGCCACAAAAAACTATCAGATACCTACGTAAACTGTTTAAACCAATGCTGTCAAACCTCGATACAAAGACGTAATTTGTAAGCTTGTCTCAATCTCGCATGCCGAAGCTTACACCATATCACGTGATGACGTCATATCCAAGGATCATGCCATCGGGTTTAGCAAGCTCGTCCGACCTTTACTGCTAGCTAAGGTAACACTAACTAACCAGCTAACGTGGGCACCTTTGCCGAATGGTAACGGCTAACAAGGAAACTCCATACGGCACAGAGTATTTTCTTGACGTACCTTTTTTTTTCTTTAACCTCCAATAAATTTCAAACAGCAAATATTCGGACCTAGAAGCTGTTTTTTTCTGAACCTCAATTGGTTCTTATAGACACTAACCTCCGTTCCCATCCTCCTAGGTCCTATCCTATAAAAGATGTTCGCCAGATCAGCTTTTCGCGCGGCTCAGCCGCTGAAGCGGGTAAGTACAATCAAACACCTACAGTCATCATACAATAGTTTTATCCGGAGCTCCGAGTTTAACTACTTGACTTTCAAGAGCTCGAAATATGTCTCAATTGCGCTCAATTGTATACTAACATGTGCTTTTCGTACTTTAGAATCTCCTCTCGCGCACATATGCCACCGAGCCCGCCAAGAGCGGTTCTTCTAACACCCTCCTCTACACATTGGGCGCTGCTGGTGCCGCAGGTGCCGGCTACTGGTACTACTCGGGGCAGAGCGCCGGTTCGGCCGTGGCCAAGGCTAAGGATGTCGCAAGCGGGCCGCCCAAGAAGGCTTTCCTCGGCGGCGACCAGGGCTTTATTTCCCTGCTGCTGAAGGACGTTCAGATCATCAACCACAACACTAAGAAATTCATCTTCAAACTGCCTGAAGACGACCAGGTCTCGGGTATGGTAGTGGCTAGCGCCCTGCTTACGAAGTACCAGCAAGAAGGACAGAAGCCTGTCGTACGGCCATACACTCCTACGAGCGATGAGGGCAAGTCCCCTCTATAAAGATGAGATGAAAATAACTTTAGCTAATACACGAGGCGCACAGATGACAAGGGCTACATCGAGCTAATCGTGAAGAAGTACCCCAACGGCCCCATGTCAACGCACATGCACGACATGGTGCCCGGGCAGCGCCTGGATTTCAAGGGCCCGCTACCCAAGTACCCGTGGACCCCGAATAAGCACGATCACATCGCGCTAGTCGCCGGTGGCACGGGCATTACACCTATGTACCAGTTAGCCCGCGCTATCTTCAAGAACCCTGACGACAAGACCAAGGTCACGCTCATCTTTGGCAACGTCTCCGAGGAGGACATATTGCTCAAGCACGAGTTCGCCGAGCTCGAGAACACGTATCCCAACCGCTTCCGCGCTTTCTACGTCCTGGATAACCCTCCTAAAGAATGGGTTGGCGGTAAGGGATTCATCACCAAGGATCTCCTGAAGACTGTCCTACCTGAGCCTAAGAGCGAGAACATCAAGGTGTTCGTGTGCGGTCCTCCGGGTCTATACAAGGCTGTTTCCGGTACGAAGGTCAGCCCGACGGATCAGGGCGAGCTGTCTGGTATCCTCAAGGAGCTGGGTTACTCCAAGGACCAGGTTTACAAGTTCTAAGTTAGTTAGGTTTTTGGGCAGCGAGCGAGCGCATAGAAAGCTACAGTATAGAACTGAATTAGCCTAGTGTTGGCTTGAGGGCGAAGGCGTCGGCGTGTTCGCGCAGTTCCTCTGGTTTCTATTTTGTCAGAAAGAGCTTTTGCGAAGATGATGGATTTGTTCCTCTTTCAACTCATCTGCTTGCATTCTGTAGCTTAACCTCACATAGGGAGTATCTCAAAAAGAACAAATCTATGCGACATTTGGTTTGGTGCTGGCGCAATTGGTGATACGTCTTAGATTTCTGTGTTGTCGTGCGAGTTGGGCGGATATCCGGCACGCCCCCTTTTCTTACGTTGCTACTCGATATTGCTTGCTAAACTAAAAATCGATCGATCAAACCCCGAACGACAGATGCAGCCTTTTCGGTGACCTTCGTCAAGAGGAATTGCAATGTATCGTCGTCGTCTTGTCTCTAGAGCTTCGATAATACATTATCGTTACTATCGTCTACCTGGGCAAGTCTCTATATCTAAATTGGCCATGGCTAGACCTTTCTTTCTTCCTATCATCCTCAACTCATGATGTGCAGTCTCGGGCTCAATCTCCAAAGATAGTAAGTAGTTCGCCGGGGAATCGTTCGAACACGCGCATGCTAGTAGTACAGACTATTATGTTACCGTTGGAAAACTACGTGAATAGAAACAACGAATACGATACCAATAATAGCCATCTATGCCATGTCATGCAGGCTAGTCTTACTTACTTTTTACTTACTCACTTTGTATTTCCACGCTAAATATCAAGCACTATATCACGACATAGAGAAGAGGCGCTTCTAGACTTAGCTCATGGCGTCCGATAATTAAGCTTCGACAGCACGCGTAAGCGCAATTTCGTTCCTGAGCCGCGGGTGGAGTCCGCGATGTGAGTATCTGCTCAGGAAGTGTTTTGTTTTACGTACTCGATGGAACGGAAGACGGACATGCCACAGCCGACATGTGTATGTAAAAGCAAAGTAGACTAGCAGACAGATGGGGTCCAAAAGGGTCATGCCAAACCACGATGCGAGGCGGGAGCAGCCGCCCGGCCCAGGAATCAGGCAGGCCAAGGCGTCGTACTCTTACGCGCGCGACGATAGTTTGATTTCTTACCTTGGCTGCTTTCACTACGTTCTCGGCGGACTTAGCTGCGGCAGCAGGAGGTGGAAATTAGATTTCTAAAAATTAGCTAGGCTCGGTAGCGCGGCCCCCATCGTTAGGTATCGGCTTTCAGCTTCGGGCACGTCGGGCGTCTCCCGCGCAAGGGACGATAATATATACCGTATGCCGTGGAACAAGGCTGTCTGGCTGCTGACCTGCCTATTTGCTTGCTAATCGATGCCCTAAGAAGAGGAGATTCTGAGTCAGAAATCCCCTTTCCTTCCTCCCTACACATAGTAGTTGTGGCGACAGCTTCTTGCACAATGTCTTAGCTATCTCCCATGCCGGCTAAAGTCGCCTTGAGCGCACCGACATGTGGCCGACAAAATAAAGAGCTAGAGCTGGGCCGCGATTCCATACATACATACACGTGTGGCTGCCTCGCTATATAAGACCATGTTGCTTTCTCTGCTCTTGGCATCGGGCGATTCGCCGCGACATCCACGTGCGAAAAGGGGAAAAGGAGGGCAGCTGGACGGCGAGGGAGTTCCCATTGGTTTCTGGGATTGGTTACACGATGATTGGCGACATACGCCTGCCGATTGACGAAATGACTGGTTTAATTCTCCGCGCTGAAGGGCAGATGGTATGGTGTGGTGCCAGGTTAAAGTCGAGAGAGGGTGGGTTTCCTCGATCAGATAGATCCGGGGTACCTTCTGCTCTTTCGACCAGGCTCGCAGAATTGGGTAGCTACTGGCCAGTCCTTTGACCCAGGTGGATCTGGGGAAGCGAAAAGGAATGTGGGAGCGAGGGTGGCATCGAGGGTGGCATCGAGGCGAATTTAACCAGCCGCGGGATCGGATTCGGCGTTTAGCGAGCAGCGCCCCGGGAAACTATGTAGAGATAAAGCTCTTCTTGCGTATAGGGACCCTAGCATAATGCGCTAATACAATAGCGAGGTTAATTATATTGTTTTCTCTTTTAGGGAATTCTTTTAGTCATTCCCCACGACCACAGGCAGTATTAGTGCCTTCGCTTGAAAAAAAAATCCATCAATTCATTCCTTTTTCAAGTGAGACGGACAATCTAGAAAACCGAGTTAATTAAATGGCTTCATGTTGTGATACCATAATGTAGATAGATAGGGGTAGTACATCAAGGTTCATCTGACCGCAGCGCCGTTGCTAAGCGGACGTAATACTGACTCAATGAACCACATACTCGGGTTCTGAGCACGACGTCGTAAACTCAAGTTCCCACGAGTCCGCACAAATAGCGTTGATTAGCCAGGCACTTAAGGCTTAGACGCAGGAACAAATGCTGTACCCGGCTGCGTCCATCCGATTGACTACATGTCATGGACTAGGTTAGCCATATAAAAGTTTACATAGATAAAACGAGAAATTGGTTAGTTATAGGGGAAACCCAATAACGTTGCAGTAAGTCGGTTGAAGAAACTTGAATATTGAGAGGTAATGAGTTGCAAGTCACGTATTTCTTAAAGGAAACAACGAGAAAAGTATCAAATCGCAATGCATTAACCTAGCGGTTTCTTCAAATCAAATTTGAAGTCACGAAATGAAACGCGATTTCCTTAATTTTCTTGTAATACTAGCTGCCCCCTGAACACTAACTGTTTATGACGTCAATCCCGTCTAGGCGGAGTTTAGTGACCGGGAAGTCCGTACATCGTCATTGTATAATTCGATTCGTGAATTGACAAGTTGTTGTTCCGCTATTATTTGTTGAAATTCAAAGTCGGTGCAATTTTTTTTATATTTTTATACACATGTCGACGCGTCATAATGAGTGCTTCGCTACCAATATAGCACCCACCTAGGATCACTTACACGTAACAATGGGGGAAAAACACCAAAAAAGCCAACGGCAACAGCCGGGGAAAAGGCCTCGGAAAGCATTCCGAGAGCACTTATTTCATTCTCTGCCCAATTATACTGGTCCGTACAGTGTAGGTATAATGGAAATAGAAGTACCGGTACGCGAGCCGCGCACGTTCTCACGTATCAAGCGCAACCATACGCATGCACTACGGATGGATACGGTCCTCTTCTCAATATACTACCCATGCGACCCTTCATCCTACGCGCAGAGCAGAGGGAATAGACCGTCCAAAGCCACGTGGCTGCCGAGGCCACGCACCTTGACGAGTAAAGGGTACGCAAAATTCTTTAGTATGCCACATTTGCCTGTTACGGCTTATATCGCGGCTACGACTATGTTCACTAAGCTGCCTGCTTTCCGGAATGCCAAGCTTACCAGTGACCGCGCCGGTGCTGCATCTTGCTCATCGTCTGATGTCTACAGCCAAGACACATTAACGGGAAGTGGAGACAAGCCCAAGTTCCCAGTTATTTTCTTCAGTCACGGATTAGGAGGTTCTCGAACGTGTTATAGTACAGTATGTGGGGAGCTTGCTAGCAACGGTTTTGTTGTCGTTGCAGTAGAACACCGTGATGGAAGTGGTGCACGCTCCTATGTCAATATTCCCCCAAGCGGCAAGCTGGCAGACGGGCTAAAGATTGACAACACTGACTCGAGACGCTCCTACAAAGTCGACTATATCTTCCCTCTAGATAATGCTCTGGATACGTCACCTAATAATGCCCGAGGTGTGGATACTGAACTCAGGCACGCCCAAATCGAAATGCGCATGTCTGAGATTGGAGAGGCGTACTATGTCCTTGAGCTCCTCAATAATGGCCAGGGAGACTTGGTCTATAAGAATAATTTGAGAAAGAAAGGCAATGCTGGGTCGAGCTCTAAAGGGCTAGAAGGTATTAATTGGTCTGATTGGGATGGTAGACTTCTCCTATGGAACACCACGGCAATGGGACACTCTTTCGGTGGAGCGACGACAGCCGAAATCGTTCGCCAAAATGACCGTTTCCCCTATATTGGTCAAGGTATCCTCCTTGATGCATGGGGACAGGCCACACCGAAAGTAGGAGAAGTTACTCACCAATCTCTGCGCAAGCCTCTCTTAGCCATCAACTCTGAGGCATTCATGCACTGGCCTGAAAACTTTAAGAGAATATATGATATCGGAGAAGAAGCGAGAAATGGAGGGGCTCTCTGCTGGATGCTCACTATCAAAGGGTCCACCCACCTTTCTCAAACTGATTTCGCCATACTATATCCTCGTTGGATGTCCTTGTTTATGAAAACAATGGTAAATCCTAAAAGGGCAATGGCCCTAACCGTAAACTCTTCCTTAGAATTCTTGAGCCGAGTCCTACCTCCCAATTTTACAGTTGGGAATCCCTGGCTCGATGAAGGAATCCTGCAGACCAAAGTTCTTATTACAGACGAACTGCCACGTGAACATCAACCTGATGGCAAGTGGATGGCTTCTCGTCTTAGGATACCTAACGAATTACGGATCCGTACGGTCAACTGGGTTCGACGAAAACCTAAGGAATCAGTTGCTACTGATATAAAAGGCAAGCCACTAATAGGTCTGATGAGCTTTCCGCTTGGGGGCGAGGTTTGGATGCATCTCAGTCCAGACGAAGAAAACCGGCAATATCCGATTCGGTCGAGCCAGGAGGTTTAGGTACCTAAGAAAAACAGAGCTGTCCACTCCCCCTACAAGGTCTCGCGATTTATTGCTTCCCGGTGCTTACGTAGAAGATAGAATAGCCCTGTCGAATACATCGGAGATACTACTCGGTAAGAGCTTGCATGTTTAATAAATTTAGTATCGAAATGAGGACCGCAATTGATACTGACGGCTGGCAAGAGGAAAATTAGCGAGAAACATGTGTGCCAACATGTTGTACTATGTGACTGTTACATGACGTTCCAACGACAAGGCACATATGAAGCATCATACATACATGAAGCGTGCAGCAATGGCGTCAAATAGCCGTTCTCGCCCCGAAGCGAACAGGGATGTCGACAGTGGCTCAAGAGGCCAAGACCCTATAAAAAGCAAGCCGAGCTGAGGCTCTCACCATCTAAGGGAGATTTTTAAAGCCTTAAAATGCAGCCCAATTCAGGTGCAGGATTATAGGATCTTCTGGAATTTCTCCAGTCGCCCGGCAAGCTCGTTAAGCTGTTAAAAGCTGAATAGAATAGGCTCCGGATCTTTCCACAAGTACGTAGCGAACCACACGCTCCCGATCCTTGAAATATCATCAGATCTCGCCCGATCCGTCTCTCGAAAAGGATAATGCGATGTAATGCAATGTCATGGCTCTGAAGGGGGCCGAATACTCGCGAAACACTACCCACTTACCAGTCTAGAGCGAGATCACCTAATGAAATCTGCTTACGCTACAATTGGCCCATATGGGCATTTGAGCTCATTGTATTTGATAGAGTAGTAGCTACTGTGGACTGGCTTGCGCGTCGTCGACTAGGGAGAGGCTAATAGTTCACGCATCTGGTTGTCGGCTTCTGGTCGTGCCCAGATTCGATAACCCGGGCTGTTACCATTTCGTGGTTGCATTGCGTGCAAACCCATGTAAGGAAAGCTGACAGGCGTGGCGAAATGTGGAGTTGGAGGGTAGCTAGAAGATGAAAACAGAATCAAGCGTACCTTTAGCGAATCGAAATCGCATAAGGACGCTAGACGGCTATTTCGGTTAAAATACTGTTCCGATGAGATGGATTCCCATCATGAGAATATGTCTTTTTTTTCTTTGATGCGCGCTAGAAATTGAAAAGAGGCTGTCTTGGCATTTCCGGGTGAATACTATCATTTTTGAGCGTTCTTACTAAGAGTAGAAAAGAATTGTCGATCATGGCCTGAAATGTGTATAGAGGTAAATAAGCCCCTCCTCCGAAGTCCAGGCTGAACGCAAATATTCAACGGCAGTGATATTTTTCTAGATGGGCAGGTAGTAAACTAACATCGCCTACTAAGAACGGGTGTGTTACGAATATGTTTAATTAATAAGTGGTCTAACACGAGTAACTGGGTTCCGATGCTCGATAATAAAATGATTTTGAACTGCTAGACGTTTTATAAAGAAGGTCTAAAGAGGATCGTACAAGGTTTACAAGACGTTTGGTAGTGAGGAACACGAGCTATTACAGCTTAGAAAAAATATGTTTTCGTTAAAACTCGTATTGTTTAGAGGCGGCGGATAGTATACATTGTACATTGCCACTTATAATGTTGAATTATCTGGAAGTAGCCGCCTTGTAACCAACCGGATAGTAATTACATGATGGCGCTAATGTCTACGGGGCAAACGACTACCTAATTCGACGAAAGACTTTAATGGTAAACTCACGCTAGGAAGGTAGTATACATAAATGGGAGTAGCTACCTCATAAATCGTACAGTTGTCATCCGACAATACATCATGTAAATGTAAGCACATCGGGCAACTACATGGTACAATGCTCTCTAGCGAGAAATGAACATGTACCTCCTACTTAGTACTCAATCGCTCTTAGAGTATCAACTAATATGATGACATACATATTTTTATTGATGTCAGAAAGTTATTGAGCAAATACAATTAAAGGAGATATGTCATACATTTAGAAACGTCAAGCAACTTGCCGAATTGCTTAGTTATTTTCTGACAAGGCATACTGCATCTCGACCTACATGTATGCCAATAACTTGCGGACTATCCTCTTCTCTATCGCGGTAGTGGAGATCGTAAAGATGCAGCTGGCCGAACGAGGGACAGGTACTTGCACTCATGCAATTTCAATGTTCGATGCTAGTTCAGGATGATAATAATTATTGCACTTAACTCTGATGTATCTAGTATTTTCTTGTTTTTAACTCCCCTTGGTGATTTCGTGTTGGCGTAATGCAGTTGAATACTTATCAATCTGACGTTAGGTTAGGTAGGTAGCTTATGAGTTGTAAACCGATGGTCTAATTCCAATATTCTATTAGGACTTACAGAGGTACCTTACACTAAGTACACAACATAAGGACCTAGATCAGCTACTAACGGACGACGGACGATAGGGCGGTGCAATCCCTGTACCCGGGCCGTACCAGTACCGACCATTTTCTGTTTTTGGCATCAATTGCAGTCCACTTAGGCTCTTGAAATCCAATCGTCGCAGTTCATCGGCGTAGGGAAGGGTCGATTAAAGCTTAAAGCTTAACACTGATTAGACAGCTTAGTTGACTTATCAAGCCCCGACAGACCGTTTCTGTTCCCCATCTCGTGTAAATCATAGGTCCACGATGTTCCCTGTTCCCTTTCCTGTCTTCCATTGGAGGTAATTTGCATACAATGTCTCTGCCCTGAAGGTGAATAGAAATCACACAGGACATAGAAAACAAACACCTTCTGGTTCTCGTTACTTTTTTTGTCGCTTGTTGTTCTCCTTTCCCAATCATTAATTTTTAGATCAATCCGACTAGACTTTTAGTCTTGCCATTCGTTTTCTGACAATATTGAGAGCGTCTATCTAATGTTCAACACATACGCGACAAGCCTTGTATCTACCTAGGTAGCTAATTCGATCTGAATCTGATCTGACCTGTCCGCTGGCCCCACGACGGCTTGAGAGGAAGTGCGCCTCGTTCGTTAGCTCATCAAACCACCAAGCTCTATGTTCGTGATATCTAAGCCCACCTACTATATGTCTCTCTTTGCTTGCTTCATCCTAGCAGCCTTCTTGCCGCGCTCCTAGCCTTCCCTGGTAAGCAAAACCAGACGAGTAAGCAAGCAGATCAGGACCAGCTAATGTAGCTACTACCAGTTGAGAAAGTTCCGGGACCCAGGTATAAACCCGGCTATACGGACATACGCATCTAGAAAGCCAAGACAAGCAGGATATATTGGTTTTTTTTCTTTCTTCCCTACTTACACGCAAGCTCACTGCCGCTTTCCGGGCCTTCTATGATTAGAGGACCCGACCAGAAATAGCAACTATCCAGTTGGCTTATTTTCTTACCAAACGTGCTGCATCTCGACCCGTGGCAATCCGGCCCTTTATCCCAGTGCGCATTTCCAACTTCTCCCGATCGATACTTAGAATACCTGCCATACCTAGCAGCCGAGTTTCTATCCTGGAATAATCATTACCATTGCCTTGCTACGCACCGCTTGACGCGTAAGCCTCAATATGACCAAAGTACAGAAGTCAGACCCAGGCCTGCCTTCTAGGTCTGACAGCTTCTTGAAAATGTTGGATCTGGAGAAAAGGTACAAGGTATGTCAATTTCTCGGCATGCAACCCTCCTTTTAGACCTTTTTAGACACACCATTTCCCCTTTCTCCGTCTTAACCCCTCCGCTATCCGATGCACCATTAATACGCCGTCTACTCACGTCTTATAGATGCAACGTATCCAAGGTCATACCCCCGCGACGATCGCATCGCCAAGTACAAGTTCACCCTCCGCCCAGCCAGATAAACCGTTTAAGGCTCGGCGTGCAAGCGGACATCCTCCGCTTTCGCACCAAATTCAGATAATGAAAGCTGTGCGGCGGAGCTCTGCTCTTCCTTCGCTTTCAATATCTATACCTCCTTCGGCCGAGGAACCTGCCGTGGCGACGAATGGACCTCCCGGAGACCTGCAACAAAAAAAGGAGGAACGCACCAAAACGGTGACATTCTCGGGTCCCGAGGTAGAGGACGGCGGCGATTCTTCTGACCAGTCTTCCATATGCCAATCGCCTAGCTGGGAACAGTACGGGCGGAAGAAAAAGAAGAAGCCTAAGAAGCAGGACGTGGAGGCGGGCAAAAAAAGTGAGGAAAAATCCGCGAACACTTTGAAGAAAAAGGGGAACAAGCTGAGCAAGGTTCCGCCGCCGCCAAATTTTCAAGGGGTTGAGTCTTTGATAACGGCGGACCGCTCACAGTCAGCCCCTGAGCTGGACCTCTTTCTTAAATCTAACGCTGCTAAATTAGATACTCCCATTCCAACCCCACCAAACGAGATGGCCAACCAGAAACTTGACAGCAAGCCGAAGAGCAAAGGCTTCTTATCTGGATTCCGATTACAACATGGGAATGTGGCGGCCGTCCAGAAAATCCTCGATGGCCAGCGAACGAGCAGCGATGAAAACCATCCCGGAGGGTTACCTATGTTGAAACCTCAAAACGCCGCCCCGGCAGACTCTAACTTCATAAATCCTCGAAAGCCTCCTTCGATAAGATCGGCCGTCTCGAATTCAACTCGCTCTATTTCTTCTCTAGATCAACTACCGTCAAGCGCTCGGAATTCATCCGGTTCAAGCCATGGCCGTTCGCAATCATTACTCTCGTCTACCTTAAATAAGCTGAAAGGACCGTCCTATCTCTACTATCGCCCTCCCGAAATGTCCAACGGCATCCAATTCAAGCGTCCGAGCAGCTCTCAAGAACCAGATATTACTACCAGCTGGTTGGATGACAAACCTACAAAGCGACCCGTAGTACAGCAACCAGAACGTCCTAAAGAGCGCCCATTGAAATCGATAGAACCTGTCCAAAAACTTCCTGAGTTTTCATTTCCGCCGAAACACAAACATGCTACCACTCAACCTACAGTAGAAGTCGTCGCTCATAGTACTAGGCCACAAGCTCGTATAGAAGATCCGGGAGACGCTGATAACGGATACGAGGCACTAGAACCTAACTCATACCGCGGTCGTCGTATTCAGATGCCACAGGATCGCGTACCGACTCGAGAAGTAGCTATGGAGAGAGAGAGGCGATCTCGACCCGAACGTGCACCAAGGGCCCCAAGACAGCCAGTCGAATATGCAGAGAATGATGAGGATATTCCTCAACAAGCTGAGAAGCTTCGCCGAAGACTGGAATCAAAGTACCACGTCAAACAACAGATGAATGGATATGTGCAGCCACAAGTAGAAAGTTGGGTAGAGTCTGAGCACACTCCGGGGCTAGGGCCTTCTAGCCAGCAAGAACCCATATATATCGAGAATGAAAAGCTCGTTCACGCAGAGCTTGGCCTCGGTAGGGACGAAGAAGATGACAGAGGATCTATTGGCACTCATGCATCAACGATTCGACCAGTTTCTCAAAGACAAGGACGTCATTCCCCTCCGACGGACGGAAGGAAGCACGTTACTTTCCCACCCAGTCCGAACACGATCGGGAGAGCTGTCACATCTGGTTCGGCTGATGAAGAAGTGCGAGTACCTGTCACGGAGCCACCAAAATCAAATCAGTCGACCGAAGGAGAGGAGATCATACCCGCAGGAAAACCTCCGAGGCTAGACAGATCCGCTGATTACTTCACCTTCGTCAATCAGTCGTATGCTCCTCCCTCTCTGGAGCTACGGTCACCAAATGAGGGCAAATTCCCATCGCCACGAATTGATGAAGAACCCGAAGAAGAGGACGACTTAGATCATATATTACAACATATTCCGGTTAGAAAAGCCAACGAAGTTGTCTCGCCGTCCGAATACCCAAGTCAAACTGCTATGCCAAGTTCAAACGCCACTAGTAGGATCGTAAGACAAAAGCCAGCGAAGAACTCGCCTTCTCTTTCTTCTCATTATTCCGATAGTGATGTACCGGCACTCGAGCGCCTGGGCATATCGCCGAAAGCCGCAAGGATTCTCGCCGGGGTAGAAACATCCAGCACATCGACTTCTCAATCAAATACGGATCCCAGCAGGACCAATTCGGAGAGGTCGTCATCCTCTACGTGCGACGATACTCCTCCGTCGCCGGTCATGGTACCAACACCTGACAGTTCGCGACTTCGACCGCAGAAAGAACTTGGGGTCCACCGTATGGACGTTCAGGACAGGACTCCACGAAGGGCCTACCGACCGCCAGCTGTGGAGTTGCCTTCAAAAAACACTTCGCGATCTACTAGTAGAGACGCGATCGGTCAGGATGACAGCTGGAGCCGAACTGCATTGCCAATAGATCTTGAAAATGATCACGCTGCCACATCTAATTTGAACGGTCTGAAATCTAGCCCGCAACTAGTGGCAAGCCCAACCTCAGCCTCTTTTACAGAGGACATCAAGGAAAGTCTGGATGAGGACGAGCTTATGAATAAGAACCCGGACCAACATTCTTTACCGCCTAGGGCTCAATCTGCTCTTGACGTCCATTCAACGAATTTCTTGCCAGATTTAAGGCATCGGTCCCTACAGCAGAAGAAAGTGAGAGGTGTTACAATGTCTGCCAGTCTACCTAACACACCACCACCGGAAATAGTTGACGGGGCTCCTCGAAAATCTGCGCTGAGAGCGTCTCGCAAAAATAGTGCCAACGATGATGAATCTTCCACCGTAGTGTCTCCCGGTGCCGCTTACCTCCAAGAGGCCCGAAAGGCCGCGCCCACCTCTAATTCTAGGGCGTTGCGACCGCACTATGCGCATAAAAACTCGTCCACTAGTATCAAGAGCGCCGGAACTTCGGATGGTCGATCGGAGCCCCTCGCTAAAATGCTGGTTGAATGCTGTAGTTGCAAATTCTTTCACGATATGCCATCACGGGTGTACGAATGCATGGCTAAACCCGATTCGCTTGTCGAGGACAAATTACTTGGTGTTTCAGCTACCATCACCACGATGGTAAAGTGCCCGTGGTGCGGGCATGGCATGAGTACCCAGTGCTGTTCCGGCTACGCTGCAGTAGTATACCTTAAGGAAAAGCTTCACGGAAAATAAGAAGAGTGATGGGATGTCCCATTAGACTTACACAAAGGTCTTAAGGATGTACCGAGCACAAGTCCAGGTCGCTCCTTGAAATTGTCAGGGAACTAAATTCTCTCTCCAGTTTTCTTTGTAACTGGCCACCAAGTTAGCATTTGTCCGCTTTGCATATTTCTTTAGCCGAAGCATCAGGCTCGTCTTAAAGGTTCTATTTTATGTTGCATTATCATAATCAGCTACGGAGTAAGATAGCTGAAAAAGTTTTGGGAGGTTTAATTTTGTCTGGTTCTAAAATCGAATGATATCGTCTTGTGCTTCGCGCCGGGGGGCAAGAGCAAGGCCAACCTGGGCTCGCGGTAGGTGTCATTCTATAAATCTGTATACTAGATGAGCGCACAAGAAAAAGCATTGAGCCGATGATGGCATGAATATAAACACTATAGGAGCAAGTAATATACGATACTAGTCTAACCTAGTGACATATACCCCTAATTAAGAATATGGAATAATATACCTATAAAATCTTCTGTATGACAGGGGTCAAGATGATGCTGGTCAGTCATATATAAGCTTCGCTGAGCGTTAGTGAAAATTTCGAACTATAGCTTAAGTACTCTACGTCTTTAGTTAACCACACCAAATTCATACCCTCATGCATCGAAGCTTTTCCAATAAATTCCTGGCCTCATCTCCCTTCCCTCTCACAGCTGTGCACAACACCAAAACATAAAAAACAACACCAACTTTTACCCTTCATACAGGGTATTGGCAGCCGTAATACGCAGACTGTGGCTAAGAGACTCAGGCTTAACCATATACCAGTAGAGTCGTCACAGTACATCCGCTACATCAGCATCACCTATATCTCAGGTCCTAACATTCCGCAAGAACAATAGTCATAACATTACTCGTAATTAATTAACCCAAACCAAAAAAATTACATTCCAACCAACCCCCAAAGGTAGACCTCATTCATTAATCGCGCAAAACTAGTTGATAACCCTACGATTAGTTATTTATCAACTCCGAGCTTCTAACTCTGCGTCCAAGTCCCCTTGTTCGCCTCGACGAAATCCCTAAACGCGCGGGGATCCCGGCCGGTGGCGGCGCGCACGGCGTCGCTGGTCAGCTCCTCGGACCCGTGCCGCACCGCCGTGTCCATCGACGCTAGCACCGCTGCGTACTCGGCCGGTAGGCCGACGCTGCCCCAGCGCGCGATGAGCTCGGCCTCGGTGAGGTCCACGTGCGTGATTTTGCGGTTGAGGACTGAGGAGAAGATTTCCGCCAGCTATAAAGGGGAAAGGGGGGTCAGTATTAGTGGTAAAAATGCAGGGTGATGGGGGAGGGAAGGGTAGGGGGGGAAGGGGCACTTACGTCGGCGTACGTGAGAAGTTCTGGGCCCAGGATGTAGTGGTCGGTGTTAGGGGCTTGCGGCGCCGTGAGGAAATGAAAGCTGACGGCGGCGATGTCGCCGGCTGAGATCCAGGGGATGAGGCCGGATCCGGTGGAGGAGTATATCTTGTTCTCCTTCTTCAGGGCTGAGAGGTGGTGCTCTGATAGGAAGTTTTCTGGGTGTGGTGTTTAGCTGTAGTTCTCATCTATAAAGGCGACAGGGGGTGGGTATGTAAGTGAAGATGGCGATATTTACCTTGGAACCAAGTCGGACGCAGCACGCCCCACTCGATCTTGCCCGCCTCGCCAAGCTCCCGCAGATACGTGTGCACTTTGCCTACTAGCGGTCCTCCCTCGGCAACTATGCTGGCGCTCAGCAGTATGAAGCGCCGGACGCCCTTGGAAATTGCAAGGTCTACGAATTTCTTTATGGCATCCTGGGCTTCTCCGCGAGGTGCAACGAGGTGGATAGCCGAGATGGGAGTCGAAAAGATCGGCTCCCAAGTCGATTCGTCTTCCCAGTCGAACTTGACGCCCGTGTAGCCGTTAGGCGCGCTCCCGGATCGCGATGCAACCAGGAAGGGGATCCCGGCACCGTGGAGCAGCGGCGCGATGCGGCTCCCAACTTTTCCTGTGCCGCCGAGCAGCAGGACTGAGCCGGATTGGGTAGTTGACGAAGACATGATATGGTTCTACGTGGGGCTTTGGAGACAAAGAGTAATTATAAGTGGATGATGAGTTGGGAAATAAGATGGAAGTAATATGCAACACGAAAATACTGCATCACCAACGTCGCATCACCGTCGTCTTAAATAATATTGTACGTGAAGACGCCAACGGTCAGGCAGATATCCGCTAACGACGACGGGCCATCTCATTAGTCGATGGCGTGGACCAAGATCGTTCGTCCATCGCGTAATCCTGAATCCTGAATCCACCATTAGGGCAACCAATCAGAACGAAGGGCCTGTCTAGATTCCGTAATCAATGGGCCGAATTACACCGTCCCCGGTCCCCATCCGGGGTTAGCGGATCTGCAAGGATATACGCGGATAGCGGTTGAATAATCCTGCCGATACCTACGGGTTTAACGCTGGGGCCGGGAAAGTTGGTGATAGTTGCATTCTATGAGGAGTTGGACAATGCGTTCTAACAGGTATATCTTGCAAATAGTTAATTTGCTTTGGTAGAGAGTAGTATAAATAATGACATCTATCCGTCTTAATTATTACAAGATGCTTGGCATTCCAAGTCATAGGATGCAAACGTAGGGATATACCACCAATTAGAAAAAACAAAGAAAACTCGCAAAAATGGCCGCTCAATACGACATCCAGACCTTTTTATTAGATAAGCAAAACATCCACGACACAGTGGCTCGCCTTGTAAGTTGCTTACACCCCTAATACTACCTAGGTACCTATTCGGTAATACCTAAATAAACCAATTTCCTAACGATTTCCAATAAGACCTTAAACCTGGACCTACGTTCATCCGACGGCCTCATCAAAGACGTCTACGCTCCAGACGTCATCATCGACTACACGTCCATGTTCGGCGGGAAGCCGACGGAGACGACTAACGAGGCGTGGGTTAAGAGCCTCGAGCCAATGATGGAGGCTTTCGATTCGACGCAGCACGTAGTCACGTAGGATTGCCCCCTTTTGCATATTATCGCAATATCGGAGACTTTTTTTTTTCTTTTTCTTTTTTTTATAAATCAAGAATTAGTTTAGTTAACACCGATATGCTGTAGGAACGAAGTCATCGAACTGCCGCAGCCAGCTAAGGGGGTCAGCAGGCCTGACAAGGCTAGCGTCGTGGCTCAGGTCAATGGACATATGTTCCGCCGCGCCGCGAGAGGAAAGCCGCTTATGCACAACGGGGTGAGTATCTAACTTAATCTTGCACTGGTATATTTACTTCGGTGTTCGATGATATTCTCGCTCGAAATACCCTAGGACCCAGCAGCTAATAGTAGGATCAATATCAGGGCCGATATAACATCGAGCTCGTGCGACTCCCGGAGCTCGAGAAGAAGGGAGAGAACCCGTGGAGAATCAGCAGGCAGGCTACTGTCATCGGCTGGGAAGACGGCAGCTCGGATGTTATGAGTGTGTTTGCTGGTATTGGACATTAGGTTGAAAAGTCTGATTACGGGCAGTAAGGGATGAGATGAGGCATTGATGGGGGTGACGTTACATGTGAGAGTGGCTGACTTCACTTGGGTACCACTTTACGAAAATATAGTGTATCGTGTTGTAGCAAACTGCATACCGAGGGAGGAGAGTCAGTCTTCAGCTGGATTGCTTTCGATTCGATACCTCAAGCCGATTTCTGATAAATGAACTCATCACTGAAACTTATTGAAGATGTTTACCTCTCAATCCACGTATATTTAACGTGAAGTGATTATAAATTGAATTCTCTTAGTTATTACCTAGCCCTTATTATAGAATTGTTCTTTCGCTACTATATACTGCTGATATGTAATATCCACCTTCAACTCGTAGCAGCGAGACTGGAATATTATCCTATATATTGAGAACGATTTAATCAACATGTATTCCCTTTCGTTGGAGGGCCCATGTTAACATCATTAGGCTATTCTGAAGAGAAATCTATCTTCCTAGTCCTTATGAAGCATAACTTCGAATATAACTCTCATCCTCACACGCTAGTTACCCCTATCTTTCTCTTAGCGAAGTAGATATCTATAGCTTAACTCCATTGGTGGAAAGGGTTATATCATACATACAATATACATTTTATTTCCTCCCCTATAGTATCCACGCTCTTCTGTATGATCCCGATATCAAAAGCGTAAAACCTAGCATTAGTAATTGCTTCACAAGGCGAAGGTATACCAGTCCTCGATACAAGAGCCAAAATTGCAAACCCATAGAAAGCCCACTTCTCGAATCATAAGTCATTATACCCAATACACGTCTTCGCTCCTCCACTAGCCTTCACCCCCCAAACCCAAGCACGTCCCGTCTCCCCCGTATACAAGCCCGCAAATCTATCGTCCATCCTAAACTTGACCTTGGACATCCAGCCTATATTCTCCATAGTCTCAGTGCCCATAAACGCCAAAAAATGCTCAAACTTCTCTTCCCGAGCGCCACCGCGCGGCCGACCGCATCCCAAACCCACTTCTTCAAAGCCAAGAAGTGCAGCTCTAGCGAAGAGAGCGAGATGACGAGCCCGGGCCCGCCGTGCCAGAACCGGACTACGCGGTCGGACTTGGATCGCGCGGACGAGGGGAAATTCCCGCTTAGAAGCTGTGTAGCCAGGAGATCGGATAGGATGCCCTCTACCCTAGACGCAATGCTCGGCTGCGAGAGGACAAGCTGGCACATAATACCAATAGTACCGTGTGCGGTGCCGAAAGACTCCTTCCCGCGCCAAGTCCAAGGCTGTTGCGCGGAGAGGATGCGGGAGACGGTACCAGTGATAGCGTCGTCAAGAAGCGCAGCAGTACTACCTATCCTCTCCGAACGCCGTCCGGCATACATAGCCTAAGGAAGTAGAGATACCCTGCATAGGCAGCCTTGCAGCCACTCATTCGACCAGCCCCTCCTATAACAATTAAAAAGCGCCCGTATACCCACAAAGCTCCCTCACAAGCTTGCTATCCCCCCGCATAACAGCCGTCAGCGCCGAATTCGCCAGCAGCTCGTTAGCAGTCCCGCAGCGATCCAGATCCGGCATCCGTTTCGCGTATGTAGCTCCTATAGCTCGATACGCCTCGGCCCATCGGAACAGCGGGTTGTTGCTTACACAGCAGACGAGGGAAGATCTGGGACAGTCTGAAGAAGAGGTATGCGATGGAAGTATGTAGGACCGCTATGGAGCCCTTTGCAAGATCTGGCGGTTATGGGGGTGTGCGTGGTATGGAGTATAATACGTCGTGATACGATCGAGACACTTCAAGAAGCTCCGCGTTTGCGTCTACGGTCTGGACGGGGGCGGGTCGGTTAGGGAAGAAGCCCATTGAAGCCTTTCATGATTGCATTACGCAGAAGATGCTGTCGAAGGAGTAGATTAGGGGGTACGGGGGAAGGCATAGTGTTTCGAACTGTAGGCGTTTATCATCTACTACGCACCTCAACTCCAAGCCGGAGTGTGTAAGTTCAAAATAGCGAGTATGCCTCCCCATCCCGATGTAGTTCTGGCAAGTTAATCTCAGAATATTCAATACACGATGAGATAACGTTGTAGACCACGTCATAAAAAGCAAAAGGCATCTACGTTGGTTGGGCGTGAATGCTTTTATACTTGGATAATTATAAATTCAAAAGCAAAAGCAAACGAAAAACCATGAGTAAAGTCCAATGAAGAGCAATCCAATTTTAGATATTGCTTGCCCTTTACTTAAGTAATTAAAAAATCAAAAGGATACCAGTAATGAAACTATGAACATAGGCCAATATGAAAGCAGGGTCGAGGTACGGAATACGTATAATGTTCAGCCAGTGCTGCTGGCTGAACATAGGTGCGATTACAACTATGGGGGACCCCCACCCTGAGAGATATTTTGAATGTGATTGCAAACTGTACGACTATAATTAGTACCTAGGTACCTATCTTGAGAGGTTCGGCCATTCCTCACAAGTTATAGACATAGTCAACATTTAGATATTTCATCTTTCTGCAATTTTCCTAGTACCTAGTGAACCTGTTCTACAGTCTCGGCCGAGCGGCCTATTCTGCGCCGTTGGCTCATAAACCTTAGCACGTAGATACCATCCGTAAGACATGCCGTTTCGTATCATACAAGTCACCTCCCCCTATTATCCTAAGCTCCGGCTTCGACGGCGAATGCGTATCTCGGCATTTGTGCCATTCGCTCCTCCGGACTGAGTTCGTCGTCGTATATCATCTTGACGTTCTTGTCCTTCTCCTTCTTTGACTTCTTCTCTGCCCCCTCAGCTGGCTCCGCAGCAGTTGGGGTCTCGGGTTTCTTCGGAGGCTTGATCCTAGCCTCGGCCATCCTGATCAGTTGATCGATCTCATCGCCTTCCTGTGCAGCACCTGACACTAGCTCATCAATAGTGGAAGCACTTCCTTGCCAGCCTGGCTGTCCAGGGCGCGGGGGTAAACCGTGAGGCGCAGTAAGGTTGCTTCCGGGCCGCGACGGTAGGTTCGGTGGAGGATACGCGCCGGGGTATTGCGGAGGGGGTGAGTAACCAGGAACGGATTGTGCAGGGAATGCCGGGTATTGGCCGCCGGGAGGAGGGAAGGGTGAATTCTATTCATTTCAGTTAGTATAGGTTTAGTGAGGATTAAATTGGCAACATTGGAGCACATACAAATGCGCCGGGAGACGCGCTTTGCGCAGGGCTTTGGCCGTCAGGCCTGTTCTCTCGGGGAGTATGACCTGCGCTACCACCACCAATAGCCGTTTTCTGAGCTGCAACTCTTGCGCGATGCTCTGCTAGCCGCTTCTTGATCTCGTCTGGTGTCTCGATCTTGAGTTTTTTAACTGGGCCGTTCCCATTTTGACCAGGTGGGGGGTTTCCCGTCGCAGCGTATCGATCAGCTTGGGCTTGGTAGAAATTCTGGATAATTCGTTGATTGTGTTGTTGAACAATGTCTTCCGGGATACCTTCCATACCGAAGATCTCGACATCGAGACCTTGTCGATTAGGCAACGCATTCTCGACTGACGACAGCGACTCTTTGTGCACTTGATTCATATGAACCGAAAGACCTTTCATACGTATAAGTTAGCTATCATAACACGCCGGGTGAGGATTGAGCGGATGAAAAATTATTTACCTCCAGCCGTATTCAATCGTCGGCCACAGCGGTCACACTTGAAATGTTTGGCTTTTTGGTGAGATATCAACAATTTGAGATCTTCAAAATCTCTCTCGCCTAGCAGAATTGTTAGCAATTTCTTAATAGGAGCGAAACTAGAGCTAATAGAACATACAATAATAACACCAAGCTCGGGAGAGAAGCTCCTCAACATCGGGGTGACCGCGCTTCTTTTTTCCCATGGTTACCGAGTTGAAAGATAATTATTTGAAATAAGAAAATAAGATGTGCGTTCCTTAATTACTCGGGCTAAATTTACGATTGAATTGATGATTGGGTTACTATCGCGACGAAATCTGGTAAAAGCGGTAGTTGTCGTCGCGCAAAGTTGAAAGAGGAACGTAGCGCGAAGAGTAGCACTCAAGGGACATGATTTAATTGGCTAACTTTACAAGCTTCAGCCATACATATCAGGTACCTAAGGTATCGGTATATTGTGGCTGGTACGGATGTCCCTTTCAAAAGTTTTTACCATAGGGAACCCCTGTCAAGATTGTCACCAGCTGTCTGATACTTGGCTAGCAACTGTCGGGTGATTTAAGGATGTATACATTATTATTTCTAAGGTTTACTACTGGATTTTACAGCCAAATATAATTTTAAAATAGAAAATAAATTATTATATAAAGAAGAAGTCTTTTATATTTATAATTTACGTTTTTGGGGAATTTTAGAATCCAGTTTAAGAAAGTTATATTTTATTGAAATAGTAGAGTAAAATACGATACATATGCTAAAAAGATAAGCAGCTGTTGCCAAGCTTGGTCAAAGCTTGCCGGGGGTGACAAGGGTCTTCCTATGGTAAAAACTTTTGAAAGGGACATCCGTACAATAAGGTGTGGCAGGTTTAGGTATCCACATGAGCACATGGATACCTAGGTACATAAATACCTAAGGTACCTAGGTACCGTAATATTTATCAGCATGTCCACTTACATCAGATATCCTTTTCCAGCTTTTAGTACAGAATCCTACATGCGAACTATTACCCTCTCATTCAAGTATTAGGTTCTCTACCTCTTGTCCTTAGCTCAAAGTCCTAACTATTCTAGAACCCAAGTTCTCTTCATAATAATGATTTTCATCACCTACCTGGACACAGCGTGACCAGTGTGTCATGGCTATTCATAAGAATTGACACTTTTAGACATATTAATACCGACTTTCAGTTACTTTAGGCACCCATGAAGATTCCGATGATCTTTTCGGTGAATTCTATGCCCAAGAAGTGCTTCTTCTAGTTGAGTTATTTTATTGGTCCATCTTTAATGCTGATTTCCTGACGTCCCTTGGGGCATTCTAACGTCTCCTTGACATCTTATCGTACATGTAGTACCCATATCTATATAGTTAGGTTTACATCTTGGCTTCATGATCTATTCAAAAGAATCCTAATCAGTCAAGAAGTCCAGGTAGTATGACTGAAATGGCCGTAGCAATGGATTGGATTTATATTTAAGTTGTTAAAATGCAGCCATCAATGCATAGCGGAAAAAGAAGGTGGTCGGAAGAAAATAATTGAAAAGAAAAGAATATATATAAGAGATTATGCAATCCTAAGTAAATAAATCTGTAGGTAGTCTTATTGGAACGACCACTGCTGCGGTTCTCAAGCACAAGTACTCAAACCGCCCTCATAAGTGGCGACCGAACCCTTAGCAGCAAGTCGCAACGGCGCAGGTCAGTCTAATTGCGGCAGGTTGATCAATATCCAGGAGAACCCAGGTTCAGACCCTAGATCTCGACGAGGTTCTCATTTTCATGCCAATCCCCCGGAGTCCTACGGCCACACCTCGACCACTGCGCCATTGATAAAATTTTAGTTGCTGCCTCGAACCATCGTGAGACGAAAAGATGACCTAGGACACTATCTGGGTCCACTATCCTCCGTATGAACAATACTAAAGTCTCAAAACCCAAGCGGATATTCACTAGGAAGGAAAGGCGAGATACATCCTTCGAGTTGCACGAGGAGGTGAGAAGTCAAATAAACAGACCTATATAGGACTCCGATACGATATGTTCTAGTCTTCTTGTGTTGCTAGGCGGCACCACGCCGGGTCTCCGTACTACTATCGAGGTATAATAAGCAGCCCGCGGGAAAGAGAATAGCCAAAGGTGAGCTTCGCCGAGCGGAATATACGGATTTCCCGAGTGCCGGGAATTAGGCCTCCCTTTGTGGGGGTCGCTCTGACAGTCGGGACTATCTGTACGTGGTGACGAATGAGGTGCGCGATGGCAAGATGCTGTGCCAAGCCCATGGGTAAGAGAGGAAAAAGAGCCGCGATGAACCAGATTGGCTCCCAACGCTCAAGGAAAGTGTCACGAAAAGCATAGAGCCGTTGCCATTATATATCTGTGCCACCAACTAGAGCCAAGCAAAATACTCGCAAATCAAATAGTTCACAACTGGTTGGTTCTAAATTGTAAGCTCAAGGAACACTAGGAAATGCGGCTCAAATGAGAAAAGTTCCCCGATTCCCCAAAATTGCGTGGGGTGGTAGGCGTTATTGTGTCGCTGAAAGCCGAGTAACACACCACAGCCAAACAGTAACAGATTACAACAGGCCATTCGATCTTGCAACGTAAACCATGTGGTAACTCGATCTCCTTCATATCAAAACAACTATTGGGATCCCTGAGCTTGAGGCAAGCATTGTTTGCTTAGGGCACATCCAACTAAGGTGATAGAAATAAGAACATAGTAACTTACACATAGCAATGTCTCACATACAGCACACCCTGCCAGTAGAGAATGATGCGAAAACATGCTGCTCTGCACGACGCTTGGCTTTCTTAGACCATAGTTTGGGCTTTAATAACCGACAACCTAGTTGCGGGTTTATTGAATCGTACGGATGTTTAGCTTGAATATCGTCATACACAGTTGTGTCACGGGGCTCCGTCATTCCCGGTACGTAGTCCAGATCATTCCACGTTCTTTCGGTGGGAATGATATGAGAGCTATGTCGAATCTAAGCTCACGTTCTCGTTGAAAGCCAGGGGGCGAACAGCATATCAGGCTGTATGAGTAGTTTGCGTTATGCGCAAGTGCGATAAATTTGGTACCTCCATACATGACGTGGGGTTTGACGTAGGAAAGCACAAGCTTACCTCTTGATTCACCTACCTAAGTACGTTTCTAAGCCCTTGCATCTTCAAGGGGACATCTGCTAGCACTGGCGAGCATGGTTTGGGTAAAGGATTGCCATTGCCGTCCAACGTCTCCCAACCTCGCAGAGACGGAATGTATGTATTACCATGGTAAAAACGAATCGGAAAGGTACCGAACGTGAGTGCAAGCGCCCTTATCGGGATAGGCACACGACGTGTCAAGTATTACATGTTTCATCGTTCAAACCCTCGACTTGGGTAGAGAGAGCACATAGTGCTAGGTTCGGACATATCTGCTGCACGACATCAGACTTATCGACAATGCAGTAGTGCGACGACTAGACAGCCAGTTGGGAAATTGTAATTTGAAGTTTGTCGACTGCATTTATGCATTAAGGCACACCGAAAGATGGAGTGAGAAGCGTCGTAAGAAATATGTTGTAAGAAATATATCCAAGTCAACCATCGTTTAGAGATGCCTCGATAGTAGAATTTTGAGGCCAGTTGTAGTTTATACAGTGGATAATGACAAAATGTAGAGATACGAACCGCACACATGGAAAAATGAGTGCGACGAAGACACGAGTAGAAGGGGTCGTGACATGTATTGGTAACGGGAAACCAAATTGATGCGTAATGAAAGCATGCGAGAATACGAACCACCGGGTATGAATTTGGGCGACAAGAGTGTGATACATTTAGGACTCGCAGGGCTTGGGGCAGGGTCCTTAAGTCTTTAGACCTCTAAATAGGAAATAGGAAATAGGAAATAGGAAGCCTTGTATAAGGCAACCTAGGCTAGCTATAACCCGCTGCCTAGTAGTATTACACGTGATCTGTAGGACTTGATCAGCAGGAGTCGCTCTTCAGGTACGCATGAATATTTTGGGTATTTTTTTACCTCCAGGTAGTGAGTTAAATCGAATAATCGCTATACGGGAAATTGTAAGTTGTCGGTCGGGTACGTAAGGTAAGGTGATATGAGATGCGTAAAAAGATGGGTGGTAGTTGTACTGTAATACCTGATTGGTTATAAGTAGACCCCCCAACTGGACTTGGTCGAACCTGATTGGACCATACTGAAGGGAACCAGGGGTGAGTGTGCCGTACTGCCTCGACATCTCTACATAAAAGCCCACTTCCTCCTCTACCCTCCTCTTCATTCCTCCCCTCTCCCATACCCAATTTACCAGTGGCCATCAAAAAGGGGCCATAGAGCATAAAATCCATCGCGTCCCGTCTAAAACAAGACGGAAAACCTTATTCCACGCAACTTAACGGTACTATAACCACTAGATCATGTTAGTTCAGTCGCACACAGTACCGTCAATGTACCTCTTATTGATTAGCATCCTAGATATTTGCTATAAATCAGCAACGACTCGTTATCCAAGCCCCCAGATAGCTTTCTGCATCATGGGCGACTTTGCTGGTCTTCCACGTGACCAAAGGGCTGCCTGGAATCCATGTAGGACTCGACCATAGACGCTGCTCAGGGTGTGGTCCATCATAATCTGACAAGTGATAGATGATATGGCGCCACAGAATTCTTCGTCTTCCCATCGACAGTCTTGGTCTGGGTATTCCCAACCATATGACTATCGGCCCCGAAATGACGGATATGAGGAGATACCGCGTAGGCGCGATCGAGATTCCACTGATGGAAACCAGGACCATCAATTGACGATTATTGTATGATAAGCAGTCAATTCGATGCTCAAACACTGGGCGCATACTGATTGAAAACAGCGTCGTAATCATGAATATTTGCGGTTGGATACTGAATCATCACGCCGCACTCATTCCGCTCCTTCGGAAAACCGACGGGGCCGTAAAAAGGTATCTCGGAATCCTTATCGGGATCAGGGTGCAGCCGCATCAAGTATCTCGCGTGGTCATTCTCATCACACGAGCAGTCGCACTATGTCAGTAACTTCTAAGAATAAAGAGGCCTCCGATGAGAGTGTACATCGAGCCAGCCATAAAGATAGGCATCAGATGCCAGTCCCGCCAAAAGCTCCCAAAATTCCAAGGCTCCCAACCCCTGATTTTGACGACATAGACTATA